CATCAGTGGACCCTAATTGATTAATAATAAATGTATATAGCTAATAATAATAGCATTACTTTATAAAAGGTATTACTTAAGTTAATTATAAAGCTTTATATAAAGAAAAAATAAAGAAATCTATATTAATAGTTAAGATTATTAAATAGTAAAAGTATAATAAATTTATAAAAAAATAACTAATTCTTATAGTATTTATAACTCTTAAAGTTAAGTAATAACTTAATAAAGGCATAAAGGTTTTTAAAAATTAAAATAATATTAAGAAAAAGTATAATTATAAAATTAAATAGTTCCTTATAATAAAAAAATAATATAATAATTTAATTAAAAAATAAACTTAAAGACTAGTTATATTATTAAAGGATACTATAATCTTTTATAATAAATAGATATATAATTTAAAGCATTTTATTAATAGTAATCTTATAGTAAAGGCATGCTTAATTATTTAAGGAGATTAGCTTTAAAAGATAGACTATTTAATAAAAGAACTTTATATTATAATAGCTTATTTTATATTAATTAAAGTATTTTATTTAATTATAGTAATTAATAATTTTAAGTAGTAGTAATTTAATATTATTACTATATTTCTTAATATTAATATTAAAAAGGAAGTTTATATATATTAATTATAAGGCTTTAATAATAAATTTAAAAAAGTCTATTATTTAAAAAAAGCTTTTTATAATTATTTAAAAGCTTTTTTATAATAGTTTAAAAAAGCTATATAGCTACTAGCTATAATTAAATTTAAATCTTTAAAATTTAAACTTTATATTTTTAAATATAAAAATAGTATTATTTTAATTTTATATATAAATAATATAATAATTATAGCCTTAAAAATATTAACTATTTATAATATAGTAATATAGCTAAAAGGTTTATTTAAAATTAAAAAGCTAAAAGATATAGCTATTTTTTTAAAACTAGAAGTTTATAAAAATTAAAAAAATAAAATAATTATACTTAGCTAAAGCACTTATATTAAGAAAGTTATTATTAAGTTTATTTTAATACTTTAAAATCTAGCTAAAACCTTATAGCTACTTAAAAAAATAATTCCTTATAATTAAAAATAATAAAAAGTTATTATATTAGTAAAAAAATAGCTAAAATAAATAAAAAGCTTAAACTTTATTTTAATAAGTATAAGGCTTAATATTATATATATTACTTAAAAGCTTTATAAAGCTAATACTAATTTAATAAAATACTATAAGGAAATCTTAAAGCACTTATTTTAATACCTTTAAGGCATAACTAACTTAGATATTTAACTTAATAATAAATATAATATTAAAAACCTTAATTTAAAGGTTTATATTAATATAGTATTTATTAATAACCTAGCTAAGAGATTTAATATAATAGGCTATATTATATTAATTAAAAATAAATTAATTTATTAAAAAAGTAAAAAATAAACTATTATTACTATAAGCTTAATTAAAGCTAAATTTATAAACCTTACTTTAGCTAAAATATTAGCTATTTAAATTAAAAAGATCTTTAATAATCTAAGTATTAAAAACTAAAAGCCTATAATTTTATATACTAATTCTTAAAATACTAAAATTACTATTCTTAACTAATATAATATAATATAAATAAAGTATATAAATATTTATTTTAAATAAATTATTAATAAAGTAAAATAAAAAGACTTTAAAATATAGTAAATTAAAATATAAAAAATAACTATAAATAGTTTAATAAAGCTACTTATAAGAATTAAGTATATTAAATTTATAAAGCTTTTAAAAATAGTTAATACTATTTAATAATAAAGATCTATTTTAAAATAGTATATTTATTTAAATATTAGGGGTAATTATAATAAGTATACTAACTTTATTATCTTAGCTATACCTTATTTCCTATTTCCTTTTCTTATATTAATAAGGATTTAAACTATAATAAGTTTATATTTAAAATAGTTTAAAAATGCTAAATTTATAATAAAAAGAGGTATAAGCCTTTTTATCTTTTTTAAATTATAAATATTTTAAAATAAGCAGCTACTTTAACTAGGTCTATTTTAAAAAGACCTTTATTATAAAAGGCATTTTATTTATTAATTAAAATAAATTTATCTCTTATACTTTTAATACTTTAAAATATAAGTATTTTTTTAAACTTTAACTATTATATTAATAATATTAATATATTTTTTATAAAAAGGGCATTTTATTTAATAAATAAAAAGCTGCTTAAAAGTTAAATAGTAAGCTTTTATTATTATATTAGCTATAATTATAACTTTATTTTTATTTTAGTAATTTATTTCTATTTTAATTAAAAAAGCCTTATACTTTAATAAGTAAAAGTAACTTTTAGACTTTAATAACTAAAAAACCTTAATTTAATTTACTTACTTTTATTAGCGCTATTTCTCCTTAATTAAAGAAATAATAACTATTTCTTAAATTTATTTTATATTTTTTATATATAGTAAAATAGCTTATATTTTATAATTAGTAAAATACTATTAATTTCCTAAGATATTATAATAGTATTATAGTATATTAGTTTTAAAGGGGATATATTAAGTAGTCCTTACTTTAATAACTTAGGACTACTTTATAATACTATAGGCCTTAGGCCTATAATGCATTTATAGCTATTTATTTATTTTCCTTCTTTTTCTCTTTAGCTAGTCTTTTATAGAAAAAGAGAGTTTACAGTTGCCCTTTGTTAGCTACTACTACAGTATTGAGTATTAATTGGCAAATCTTTCAGGGTCTCTTCTTACTATTGTGTATTACTGCTCATGTTAAAGGAAGGGAGGGTTTCTTGTTCTCCGATACTATTGTTAACCTTCTCGAGCCCTATTATTCACATTACGCGTGAGCAGATATAGAAGTATAGACTTAACTCTTCACTTCTCAGGAGGGGGGTGCTTGCCGATGGGTTCTTGAGAGCCTCCCATTTGTGACAACGACAGGATTTCGACTTCGGGATATATTCGTGTTTGTCCATCATGGTGTAACACAAATCTCCAGTTCTGTAAGATATCCAACCGCTCCGGTAGCATGACACCTTCTGAGACATGCAGGATGTGAAAAGCCCTGTCTGTCTGTCCACGTCGACTTACAACGGTGTGCATCATCACGAGCCTCCTTCTGCTCTCACTATCTCGAGGTCCAGAGGGCCACTAGAAAGCAGGTTGCACTTAGGCCCTGGCAAACACAGGTTCGCTGTTTCATGCTGGAATGTGCCAAAATAGATCCGCCAAGCAAAAGAAGACAAATCAGCAAATAGACTGACAAAGGCCAACTCTCTCCTCTTGTGTGCTCGCTCTGCGTCACCTCGTCCAACACTGATGGCGTGTCCGCGCTGGCACCACGCACAAGCTCGCCTTACCTGCCTCTTCCGCCGCTGGACAATGCTGAACACCGTCAAGCAGCGCCCTGAGAGCGTGTAACATGCGACGCGGGATTGCCTCCTTGTCTCTGCCCAACCGGACATGATGCCCGTGTTATGAGTTTAAAAGACACTGCAAAATCCGGGGCTGCAGCGAGGCGAGTTGCAGGAGATGCTCACAGTTGCCGGCTTCTTTGACATTCCATCGGTTCGATCCTCGATTCCCCGGCTCTCGCGTGATAGTAACGGCTGTATAGATTGCAGATCCCTGGACCAATGGCTGGAAAATGTCTGCTGTGAATGCAGATTGGCGCCATGGTCTCCTGCGGGCGAGAGGGGCGTCCTGACCTGTACGGTCTTGGGATTCGCCTCGGATTCTACCTGCAGTGGTTCGGCGAGATCCTAGTCGAGTTCTTTGACCAAGCCGACGTCTCCGACATACGCCTACTGGGCTTCCTCCTATCCGGCGCCATTGTCCTGGCTCTGCTCGTCCAGGTCGCGGATCAACGCGCCCAAGGGGCTGACATATACATCATGCTCCAGCTGGCGGCGGGCTCATACATCTTCCTCGTGCCCATGTACATCTGGAAAGCGCTCACATGCTGCGACCGCAGATGGGATCCGCTCGGGCAGACGAGAGAAGCCAAAATGGCGGTATTCAACGTCTCGACCATGTTGCTTCTGGTCATCATCTCGGCTCTCCACCTCTGGTTCTTTGGCACATATATGCCGACCAAGGGACGCCAATGCGGGTACTACGGCTTCTTCTTTGCAAAGGTCAAGCTCGACAACACGGCATACGTGGTGATCAACATCATCGTGTACGTGGTTGTGATTCTCGTCTGCTTCAGCATTGCTGTTTCGTGGACGGGGCTGTGGGATGGGCAGTGCGGGCCACAGAGACACAGACGTCGAAGGCGGCATCGTCAGAGAGAGTCAGTCAGCCTCCCCCTGATACTGCACATACCGTGACGTGTACTGCGCAGCTGCATCTGACACAGTGGCAGAAGACCAGAACAAAGACCCGAGGAAGTTGAACAAGCGCGCAACGCAAGGCGAGAGCGAGCAAGACAGCAGCGGGCAGAGGTGCTACGCACCATGCGCGGCATATCCAACCTGCTTGTGTACGGGCTTCACATCACCGCCATTGAGCTGACGGTACGATGGAACCAGTTTGACAACATTGACGGCGTGGACACGAGCGCTCAGACGGTTCCGCTGCTTGTGAGTGCCGGCATCCTGACTCGCTTCCTTTTGCTGCACTATGAGGGCAAAAACGACGATGGATCGACTGCTGGAGGTCGTCGACCTGTCAACCCTGAAGACGGATCAGATCAACAGGCTGAAGCCGGGGATGAGGATCAAGCAGTAGACCCCAACGCCGAGATGGCAGACCTAGACGACTTCGTCGCGGGCATCGACCTGGACAACGTGAGCGAGTTCTTTGAGCATGGCTCTCCGAATTACTGGCTTGCGAGGACGGCGATCCAGAGGCGCGAGGCGGCGGAACGGGCGGCGGCGAGGGAGCGACTGAGGGCGAGAGGAGTGATTCCGCGTCCGGTGCGGGCGCATTCTAGAGGCACGACGATTGTAATAAACTGAAGAGGTGTGAGTGAGTTGAGATATGAAGTGCAGATTGGGGGGGGAAAGACCGAGAGAAGGAAAGGAATGAATGCCTCTGGTTGGGACATACGGGAGGCCACGTGATTACAACTCAATGCAAATCGATACCTAGTAGGTACTTATGCATCAATGAATGCGATTGACAACTGAGAGGCATCTACCTTACCTACCTTATCTTTCTCATCCATCCAGACCGTCATCTTCATCACATGTGATTTTGAAGAGAAAAGAGCCTGTGACATCACGCACTCGTTCGATCCAGGCCATCAGGGTCGGGTCCAGCTCAGGCACAGCAACCAGCCGCCCGCGTCTGATTCGACAGACCCCCAGCCTGCAGCCCCGCAACCGCGCAGCTCACAAGTAAACAAAATCAGCCAAAAAGCACCCCTGCTTGCCATTGGATCTGCCATCGTCATCACCAACATCACCAACCACCACCAGAGCTCTTCCCTCCACAAGGCACTTTACCGACCCATATACCAGACAAGCCCCGAGACTTGAGACTCGAGACTCAAGAACACGTCTCCAGCCATGGAGCCGGAAAAGAAGAAATCCTCCTCAAAGACGTCGTCGAGCAAAGACAAGCGGCCAAAGGACAAGGACAAGGACGAGTCCAAGACGCACAAGCTCTCGCTCAAGGGCAGCTCAAGGCTGGTCGCCGAATTTGTATGTTGGCCTCTCCACGTCTCCCCTCCACTGGCGCAGTTGAATATCGGCTCTAACTCTTCGCCTTCCTAGTTCCAATACTCGATACACACAATCCTGTACGAAGCCTCGCGACCCACGACGCATCGAACGAAACAGCTGACCGTGCTCCTCCCTTGACAGATTCCAGCGCGGCGTCTACCCAGCCGAAGACTTTACAGCGTACGATTCACCCTTTTCCGGTCGATTTGGAAAGAACATGTCAGCTAATGCGCATCCCACAGCGTCAAGAAATATGGCCTCAACATGCTCGGTACAACCGCCCTCTCCTCTCTCCGCCCCAACAACCAAACCACAAAGCTGACCGTACCGCGTGAATGTAGTCTCCGCCGACGACCAAGTCAAAGCCTACATCAAGAAAATCATGAGCCAGCTCGACAAGTGGATGGTCGGCGGCAAAATCTCCAAGCTCGTCATCGTCATCACCGACAAGGACACGGGAGAGCACGTCGAGCGCTGGCAATTCGATGTACGTCGCGATCCCTCTTCTCTCGAGAGCACCCCATAACAACGCCCAAACCCATCAATACCTCGTTCGAGTCTTGACTAATACGCTCAAACACGCAAAGGTTCAAATTTCAGCACCTCCTCCCAAATCCAAATCCAAGGCTCCCTCCGACATCGACCCCTCCAATCCTCCTCCCTCCTCCGAACAGCAACAGCAACAGCAACAAGAAAACTCCTCTTCCGCATCCGCCGCAACCCCCCTCTTCGCCGAAAAAGACAAGCCCGAAGCCGAGATCCAGGCCGAAATCGCCGCCATCTTCCGCCAAATCACCGCCTCCGTCACCTTCCTCCCCCAGCTCACCGGTGACTGCACCTTCAACGTGCTCGTCTACGCAGACGCAGACAGCGACGTCCCCGTCGAGTGGGGGGACTCGGACGCAAAGGAGATTCAGAACGGCGAAAGGGTCCAGCTGAGAGGGTTCAGCACCGCGAATCATCGCGTCGACACTATCGTCAGCTACAGGTTGGGCGATTGAAACGAGACAAGAAGGCTTTTTGTATAAGGTACTTTTATGGGACTGGGAAAGGGATGCATGGTTCGAGATTGCTTGGCTTTGGAACGGCGTTGAACGGGGATTTATCGGTGCATCATACAGCCTTTTTCAGGACGCCCCCCCAAGTATGGGCCAAATATACGGATGCATAAACTCTCATAGGTATCCATGTCTCTGTGGTAGGTATTCCATCTATAAAGAATCGCAAGGGTAATACATCATGTCCCTTGATCATGCAACAGCCACGCTCGTCCACAAACAATCTTCCAGCACCGCCTTGGTAAAGGCAGCGCATCATCAAACGCCGTCTCCCGAATGCATCGTCACCACTCCCGTAAATGCAACAAAAACGTATTCACTCGCTCCTCAGACCCTCTTGAAAAAATACACATACGCAAACTTGCGCATTTCTTCAACATCATGCGCCTCCACCACCTTTTCGTCGTTGAAGAGCACCCAGGTAGGCGTCTCCTTGCCCTCCAGAGTCTTTCGAATGAAGGCGACGTAGTGACTGGTTGAATCCCAAATGTTAGTGATGGAAACCGAAGGAATAGCCAGAGAGACTCACCCCGCATGGATACTCGTGCCCTTGTGGCACACAATGGACTGCAGCTGGAACCGCGCCGGCAGCGTTGCGCTTCCAGCAGGCTCTTTCTGAGGCGCCTCGCCACTCTGGCCGGCAGCGTCGTCCTCCATGATGCCCTGGTCGTCGGGGTGACTAAACAGCCACTCGACAGCTCGTTCAACGTCGCCACCCGTCTCCTTCAGCGCCTTCTTGGCCTGAGGGGCCAGGAATCCCATGGCGCCAAGCATCTCAATCTTTTCGGGATCAGTCGTGTCTGCCCCTGATCCGGACCCCAGATCAAGCGGTGCGTCAATGTCGGCATCGTCGAGGTGCGCGAACAGCCATTCCATGGCCGCGTTGGCATCCGAATTGCCCGTCGCGTGCAGGGCCTTCTCGGCACGGTTGCGTGGGAAGCCCATGGCCTCGAGCTGCGCAATTGCGGTCGCGTCCGCCACAAACGCAGGCGCTTTGTTTTCAGGTTCGTCGGGCAAGAGCTCCTCCGATGGCTGAAGTCCCTTGGACAGGTAGTCGTCCAGCAAGAACGGCTCGTCCGGGACAATAACCGGGACGTCGATCTTGATGGGAACCCAGTTGACAACGGCCATCTTCCGCGCATTGACGGCCAGCACGTTGGGGAATGTCTTGAACAGCGACTGCTTGGTGAAGCCTGCTTTGCTGCCGCACGCTGAGCAAGTCAGCTCGACCTTTTCGGCGGCGGTGAAGTTGTCCAAGCATTCCTTCAGAGTGACCGGCTTGTAGGTGTTGGCTACCTGGCCGCTTTCCTCCGGTTGATCGAGCTTCTCCAGCGGCACGTCGATGAAGATATTGTCCTGTTCGTTGGAGCTGTACCTAACCTTGTGGCATCCAAGACACTGCAGCCGCTGCTCCAGAACAAATCGAAAGTCGGCCGTAGGGTCCTTCTGCTCTCCGTTGTGCGGTGACCGGCTGATGAGCTTGAAGAGATGCTGGAACAGTTCGAATGCATCCTGCTGACGCATGGTAGAGAATTCTTCGTGTCCTCTGCCTATCAGATGCTTGAGCATGGCGGGCGCAAGCCCCCTCTGGTAGGTTACTTCAGATCCGGGCGCCTCGTTGTCGGGCACTGAGTATCGACCAGAGAGCAACCCGTGAGCCATCTTCCTCAGCTGAGTCTCCAGGTCGGCTGCAGGTTCCTGAACGATGGGCAGGTCATTGCTGTTGCTATAGTAGCGCTCCCGGAACGACGGCAAGTCAAAGAGACACTGGATAATGCTGGCCAGGTAGCAGCTGTTGCCCAGATTCTTGAGGCCAGTGAGGCCGGGGCCAAACAGAGGCTTCAGCTCGTGGCCGTCCTCCGTAGTCATGCTAAAGTCCCATTTGAGATTTTGCTCAATCTGCATCTCGGTCAAGCTCTTCTCCGTCTTTTGTCGCTCGGCCAGGAGAATGCCCCAGTGAGCCAGATGCTGTCCAAGCAGCTCGTCTATGCGCTCCTCGTCGCACCTGTAGCAGTAGATGTCGGCGGTACCCTCAGGGGTGATGGATCCGAGCTTGACAGCCACGCCGTGGCCCGATTCGTTGGCATGGCCCAAGGCGTGCGAATTGCCGTCGACGCCACCCATCTGCTTCCGGCCACAACCCAGGTTTCCGCATTCCAGGCAAAGCCAAAGGTTCTCTCGCAGATCGCAACCCGAGCAGTGGCCAAGCTCGCCCTGCTCGATCTTGCGGGGTGGGTGCTGCTGCAGGGTCAGGATGTGCTCACATGTCGTGAGCTCCTGCTCCCACGCCTTCACCTCTTCCTTTCGCGAGAAGGTGTGCGCCTTGAGAATGCCATCGACTACGGGGGCCAACTTGGCGTTTGTCAGGTCCAGCTCCTTTTGGCACTCGATGCACTTGGCGGTCAGGGCAGTGTCGTATCGATCTTCTTCGGTCTCGGCGGCGATGGCGAGCTTCGTCATCTTGGCAGGTGGTTCATCGCGGTGAACCGTCTTTCGAGTGCGGCGAATGTTGAGGGCAAGCGGGTGACTCCAGACTGCATTGTGAAGCGGCGAGTGCTCCCTATCTCCGGTACAGCCACCGTTGAAGCACTGGAGGCAGACATCGAGGCCGCCGGGGCTGTCCTACACAGCAGAAACACAAGGGAGATGAGCCGTCGTCCAGCTAACAGCCTGAGGGGAGGAGAGAAACGTTGCAGGCCGTTGGAGGACATACAATCGAGTCGAAGCATTGCGTGCAGTCTTCCTTGTACACCGACTGGGCGGGAGTCGGCGGCTTGAGCTCTGCGGTGACAACAGAACAGGTCAGCTTCCGTGACTTGACGATGGCTGCGAAAGAGCTGCGAAGCTACGAGGTGGCGGGGTAACAATTTTGACGTACCGACAGAGTCGAGATGCGGGCACGACATGTCTTTTGGTGATGCAGGGGAGGTTCAGGGGGACAGCAGACGGACTGCAGACGGGCAAGATGGCGATGCAGCAGCTACCGGAAGCTGGTTGGAGTTTGAGAGAAGAAGCAAAAGTGAAGTTCCGTGAGCACATGCACTTTGGAGGCTGATGTTGATTTCGTTACGTAGTGGGCGCTGCAGTTGCCGGGCCAAGCGCTGAGCGACCGTTATCGATTGCGGTTAGTGGGTGCAGCAGCCTGGAGCTCAGCACTGGCGGCTTTCCAGTTCCAGTTTCAGGCACTTCTAGGCTGCCCCTCGGTGACGGCATCAGACCTGGGAGCTTGGAGGGGCAGCAGAAAATTCGAGACCTGTTGATTAGGTGCCTCTAGACTGCCACTGCGTCATGAGTCCGCCACCAAACTAAGGCCATAGTACTCGTATAGGGTAGGTGGAGGGGAATCAAGCTGCCATCTATAACCAGAATAGGCTCGTCTATCAGTTCGATCGAAACAGACTCGAAGATGGATATTCATTCTCGCATTCTCGAATATTCGGCTACAGCTTGTTTTGAGAGACTTGACTTGTTCCATGCTATTTGCCTTGAAGCGATGATATCAATCGTGATTGCCACATTGCGGGGTTGCGGATTTGAGTAACGAGTCCTGTTGCGAGGGATGTGTGCCAGCATCGAGACAATCGCAACAATGGTGGCCCTGTCTATCACACAGTGTATCAGACAGTCATACCCTTTGGCCAATCCCCAATTGTCTTCATCCTCGGGATTGGCGGAAATCCAGCAATCGATGCCTGAGACAAACTTTTTGCTTGCTGCAAGATCCCGTGTTAATAGAGGGCAACAAGCTACTCCGGATCGAGGCAAACGCGTCAGCAGCAGGATATGGCAGACCAACGCCTGGCAGCAGCTCGGAGGACGTGTCAAAATCCGAACCGGACACTCAGAATGCGCGTCGCCCGTCGCCAGGCCACGTGACTTTATCCCCGTTCACGTGCATCTTATCAGATTGATTTGCAATCTTTTTGCGGAGCAGTGACCAGCAGTTACGTATTGGCAACGGCATCTGATAGGTGACTAATGTAATTGTCAAGCCCTGATTGGCCGCAAGCTCCGACGAGGACCGAGCTCCACAGCTGCGCATAGACGTAATGGCCGAGAGGGGCGACGCCGCTGATTGGCCGATGGCCGAGACGCACTTGGCCGAAATCGCCATCAGCACTTTTTCGCTTTCTTTCTGCCGGACATTGATTAAGCGTCGACTCCTCACCTGCAAGCATCGCGATCCGCCTTTCATTTTCTCACTCTTGCAAGAACTCTTTGACTCTGTCCTGATTATACCTGATCGTCATCAAGATCAATCGACCGCATCAACTCTATCAACACCACCTACATTCCTCACACCAGCGCATCGCATCTCTTGCATCTGAACTCAGTTTCGATATTCCGCATACTCGAAACTCCGCTTCCGTTTTGCAGAACCTCGCCTCCCTGCGAATCTCTGCATATACCGCCTTCACACAGCAGACCTCACTTCGAATCCAGTCAAAACACCTCACAATGTTTTCCAGAGGACTCCGCGTCATCTCAAGGCGAGCCATTGCCGCTCCCCTCGTCAGACCTTCCATCGCCACCCGTCAGCTCGCGCCCGTCGCATCCGTCCAGGCCCAGCGCTCGTATCACGAAAAGGTGCTGGATCACTACTCGCGCCCCCGAAATGTCGGCTCCATGAACAAGAGCGACGCTGATGTCGGCACCGGCCTCGTCGGCGCGCCTGCCTGCGGCGATGTCATGAAGCTCCAGATCCGCGTCGACCCCGAGACGCAGAAGATCTCCGAGGTCAAGTTCAAGACGTTTGGCTGCGGCTCGGCCATTGCCTCCAGCAGCTACCTGACCGAGCTTGTGCGCGGCATGAGCCTGGACGATGCCGGAAAGGTCAAGAACACGGAGATTGCCAAGGAGCTGTGCCTGCCTCCTGTCAAGCGTACGTATATCACCAATTGTTTTGCTATACAGCCTACTTGCCTTGAGCGGCTTGTGATGCTAACTTTGCTTGCAGTGCATTGCTCCATGCTTGCTGAAGATGCCATCAAGTCTGCTATTTCCGACTACTACACCAAGAACCCCTCGCGGAAACCCACCGACCTGAGCGGCACCAGCATGAAAATGCCTACGTCCGATGCCGTTGCGGCCTAAGCTTACCGTTGATATCGGTGAGATGGGAGACGACAAAAAAAGATGAAAAACCACAAAAAATGAATCATTCGCTTTTTCTTTGTTATATAAGCGACGGTTGGGATGAATTGGTGGGAAGAGTGGCAGTCACTCAAATTTCGCGAGGAGGGTGAAAAGAGAGAAAAGCCAAGATTGAGAGACCTTCTTTCATCGAGATGCTATTTCTGAATTTCGCCATTCACTTTTTCTTATTCTTTTTTTTTTTCCGTTTCAAAAGCGGTTACACGGTATCGGAGATGAATGATGGAATGTGTTTACTATCGAAGATTGATCACTCAAGTGGTGTTGGGGGTTGCAAAAACGATGTATGTATGTACGTTGCTCCGGGTTTTGGAGTAGGGAGCAGACGATGGAGTTTACGAAGGCAAAGGAGGGATGAAACCTGTAAATTAGAAGCTGGAACAAAAACATTTTGATATCCATGACGACGTGTCGATTCATCTTTGTGTCAATTATTAGTACGTGTGTCTCGGCATCTTCCACTCATTCATCGCCACGTCGATTCACTTTCAATTTCTTCCCCAGGATTTGTAGTCAGCGCTCCCCCCACGTTTCAGCCGCGGCACGCGCATTACGCCGCAGCCGGTGGAAAAATCTCGCTCTTTTCTTGGGCCCCGAAAAATCCGAGATTGATGCCGACACATGCCACATTGGGACAGGATATCCACACGTGCGAGTGGGTGATGATTAGAGCTTCACTGTTGCTGCGCTTGGTGTGGGATGAGATTTGATATACCTGGCTCGTTTAATTGATCCTTTGTGAATAAGATTTAATATTTCATCTTGTATGAAGTGAATGTTTAAAGCATGCATATCCTTACAGATAAGGCATGGTTAAGAATAGAATAAGAAGATGCTATGTACATGTACACCGAAGGCCCGATGTCATGCCTATCAACAACAACATATACATACAAACATCTTGATATCACGGCGCAACACAAGGCAAACAATTCACGCAAACACTCATCACTCAGAGGTTCCCCCTCGCCTGATGCGCACCATGCAAACCCAGCGGAATCGCAAAGTCCGCTTCCGCCCTGCCCACCTCCTCCATCGTCCTCGCATCCAAGCACAGCAAATACGACTTCTCCAGCGTCCCGTCCAGCACCACGGACAACAGCACCCCGTCATCTTCATCAGTACCTCCCGGCCGTGGCACAAAGATGGCTTCGCCGGGGGAATGCCCCTTGGGGCCGCTCCAGAGGAGGGCCGCCTTGGTGTGCAAATCCGTCTTGGCGATGGAGTCGGCAAAGACGTAGAGGCCTCTGTTGGCTACGGAGTAGACGTATCGGTATGGCTGGCCGGCGAGCTTGGGGTTGATGGTGGGGAGTTCACCCACGTGAGGGGTGGGAATGGAGAGAACCTCTTCTGCTACCGCAGATGCCTTTTCCTTGGACGATTGTTTCTTGGATGGGATCCGGAAGCGATAACGCGAGAGACGGTTCTGGGTGGTTTTGTAAAATTGCTTGTCGAGCATTGTCTTCTTCGTAGCGTCGTTCCGGTCAAGGAGAATGTCATAGTAGAACATGCGCAGGACGTCAGTGTTCCTGTACGAGATGGCATCCATGCAAATCTCCGTATGGCTGTTCCCGCTCTCATCCTTGACCATCTCCTCAAAAGCATTCGCCGAGTGGAAAAAGAAGCCAGCTGGAGTCGAAAACTCGGCCACGACGCCTTTCCCCTGTCTCCGGTCTACCACCGCCCACCTGCATGGAACAGAGGGGTCGAACGGCTTGATGGCGTCGAGAATGTTCCTCTCCCAGAGAATCTTGATGCCTGCCCACGCAAACTGCGTCGACTGGACGCAAAACACAATGTAACTCTGCGTCATGAAGAAGCTGTGCATGTACGCCGCCGGAAAGTCCTTGCTGGAAATGGTGGCGAGAATATCGGTTGTCCCGTCATGGGCGTTGACCCGGAAGATGCGGTACGTCGGATGAGGCGCGGAGAGCTCCAGGTTGTAGTTGAATAAGTCGCCTGTCTCCGGATCACGTTGCGTGTGAGCGCAAGAAATCGGTCCCTTCAGGTCGGGATGGAGAGACGTCTGGTTGGCGTTGCCAATGGGCTCGAGTGACTTTGGGTCGAGCTTGCTGACGGCCGCGCTGTCGGTGAGCACGTACAAGGCCTTGCCCTTTGACGGATCTCCCTGCTCCACATCGTCACCGCCGGGCATGTCTGGGATGACAGTGACGTTGTTGTTGCTTTTGCCGGGAACAAATACAGTCATGACCTTGGCAAAGATTCCGATACATGGGTCAGCCCGCTGGGCAAAGGTGATGCTCGATGGCCAGCCCTTCTTTTTGATCTCCGCAACGGCCTCGTCTGAGTGTCGCCGTGAAGAGTACGTCACGGTTGCGCTGCCATCGGCGTCTTGGGAAGGGACAATGTCGAATCGATGGCTATGGGCGATGCCGTCGAACCAGTGAGAGATGAAGTGGGTGCCCCTGACCGTGCCCTCTACTCTATCCAGCCCGGGTCCGGTTCTGAACAGAGAGCCGGCAGCCCATGAGGGAATAGTACCCTTGACCGTCAGCTGTACTGGTCCACGATGCTCTTCTAACCCCTCAAACTGTAGTATTGCATTGTCAGTAAGCCGATGCCTAAAGAGAGTATGTAGGTGAAGTTACCTGAGCTTTTGATGGCCATTCCTTCCATGCTTGGCTTTCCCAGTTGCGAAGTCTCAGTTGCACATCGTTGTCTGTATCCTCTGCAGTGCGAAGAATGACCCCCTGGCTGTTGAGCGCCATGGCTGATGAGTGATTCAAGTGCGGTGGGTTGGAAAAGTGCCGTTGATATCTGCTTGAACGTATGGCGAAAGCGCAAGTGGTCTTGTAGTGTCGTCAAGCTGGGATGGCTGTGTATAAACGAGAGTATCGAGATACTCTGTATGGATAAGAACGTGAGAGGCCAACAACTGTAATCGTTGTTATATCGGTGGTGGGACAAGACGGATAGTTTTCATCGTTGCATGTGAGGGTCTCTCTCTTTATATACCTGACGTCTGGGATGGCAGAGTCACAAGGGAGCCCAGTAACTGGACTGAACTTACACGATGAGCCGCGTAAGTGTGCTTCGAAAAGCGTCGTCTCGTCTGCCCTTGACGTCAAAAGAAGCATGTTACCCTGGCCTCGATCCAAGCTGAGAGCTTGTCTTGCCCCATGATCCGAATCCGACGATGGCTCAGCCAGCGTCCACCTCTCAATCATCTCGCGCCACCGAAATGGCACCCAATGAGGAGACAGGGGTAGGCATCGCCAGGTCCGGGGATGGCATGCAACCACCAGCAGCCACAAGTCCATTTGGCCCACATGGCGTCGAGCGCAAGCGAATGCGAGCTTCCAAGTGCCGACTTGTCGTTGACATTGGCTGATCTCAACGCTTAATCGAACCCGAGCAACTGCGTGTTATTACAATTCAAGCAGTGGTAGCACCAAGTTGCCGGTTGGAGCGCCAGCGATATTGGCCTTTTTTGGAATATCTCTTAGTAGATGCGGTTCTGAACTCTGGATCCTGATGTGTGATGAGCCCTATCGTGGAGCTCCCTAGTCATTTGGGCATCTCAAATGTTCAACATCAGTCCTCACGATATGAGCCGAGTTCTGAAGACATCGCCGCAGGGAGCATTTGTCCAAACCATCAACAGACATGACATGTCATTCTCTGGAGAGACGAAGCGGCTGCCAAACTGCCTACTCCCCGCCTAGAAACCAACTTGGCCAGAGACTTGGCCATGATTCCCATTTGGGCAAAGAATTCGAGGGTTGTCAGCGCTACCACTGCGCGCAGCTCCTGTGGAGTGTATCAAGGCCGCAAGGCGTTCATCAACGGCATCGTTCTGTCGTCGCGCAAGGCTTTCGCTCTGGCTGACTGATTGATGTGATGCCTGGCGTTTCCCCTCTTGAGCTGCCAGCGTTCAATTGTGCGGAGTTTCAGAGGCTCCATGAAGCCCATCCAGGTTTTGGTGTAAGCCATTCTCCCAGTTGGAGATGGGGTCGCATTCGTCTCGCTTACCACTTCCGCTTTCACCCAATGTTATGGATGGCTGGCATGAGACTCTTGAAGGATCAAAGCGAAGCTTTGATGGGTGTCCCCCCCCTCCTCGTATCGCATAGGGCGCTTGAATCAATTGAGCGGCGTAGCTGCAAAGGCGAGACAGGAGCCAATTGCAAGTCATGCATATCGGCTAATCTCAAGACCATACCTATGCACTGTCAGACATGCGATGCGATTCAAAACGCGTCGATGTTGAACGCGACAGCCGTCTTGCTTGGTAGAAGATGATGACCATAGTTCAGCCTGTAGTCGCTCGATGAAGTGCTGCCTGCATGCGCATCTCTTGCTGTAGTCGCCGCATCGCACCCTCCAAGGAGTTCTGTTTGGAAATCTGGCTGCGCAACGCCGTGGGCTTCGAGCTCATGACGGGAAAACACGCTGGTCTGCCAGAAACTCTTCAATCTGCTTCTTCCTCGCCGCCGTCAAGGCACTGAGCTCTATACGCCCTGGATCTTGCGTAGCATCCGCACTTGGCAGCTCGCTCACTCGGCCGACAACACGCGCAAGCAGAACGCGCATCCTCTCGAGCTCCTTTTCCACGGGTCCATCGCGAGTCACCAGATTTTCTTGGACGCCGACGCCGTCCATGGTTCGAAAGGATTCGATTGATTTTTCGAGGTTCCGGAAGCGCTCGACTCTCTGTCTTAGATCTTTGCGCCGCTGGCTGAGGTCGGCTAGCTGGCGAACAGTCTCGGCATAGCGGTTGGCTTCCATGGGATAGGCATTGACGTCTTTGTGGGACGGCCAGGCGGCGGGGAGTGATTCAATGGCGCTCTCGTCAACTGTGTCATATAAATCGTCAGATGGGTGTTCGCTGTTCCCACTTCATTACGCCGCGAGAGCTGAGAGCCAGCAGCAGCAGCAGCAGCAGCACATACCTAGATCAAGCTCGCGCCCGATGCCGCCTCCAGCATCGTCCGGGTTCCCCAGCCTGCGCTCAGCGTCCCGCGAGTACAAGCTGCTAATCTGCTCGGCCACGTGCCGGCTCGCCTGGGGCGCATAGACGCGGCGACAGTGCTGCTGGATCGTGCGATTGACACTCGCGACGGCGTCGTCGACGAGGCGGCTGGGAATCGCATGCTCGGACGCGTCGTTGGAGGCGCGCCAGGCGCGGGACGGGGCAATCGGCTGGGAGAGGAGGTTTGTCTGCGCAGAGACGAAGCTCTGCTTGACGGAGGGGATTGTGGGAGCTGGAGGCATTGGATGTGTGCCGGTCGGCTTGGTGGTGGATATGCTTGGAAGAAGTTGCTTGCGATGGATCGGTTCCCGAGCTTGAAGCTGTCGGGTAGAGAGAACCCTGAGAACCTGGAAGCTCCCCACTGACTGGTAGCGCAATCTACAGGGGCTCCATGGCGGGGTTTGCGGCTGGGGAGTCGACCATCTGGGACCGCAATCACAGTAGGTATTGTTGGTTCTCAGTATCTTGCTCTAAGCTTAATAGTTCAATTGATCTGGAACGGCTCATTGCTTGCATGTCTCACGGGCGTCAGTCGTCCATCACGATGCTGCGGTGCATACATAGTCTCTCCAACCATCACTGGAAGTCTATCACGCCTGCGTTTGCAAAGACACCCGACGTCACTTACATGCAGGTACATGTAATAACAACCATCATGTACTCAACCCCTTGAGCGACGAGCACACGCACTGCAAGCACCGGCAGAAGGCAGAAAACTTATCTGGACACATTGACGTTTATGCTGTACTATCAGAGGTTGGATGCAATCATCACCACGATCCCGGGTAAAGAGACCGACACCATGCACATAGGGTAGGTATGTACCTACATGCATGTATGGATGCTGAAGACTCGAGACAGCCTCCTGCGGTGCCACGTCTCACACGGCCCCCAAAATCCTCAGCCACTCCGGCGCTCCTCGGACCAATTGCAAACGGGAATAACCAGTTACCATGGCATGGCCCCTTTGAGTGCAAGTGGCTGCCTGAAAGATGCCAGCCTCCAGACATGGAGAGAAGCGGAGATTTTGATGGATGTCTGCTTCAACCCAGACAGCCTAGATTGCGGTTTCAGCCATGATGGGATGTTACACGAGTATTTGCCACGACACAATTCCATGGCTTCTTTCCAATGCCAGACATACCCGATGATACAGTTATCACAGGCAAGGATTACATCCTGGCATTTGCAGAGGAGCAGTGTAAAAAGAGCAACTCACAATCTTGATGTGGGTGTGTGTAGGTGTATACCTACATGTAAGGTATGCAGCCAGAGCAATGGTGGGTTAGGCCCTGATTGGGTTGAAATGTGCATTCAGGAAGTCCTGCATGGCATCCAGCCTTGCTGCCCCCCTCTGCTCTCGCATTTCTCTATTGTTTCTGTCTCTTCTTGCTTTTTACAACATAATCATTGTCAACGGAGCCACCATCATTGCGATTCTCTGAACCAGCGCTGCGGTCTTGCTGGCAAGCATATGGTCACACCACATCGACCGAGAGCTGCGAGACATTGACTCAGACCTCCCGTTTAAGCTCGACGAATATCGCAAGGCAATTTCTCGTTACATCCGACGTCCCGTAACTGTAAACGACATCTATAAGTGCGAGACACTCTGGGTCCATCTTCGCCATGGCCCCACGGCGAGCAGTTGCCGATGCCTCGCCGAGTTCGCAACGTCGACTCCGGCTCTCAGAGGATTCCCCCCCTCAACGTCACCCAATCCTCCGTCAGAGAGAGCAGAGAAGCAAGAGAAAAGAGCTACAGCGAGTGAAGAGACTGCTGGAAGAGTACATGTTATCAGCAAAGGCAGAGACGGACACCGATGCCGATACTGATACCGATGTCGAGACGCGGTGGGAGCGAAGCACTCGTGGAGATGCAAAGGCGTTTTGGGTTGAGCAGCTCTATCGCTACGAAGAACTCTGAGCTCATGGCGAGAGACTGTTCTTGCCAGTCGATTTTATAAGTTAGCTGGATGGGTACGACGGAAGGGTCCGTGTCTGGCTACCTAGTCTTTGAGAAATATGATAATAAACTGTGTCTATCTTGCACTTAGACTTGTCGGTATCTACTCGGGATATCTGGACAGAACTATTACTTTCCGACCTCAATAAAGGACTGAGCCAAGAGTGATCACTACATGCGTACTAACCTATCTATCATCACGTATCGACCGCCATAGTGCCAGGCTGTAGCTCCCTCGTTGAGTTCTGATGCGATAAACGCATGTACTTACACACCTACACACACAAGCCATCTCGAGAATACGCTGCATGCACCCTGACTCAATTCACAAAATCATCGCTATTTGGAGTGACGGGCGTGTATTGAGACGCGGAGGTCCTGATAACTGTGCTGCTGGGCATGCGTGGTTGCTCGCACCTGAAAGATCCCGGTCGAAATGGATGAAAACGACAATGCCTGATCAGGATGTCCCCCCACAGCGCAGTCTTACCCTCTTTCCCCGCTCTCTACCTATAGGTACATGTAGAGTAGTAGATGCCTTGGGGAAGTGTTCAGGAAGAGCATCTGCATCCAGGTAATCTGATAATCGTCTACTCAGTTCATCGTTCTTCATTATACCGGGGGCCAACCAAGGCGGCAATGGCAGACGCTCTTGGGCTTGTCTCAAGCATTATTGCCGTGGTGGACCTCTTCATCAAAGTCGGCGTGCAGTGTTCTATATACTGTTCAGGCGTCAAGGACGCCCCTCGTGATATTCGGCAGATACTAAATGAAGCGGACAGAACCACTGCAACGCTTGAGGACCTCAGGCGCCTCCTTGCCAGCCCAACTGGCGCCAGACTCTCGTCATCGCAAAGAGTCTGCCAAAGCATAGAGGATGCTCGCCTGCAGCTACAAGATCTAGCCTTCAAGCTTGAAGGAGGATTGAGAACAGGACAACGGTTAAGGTGGCCGCTGAGGAAAGAGGAGGTTGCTGGCATAATCAGTCAGCTCCAGAAATGCAGGGCATCGATTGCTTTAGATTTGCAGGTCGACCAGACGTACGTAAGATACCTAGATTCATCTATTCCTGCCTGTCTGCCCTGATACACGTACTTACACACTTGTTCACGACGTATCGACAGTGCTTTGCTTCTCAATGTGCACCAGGAGGCCGTATTGGCCAAGCTCAGAACCGCCAAAGGAGCAGCGTTCGACTCCCCCAGCCACGCCAACAGCTCCAAGTGCTACCCCGGGACAAGAGAGGGCATTCTGAGACAGATCCAGACCTGGAGCACCAAATCCGATGGCCAGTGCATCTTCTGGCTAAATGGGGGAGCGGGTACCGGCAAGTCGACAATATCTCGAACAGTTGCGCAGTTCTTTGCGGACAACGGGATTCTCGGCGCCAGTTTCTTCTTCAAACACGGCGAAGCTGATCGCGGCAACATGGCACTCTTCTTCCCAACGATGGCGTCCCAGCTCATCCAGGCATTCCCTCAGATTGCGCCACACGTCCGAGCAGCAGTTGAGGCCGACCCTACCATCCACGACAGGTCGATCAAGGAGCAGTTCGATAAACTCATTGCAGACCCAATCATTATGGCATCGAAGGCGTCGCAACTACCAACCATAGTAGTCGTTGCTGACGCACTTGATGAGTGCGATAACGATGAGCATGTGAGGCTGGTCATTCACCTCCTCTCGCAGACAAGGCATTTTACATCTGCCAGCCTAAAGTTTTTTGTCACCAGCAGACCAGAACTTGCCATTCGACTTGGGTTTGCTGATATCTGTGGCCAATACGAAGATCTGATGCTTCATCAAGTACCCCGGGTTGCTATCGAACACGACATTACGTTATTTCTGGAGCATGAGATTGCCATGATCAGGCAGGATTACAACAAGTCTGTATCCGTCAACAGGCAACTGCCGCTATCCTGGCCCGGCATTCAAAGCTTTCAGCGGTTAGTCTCCATGTCGATACCTCTGTTCATCTTTGCTGCAACAGCTTGCCGCTTTATTCAGGACAGAAGAATTGGTGGACCCAAAGAGCAACTGGCAAAGATCCTGCAACATCAAACAGGTCACGGACCGACCTCTAACTTGGACGCCACCTACCTCCCGATAGTAAACGGACTCTTGGCAGGGCTTTCTGATGTTGAAAAGGGCTTCGTTTCGGAGCGGTTCAGGCGCATCGTCGGCTCTATCGTCACGCTGGCCAACCCCCTCTGCGCACCGTCCCTCGCCCGCCTTTTGGGTATGCCCCGCGAGAGTGTAGAGGATCTGCTGGATCTGCTGCATTCGGTACTGTATATTCCCACGGATGCTCGACTACCAGTACGAGTGCTTCATCTCTCTTTCCGCGATTTCCTCGTTGATCCGACAAAGGCCAGTGCGGCAGACAAATACCCCCTCTGGATCGACCAGCAAAAAGCCCACCGAGTATTAGCAACACGCTGTTTGGAGCTGCTGTTGGAAGAGGGTACCCTTAGAAGGAACATTTGCGGTCTGAAACTGCCAAGCACTTCGCGATCCGAGGTTTGCCAATCGACACTCGAAGCTGCCTTACCGTCTGAGGTGCAATACGCCTGTCTGTATTGGGTTTTCCACTGGAGAGAAAGCATGAGCAAGGTCGAGGATGGCGGGCTGGTCGATTGCTTTTTGAACAGCCATCTGCTGCATTGGTTCGAGGCTCTCGGCTTGCTTGGGCATATCTCGGAGTGCATCGGCATGATAAATGACCTGCTGGATCTGGTTCATGTATGGCACCCTCGAGATTCTGCTTTAATTCTGAGGCCGTGGTAGAGCTAATACTAATATGCCACAGCTGGAACGGGGTGTTCTCCTCTCGGCCCTCCTTCGAGATGCTCGACGAATCATCCTCAGCAATCGGGCCATCATAGACACGTCGCCTCTTCAGGTTTACTACTCGGTCATTCTATTTGCGCCAGAAGAAAGCATCGTCAAGACCAGATTCCGATCTGAATTACCTGTTTGGTTCACCGTATCGCCGCCAATTGCTTCTAAGTGGGATGCATGCCTGCAGACGCTCGAGGGACACACCTCCTTCGTTCGTTCAGTTGCCTTCTCGCATGACTCAAAGTTGCTTGTAACGGCATCAGCAGACAGCACGATCAGGATCTGGGAAGTGGTATCCGGCACCTGCATCTCAACGCTTGTAGGATCCGACTCACGAGTCTCCTCGGTTACCTTTTCGCATGATTCAAAGTTCATTGCTTCAGCGACACTCCGCGAAATTCGACTCTGGGATGCTGTAACTGGCCTTTGTGCTTCAATTCTCGACGGCCATGGCGACAACATTTGTACGATTGCCTTCTCACACGACTCAAGACTACTTGCGTCGACATCTCGCGACGGCACCATTAAAGTCTGGGACTCAACAAGCGGCATCTGCACTTTGACACTCAATGGCCACAGCAAAACCGTCGATTGCGTCGCTTTCTCGCAACAATCTACAGTGCTTGTGTCAAGCTCATACGACTCTTGTATCAAACGATGGGACGTCACGACCGGTGACTGTAAAACAACGATCAAAATCGATAGGGGTACTGATCAACCAGCCGCCCTCTCCCGGGACTCCAGGATACTTGCAGCGGCATCGAATTCAGCAGGCGATAAATGCATCAGGCTATTAAATACCGCCAATGGTGAATGCATATCAACATTTGAAAGCCATGGCCATACGCTTGAGTCGGCCTGTTTCTCTCACGATTCTACGATGCTCGCACTGGTATATGGCGGGAACTATGTCAGAGTCTGGGATATTGCGACAACTACGAGTATAGCAACGTTCAAGGGTCATGCTAAACCACTTAGAGGAATTGCATTCTCGCATGACGCCAAGCTGCTTGCAACAGCATCATACGACAACACTATCAAGATATGGGATCTCGAGGCCGGCGTCGACCAAATGCCGCCGTCTCCTGTGAATGGCGGGCTTCCCCGTCGCATCAAGCGCATAAAAGGGGGGAAGACACTGATTTCAGCATCGTCAGACAAAACACTCCAGCTATGGGATATACCAACGGCTTCCCGCACAGCGACGCTTACTGGATGCACAGGCTGGCCTTACTCCATTGCAGTTGCACATGATTCCGAGTTGCTCGCCTCAACTTCGAAATCAGATGGCCATATCCAGCTCTGGAACATGGCGACGGGCGCTCACATAGCTACGATAGAGGGACATGTTGGTTCGCTTTTCTCGGCTCCGGAAGACTGTGATATTGGATCAATGCCGCCTATGTTTGAGCAGGATGGCTCCCGAAGAATAAAAGTCTGGCAACCATATCAGGACAAGTACTTTGACTATGGATACAATTGGTCTGTGGTCAGTGCTATCGCATTCTCCCATGACTCTCAGCTGCTTGCATCCGCATCGGCAGTGGATGGAATCATCAAGGTGTGGGACGTCGGCTCAGGTGCCTGCATAGCTATACTCGCTGGGCATTCCAGCTGGGTCAACTATCTTGCATTTTTACCACAAGCAGATGTACTTGTATCATCTTCAGGTGATCGCACCATTAGGATCTGGGATATTGGCACTGCTGCCTGTACGGCGACGTTCGAAGGGCAGAGCGAACCCTGGAATGAATCAATTGCATTCTCCCACGACTACAAGTTGCTTGCATCAGGAAAGGACGATGGAAGCATCGACGTATGGGATATCTCTACAGGAGAACGCCGAATGAAGCTTGCGGGAGAAAGCCGGGGCCGAGTATATATAGTCGCCTTTTCACAAAGTCCTGGGCTGCTTGCATCGATAGCATCTCGGCGGCAAGGGTTGTACAATTCACAACTTGCCCTTGACTTCTGGAACGTCTCAACCGGCCTGCGTCTAGCTGGAGTTGATATTAGCCGCCATACTCTACATTGCTTTTCTTTTGATAAAGTGAGACCCTGTCTCTCCATCAGCGTAGGGAAGTTTGAATTGAAGGGTACGTACGAACCTCACTCGATGAATAGCCGCTGTTAACGCAAATCGGCACTCAAACAGGACCAGTGAATTTAGATGACTCAGTGGCAGATGCTCTATCTGTGTCCGATGCAGCAGAGGAGTTGCTGCCTCTAGCTGACGCCAAGGTACAAATCTGTCGCCGCGGCATTGGGCTGAGCAATGATGAAGAATGGGTTGTGTGGGATGATGATAAGATGATTTGGCTCCCGCCAGCCTATCGACCATCTGACATCGCCGTGATAGGATCGACAATGGCGATCTACTGCTCGAAACCCGACATGATCTTTTTTACAATTTCCCCTGACCTCATTCACCTTGAATATCATAGCCTTGACGATGAATAGATGCAAACCTATATGATTGCAGTTATAATTACGGTGTTTATCCTTGTGTGCCTACGAAGAAACCCCCTTGCGGAAGCCACGCAAGAAAAGAATCGCCTAACGAACAGAGACTGAGTGTCTAATCCTTTGGGAACTTTTTGAAAGCATCCATGAGTTTATCCAGCGGCGCAGAGAGCAACCCAACCACCGTCTCAAACGGTGGCTTGTCTGGAGCAGAAGGGTGACTGTGAGTAGGGACAAACATCTTGGTCCTCTGGAAGCTCTTGGAAAGCTGTCGAGACTCGTCCCCAGACACGGCTTGTTCTAGCTTCGGCAGGTCTTGCTCTTCTTCCTCCCGTATATGCTGCTTTAGGTCGGTGTAAAGGCTCTTTAGCGTGGGGATGAAGTCTGGGTCTTTGGCGGAGAGCTTCTGGAATTCGTAGAGCTTCTCTTTGACCTGTGGCATTTCAGCTTGGTTGACTCTCGAACGGCTTGTGGGACATTCGTGTTCCATCTTACCTTTTGGTGCTCCTGGCGGTCCTTTTGGGCAATCTGCTGGCCGTTGATGATCGACTTCTCAAGCACTGGATATACGACTAGCTCTTCGCTGATGGAGTGGCGTGCAAGCTCCCAAACGAATTGATTCTGGTATCTCGTCTGCTCGTCAAGGTCCTTTGATTGGGTGATGCGGTTATAGTAGTCTTCCAGCTCGCGGTGATCTTTGACGATGGCGTCGCTGATGCGGTTCATGAGGAGGGGCGTGGTTGAGAAGCATCTCGGTTGGGTCTGACGAGCAACCCGACTCACGATGCTGTATGCTTGAGTTCTGAAGAGGGACATGTTGTAGGATTGGGCTTTGCGGTGATGGATAGAGCGACTGGATTGTATTGAGGATGAGAATAAGGGGGACTGTAGGGATGCTTTCGACGGTTGGACTGCGGTTGGAGGGGGACGCAAGATGGCTCTCCTGCGACTATAGATCACTTTTACCTCGAACCTTTGCCCCCAACCCCAACGTAATGATGAGCTGCCCGAAATATCGAGCAGTCATTGGGTCTACGGGATTGACGATGGATCGAAGCCATTCAGGGTGGCCTTCCGGGTGGCCATTGTCCAATCACCGCATCTCCATTACAACAATTTCCTTGGAACCCAACATCAAGGAACATTTACTCCTGAGATGACAGAATAGACTTGTGCCGGGGCGAATCTCTTAGCTGCTTTAGCGCAATCGTGATGCGGAGAAAGGAGCTGTGAGGAAAAAGAAGCTTTAGATTATGCGTACTGGTTTGTCGGGTGACGTCCGCTTGAGGTAAACAGTCTGACGGAAGATCGACGATCTGCGGGCGACTATATCTCTTTAGCCTTTGTGATAATTGGCCGCTTGGCGAGATCTTACAAGGAAAACTGCGTAAAGGTCATTAAGCTGGCTATGATTGGATCTACTATTCGTACATCAGAGCTACCCATCAGCGGTGAACTGTATCTCCGGGAGCTTCATGCGTTCGTGTTCGTCTCAAGCTAACTACCTATACATACAATACAGCGTACGAAGCACGTTGGAAAATGCACACATTCTCGTGCAGTCTGAAGTGAACCACTACTATTACAGTTGTGCATTGCGCATCACTCAATGCTTTGCCTTTTTCCGTGGCCGAAAGTCGGCAGAATACGACTTGAAGAAGTCGTTGGGTTCCGTGGGATGAGTGCCCGTCACATCATGGAAGGCCGTCGTAGCAATGTAGTTGGTCTTGCCCTCGCGGACCAGGCTGTAATACTCCAAGATGAACTCCTTTTCGGAATCGTCGCTTTCGCTCTGCAAGGATAGAACCCTCTTGGCTTCCCGTCTTCGCCGCTGTGTTAGTGGGAAGCGATACTCTTCTGGAATTGAGCGATTTGACTTACTCGGAGATGTTTTCGAATTCAATATTGACGCCCAGCGCTTTGCTGGCTGCCTCGGCCAACTCTTTGCCGGCGCATAGTTGAGGTCCGGTGACAATCATCATCTGGCCTCGGTGCCTGTCATCGAAGCCATGCTTGCCTTTGCCGGCGAGAACATGAGCAGCCACATGGGCAATGTCCTACGATAACCGGTTAGCATGATGCGATGCTGGGTGAGTTGGAGTCAGTGGACTCACGCCCAGCGCAACGGGGGCGAATTTGTGATTCTCGCCGATTGGCAGCGGGAGCACTCCGTCTGCCTTGGCCTGCTCCGAGTAGAGCAGCAAGTTTTCTGCGTAAAATCCAGCACTGGAGTGAGAACCTGGTTAGTAGTTGAGTTACCTGGTCGATCCATGGCAACGGAAAACGAACCGGATCACGCAGGGCGAATGGCCAAGTGGCGTATGGGGATCCCCCTTGCTCGCCAGAACCGCGCTCTCAATGTCGATAAACTCTCTTAGACGAGGCTGCCTCTGGCTGTCTGCATAATCGCAGCCGGCAGAGCTGATGAGCAGAACATTCGCCACACCGGCCTTCTTGACCGCATTCGCAAGCTCCATGGTAATGTCCAGCTTGTCGCGATGCGCGGGAGGAACCAGGCAGATGGTGTCGCAGCCAATGTCCTTGAGGGCCTTGACCATGGTCCGCTCGCGGCCTGGCTGATGCTGAACAAGCTTCCCTCCCAGCTCGGTGAATTCTTGCGCTCGCGGCGATTCAGTGTCCAATGCCAGGCCCGTGATGCTGTTGATCTGGCGAGCGAATTTGCCCTCTTTGAGGAGCAGCTCGGCGATGAGGAAGCCGGTTTGGCCTTCTACGGCCGTGATGCAAATGTTGCGAGACATTTTGGCTACGCAATCACAGAGGTCAAATTTGTTGTTTACTCTTTGGATAGTGACAGTTTGCGCTTTCACGATTGCTGCTGTCGGTGGCGGAGATTATAAGTGCTCGGCAACAACCTGCGCTACCTTATGATATGCCATCTTTGAGGCTCAGCATCATTGATCGTGTTGGTTGAACGGCCGACGTCACTGTGATTGCTTCTAGCGATGCACGTAAGAAAAGGGGTGTCCTTGAAAGTTTGCCGCCCCAATTATCGTGATTGACATCATGCCTCTGGCGGGAGGTTTCGCTCCGGCCTCTGGCAGGGATTTTGTTGGTATGCAGCTACCTATTTCTTTGATGGTGACGTGTTGCAGACACATTCAATGAATGTAGCTTCCACCTCGAGATTTATGTTAGATGGGCATTGAAAGCGAGGACGTGATTCCAAATGAAAGACGTCGTAGATGACATAGAGATGATTGAGTGCATAAAGGCTAGATGTTGTGTTGATGGCTTGAGTAGCGGAATCTGTATTCATAAGTAGGAGGCGATATCTTCAACTAGGGATAGAGCCCATCGCCTCACCTCTCGTGGTCCTTTTCCCAACAGCCTCATAGTACCTTGACAAAAGATTTCACAGCAATGGAGGGCAGCAATTCCAACCAGTTCGATCCCCGTCAGCATCCGCTCAAAGCAACCGCAGCCGCTATCGGCGCAGGAGTACAAGGAGAGCGACGCGCACCGCGTATGAGCCACATGCAGAGTGCTAACGAAGGACCTGCCGACATTATTGCCAAGGTATCTGGTGTTGTGAGTGGCGGTAAGAGGGAAGATGATAGCCTCTACTTTACCAACAACGAGGGCATCCCGTTTCCCGATCCGTAAGTCGCGGGCAGTTCAGTCTGTTGGGTTGAGTGACTGACTTACACGTGGATAGTGCCCATAGCAAGACTGTCGGAGGCATTCCCGTCGCCAGCGATGTGTTTCTCTTCCAGTGAGTATACTATATACAATGCTACATTGCTTCTATTGACGTTTCGAAGGAAGCAGCAACACTTCAACCGATCCAAGCCATTGGAGCGTAAGCATTCATCTTGACGGGGTGATACCGCCACGAGAACCTCATTGACATGACCTTATAGGAATGGTTCACCCTTGCGGCTCTGGAGCCTTTGGTTACTTTGAGTGCACTCAAGATGTCACCGAACTCACTGTACGGCATATTCTTATGACTTCCGTGAAGGATAGAAGCCTAATGAATGACCTTATGCTCCTTAGAAAGCCGACTTCCTGTCCAGCCGCGGGGAGAAGACGCCCGTCTTTGTGCGGTTCTCTACCGTGACTTTTGGCCGCGAGTTCCCAGACCAAGGGCGGAACCCGCGCGGATTTGCCATCAAGTTTTACACCACGGAGGGCAACTATGACATTGTCGGACTCAACTTTGTGAGGACATATAGTTGGCCCAAATATCGATCCGCTTGAGCTAACGTCCTGCAGCCCGTATTCTTCTGTCGAGATCCCATTCAGGGTCCCGATGTGATTCGCTCTCAGAGTCGTAACCCCAGGAACTTTCTCCTCGATTTTGATGCCCTCTTTGATCTGCTCGCCAACACCCCGGAGGCCAACCACGCCGGCCTCATGTTCTTCAGCGATCACGGAACTCCCCAGGGCTGGCGCTTTAATCACGGATATGGCTGCCATACCTTCAAATGGGTCAACAAGACTGGCGAATTTGTCTACATCAAGTACCACTTTATCGCCAAGCACGGCCAAAAGACGTTCACCGACGAGGAAGCCGTCGCCATGTGCGGCAGAGACCCGGATTATTCCAAGCGCGATCTCTGGGACGCCATCGAGCGTGGCGAGGATATCGAGTGGACTGCGTATGTGCAGGTGATGCAGACCGACCAGGCAGATCCCGATAAGCTTGGCTTCGACCCCTTTGATGTTACCAAGATCTGGCCGAGGAATCAGTTCCCCATGAAGGAGTTTGGCCGGCTAATGCTGAACAAGAACCCGGAGAACTTCCATCGCGACGTGGAGCAGGCTGCCTTTTCTCCTGGCAGCATGGTGCCAGGCATTGAGGACTCACCTGATCCTCTTCTTCAGTTCCGCATGTTCTTCTACCGGGATGCTCAGTATCATCGTATCGGTGTCAACTTGCATCAGATTCCCGTCAACTGCCCTTTCATGGCAAAATCGTATGCGTCGCTCAACTTTGACGGTCCGATGAGGACAGATGCCAATCATGCCGGCAACAAGCAGTATGCGCCCAACAGCTTTGCGCACAAGTTCCGGCCAGACACGGCGGAAGCGCCATATGCTGTGAGCGACAACATTATGAGCCGCAAGAGTCACTACTGGCACGAAGGCAAGAAGAACGACTACGATCAAGCGACGGAGCTCTGGACGAGGGTTATGACGTCCCAAGAGAGGCAGAACACGTGCAAGAATACGGCCAAGTATCTCAGCCTCGTGAAGTATAAAGACATCAGGGTACGTCGAACAATCAAACAATATGAGAAACAACTATGCTAACATGATCTGCATTAGTCCAAGTATCTGGCTCAGCTTTACAACATTGCGCCTGACTACGCGACTGGCGTCTTTGAACTGCTCAATGAAACTGAGTTTGACTTAGGTGAGGTCGAGAGCCTGGCGGAAACAGCCCAGGAGTGGTACAAGGACAAGAAGTTTATGCCTTCCACTGGCGAGAACTTGATGGGCAATGTCCCTGGGATGCCGGTGTATAATATTTGAATGAGCGGTGCGGGCCACACTCGGCTTTCTGTCGCTATCTGGCTTCGTGGTATGTAAAAGAAGCATGGTAAACGGGATTTGAGCTCTCCTTCTAAAGGGCCGTACGCTATGATATTGATCTCTGCTTTCCTATCAAAGGTCCAAGGCTTACGAGATCCTCTATTGCTTACACTCTTCGACTTGAAATCTTGATAATCATTACAACGCGACAGACAAAGTACCACAGCTGGCTGACATGAAGGAATGCATCTCTGAAGATATGTCCAGTTCCGAGGTGCCTTCAACACCTCCTCATTTTAAGCCTCTCTGCCATAACTAGTTCTCATTTGGCTTATAACATGTCCGTTGTGTTGGTTGTGTAGGTTTGGGGGCGATGCAATGTGTAGGCGTTATCGTATGCTGTGAAACCAGCAGTTCGGCAAGTTTCCTCGTAACGCTGCTCGAGCTTCTCAGGCAGCGGCTATCCAACGTCTCAAAGTTATGGCGGTAAGTAATACTATAAATAACTGCCAAAGTCAGAAGAGTACTAGAGCCTGTGTGGAAAAGATTTCCGTAATTTATGTATAACCGGATGCCTGGCAGCGTACATGTAAGCAAGCAGTAAGGTATTGCTTGAGAGAGCCGCCTAGATGATGAATAACCTCTTGGAAGCGCTTTGCTACAGAATCCCTTCGTGAATCTTGAATAAATGGATGGTCACGATAAACAGCTCGGCTCAACCAGGTACGGAATACATTTATTTATAGCTCTTATAATATGGAAGAACTTTCGCGAGCATCAATATGTCGTAACTCTTCAGATGAAGAAGGTTGTCTGGTGACCAGATGGCATTCAGAGCAACTTGTACAACCAACACATAAGGAATCCTTGTCTCTCACCGAGCAACAATGACATTGTGACAACAAACCGACTGGCCAGCAGCCCATTTTTGGGGACCGACCATTCTCTACTGCCATATGAAAGACGTCGAACTTGGTGACTAGGAACTGATAGTTCAGGAGAGTAGAGACAGGCATAGCAATGTGAATACCTCCCGGAGAGCTCTGTCCTGTGCTCCAGTGGCTGGGAAGCCATAACTCTGCATGTATCCGTTCAGGTTGGTTTCACTCATGCGCCTTCAATTCTGCTGCCAACGAGTGGCAAATAACACGACATGGCTGAAACAGAAGCTGCATGCTCATAAAGAGCCCAAAATGACGCCCGAAAGACGCGGATGTATCGAAGCCTATAGGTAGATTACAGAAAGATATGGCGCATCAATGACAGTCCAGTCACTGAACACTCGTCTTCCAAAGATGGGCCGATGCTATAATTGCAAGAAGGGCTTCCAAACAGTTTGCTGAAGCTAAATAGCGACATTACATTGCATCTGCATTGTATTACAATACCTAATGGCCCGTGTAACCTCGAGTGATATAAACGCGCTACGAAGATGCTATGCCCCTGCGTGGCACCATGTTGGCCCAGCGTCTGGCCGACTATGTCACCATTCCCAGCTTAATCAGTCTTAAAATAGCATAAAGAGGCAGTGTTTGAAGCTATGTAGGGCAAGATACACTATTATGTGAGATTTATATGAAGGCCGGTTCCCCTGACCTTTGTCTGGAAATAGCCAAAGACTGCCAAAGATTTCCTCTATCATCAACTCTCGGACATTCACTTGTTGGCGGAAATCTTTCTGTTTTTCCATCTTATATCTTTATTCGCACATCCTTTGACGCACTTACCTATCTCGAGAACACCAACATCATCCAAACGCTTCTCACGCTATAGTCAGCACCTAGAAAGAGAAGCTCTTATCCCATCGAGCCAACACCATGTCAACTCCCCCTCGCGATAAAGTTCAGGTTGGCTGGATCTGCGCACTGCCAGAGGAGGCTGCAGCAGCGCGAGAGATGCTGGACGAGAACTTCGGCACTCTGAAGGAGCAGAACGGCACTGATACCAATTCATACATCTTGGGGCGGATAGGCAATCACTATATTGCAATTGCTGTCCTGGGACAATATGGAACCACTTCAGCCACTGCCGTGGCAACCAATATGTCGCGGACGTTTTCAAGGTCACTGAAATTCGGCCTCATGGTCGGCATTGCAGCAGGCATTCCGTCCCCAGGCCATGACATCCGCCTTGGAGACATCGTCGTCAGCTCCCCAGCCGGCACCTGCGGAGGCGTTGTTCAGTATGACACGGGCAAACTGGTCAAGGATGGGAAGATGGAGCGAACTGGCTCTTTGAACGCTCCACCACGCTTATTGCTCAATGCGGTTTTGGCAATGAGATCGTCTACTATGACGGAGGTCCCCAAGTATCTGGGGTATATGGAGAAAGCTATTCACCGGAATGAACGGACACGAAAGACGTTTGGCCGACCAGACGTGTCTACTGATCGTCTTTTCCGGGCGGAGTGTGAGCATCCGGCAACCGCGTCAACTTGTGAAGGCTGTCTTCCAGACTGGGAACAACCGCGAACAGCACGCGAAGACGACGAGGCCAATATACACTACGGCATTGTTGCGTCCGGGAACGCGGTCATCAAGCACGCAGCAACCAGAGATCAGCTTGGCCGGGAGACTGGGGCCCTCTGCTTCGAAATGGAGGCTGCTGGCTTGATGATGGATTTCCCCTGTATTGTCGTCCGAGGGATCTGTGATTACGCTGATTCGCATAAGAACGACACATGGCATGCGTATGCAGCCTTGGCGGCGGCAGCATATGCGAAGGAGTTGCTGGATTATGTTCCATCGGCTGACCTGGATACGGAGAAACCGGTGATTGAGGTCTGTCGTAGGTCAAGCACCTATCGTGTCATGCCACAGGAATAAAATTACTGATGCGTTCTGTGTAGGGATTATATCTGGCCAAATTCAGGAGGTGAATCAAGGGCTTGAAGTGGCGTTTCGACAGCGCGAAGAACAGCATCTTGAAATCACTGGGAGAGCCCTGGACCAAGAACTCCAAGATTGCCACCAAGCCCTCAAAACGTCCACGTATGAGGCTTATAAGAACGTTAACCCGAAGCGGGAAGAAGGAACGTGTCGATGGGTTCTGGACAACGTCCTCTATCACCATTGGCGCGGCAGTGACCGCCATGACCTTCTGTGGATAACCGCTGATCCAGGATGCGGAAAGTCAGTGCTCGCACGATCTCTTGCTGATCACGATCTCGTTACATCTCCTCCAGTCTCCATCTGTTACTTCTTCTTCAAAGACAACGAAGATCAGGACAGTCTGGCAACCGCGTTGTGCGCTCTGCTGCATCAGCTCTTCGGACTCCAACGGCAGCTATTACGAAATGCCTTGCCGGAATGGAGAAAGAACGGCACGCAGATCAAGAAGGAAACCGATGCTCTATGGCGCATCCTCGATGCCGCCGTCTCAGATGAGGCTTTTACCAGCACGATCTTCATACTAGACGCCCTAGATGAGTGTCAGACAGACCATCAGGGGATGCTTGTGGAGAAGCTGGTACAATTCTACACTGAGAGGCACTCAGTAACCCGACAAAACTGGCTCAAGTTTCTTCTTACTAGCCGACCCTATGCGAACATTCAGAATGGCTTCCGTTCGGCTACAGAATCCTTCCCGGAGATTCGTATTCGCGGGGAGGATGAAAATGGACAGATTCACAAGGAGATTAACTTTATTGTCAAGATACGTGTGGAACAACTGGCCCAGGAGTTCAATCTAGCCTGGGAAACGCGGCAACAGCTAGAAGATCAACTTCTCCGGATGAGGCATCGGACATACCTCTGGTTGCATCTAGCCATGGAAGACATCCGTACCATGCTACGCATCAGCTTGGAGCCGGAAAGGCTGATCCAGAACTTGGCCAAATTGATCCCAGACTCGGTCGACGCCGCATACGAGAAGATTCTACAGCGAGTACCACGTAACGCCAGAAGACTTGTCAAATCGACTTTCCAGATAATTGTCGGTGCGTGGCGTCCCTTGACGATTCCAGAGCTGGCAATAGCGCTTGGAGCGGCCATGGCAGATTGGCGACGGGCAGCCATTGCCGGGTTGGAGCCAAGGGGGTTGGCCGAAAAGATCCGTCAGCTGTGCGGGCTTTTCGTGTTCATCGACGGCTCCGAAAGAGTGTACCTGATGCACCAGACGGCCAGAGAGTTCCTAGTCAAGAACGTGACACCAAATGGACGAGAATGGCCCGCCCAGATCAGGGCAACGCATAAATACGAAGACGTGAAAGGAGATCGGATGTTTGAAGTTACGAGCAAAGTAAGGAGATGGTATCATACAACGCGAGCCCAAGCAAACTTTCTCATGCTTAGGATATGCCTGACATATCTAAGCGCAGATGAGCTTGGTAACGGAAGTTTGATCGCATTTCGCGCCAATGATTACGGGCATTGGATCAAGAGAACCGCAGGGGAACTGCGGGATTACGAAGTACTGCACCCATTCTTTGAATATTCATGGCGCCAATGGGCAAACCACGCGATTGCGATATACCCGATCAAGATGGATCTACTATTGGAATTGGTAAATCACACAAGAGTTGCGCCAGCATTAAGAGACTACTGGCTCATATGTGTCTCTCATTTCGAGCTGATCAAAACCACCCAAATGCTGGTCAAAAACGGTGCCAACCTCGAAACCCGGTTTTGCTCAGGGCCCACGCCCTTTTGGAATGCTCTCTTGCGCAATGGAAGGGACACGATAGAGAATGAATCTATGGTGAGGCTTTTGGTCGGGATGGGTGCAAACATCGAAGCTCCGTCTTCTTCTACTTCAGATACTACGCCCCTTATGGGGGCTGTATGTCGGAACAATAAGGCTTTGGTGAGATTGCTTGTTGAGCTAGGTGCTGATTTGCAGGCCTCACACGTTGTTTCTAAGACGCCCTTGATCAATGCTGCCCGCAGCGGCCAAGATGATATGGCGAGACTTCTCATCAGCTTGGGTGCTCATGTTGATGGCAGAGATGTCTGTGGCATGACACCACTCATGTGGGCGATCGTGGAGAAAAAGGACAATATGACGAAACTGCTTCTGTGGCTGGGTGCTGATGTAGAAGCCAAAGACGGGATTGATCGCAAGACAGCCCTCTCGTGGGCTATTCAGAAAGAGCAAGAAGCTATAGCCGAACTACTGCTTGATCACGGCGCTCACATTGAGATTGAAGACTCTTTGTGGGATACGCCAGTCATGAGGGCTATCGCAAGCAGACGAAAGAATGTGGCGGAGCTGCTCCTTCAGCGCAATGCTAGCCTTTGGAGGACTCCTTTCGCTGAAGCACTACTGAGGAGGGCTTTGGAGACGAGGACTCCTTTCCCTGAAGCACTACTGAGGAGGGCTTTGGAGACGAGGAACCAAGCCATGGCAAGGACACCTGTACTGATGGGTCATGATGGTACCCAGGCTAGGATTATCACATTAGACCGTCTCGGCCACCGGCCTATGGGAGGCTTCACCGGAATTCGGCGAGGTGGTCTCAACAATTAGACGATTCTATTTTCTGGCTGGCCGGTTTCGAGAAGAAGGAGGGAAACATTCCCTCATGAGATCGGAGACGTTGATATTGCGACAGATGGCGTTATTATGATGGATTGAGATACAGAATTCATATCAGATGACATTATTTATGCTTTCCACACATTAACTAGAGAGATCTGACTTTGAAAGCAATTTTACGCAGCGGCTATCCAGCACTTTGGCAGACTGATAATATCTTTATTACTACTCAGGTACTATTACTGCTGCTGCTGCTGCTGCCGCCGCCGTTATGACTAGGTAGGTAATAACCAGCTTGGCTGCTCTCTGCTACGAGTTCCTACCTAGGTGCTTTATTCCGATCTGAGTATTAGTTTAAGAATTTATATACCTAGGTAGATAAAGTGCCTCAGTGGTGAACATGGAATTGAGAGCAATAATGATATTAATAGTTCATCTTGTCCAATAGGGGAACTGTGCAGGCATGCGTCGGTTCCTACTTAGGTAATCAAATAAGATACCTACTAGTACCTAGGTACCTTAATAAGGATACGAGTGGGGATGCAGCTCTGAGCCGATGCCTATCGATAACGACTTTTTTTCCCAACTTTTTTCTTATCGTTACCCAAAGACCCCGAGACCCGCCAACTTCTTCGCAGCATAGAACGGCCGCAACTCTTCAGCCATACAATTGGATCTGGATTGCAGCGCGAGCGATAATTCTTGACTACGTCTGCGACAGATATAAAGAATCGATCCAAAGATGGCCGCCACCAAGCACCTCCGCGCAGAGGCCGAGGACAGCGTGGCCGAGAACCGCCCGGTCAAGAAGTCCAAGGTCGCCGACGCTGGCGACGATGCCGAAAAGGCGCGCCTGAAGAAGGAGAAGAAGGACAAGAAGAAGGAAAAGAAGGAGAAGAAGCAGAAGGAGTCAAAGTCTGCTGACAATGAGGACAAGACTGACGCGCCCGTAGAGGAGGCCGCTGAAGAGGGCAAGAAGGACAAGAAGAAGTCAAAGAAGGACAAGAAAGACAAGAAGGAGAAGAAGCAAAAGGACGAGAGCAACCAGCAGGTCGTCGAGGAACAGCCCGAGAGCATGGACATTGACCAAGACGAGAAGCCCGCCGAAGACAAGAAAAAGTCCAAAAAGGACCGCAAAGCCAGCAAGCCCGCCGCGCAAGACGCCTCCAGCGGCCGCGAATACGTCCAGACCATGAGCCTGTCCAACGTCCCGCAGTCCGAGATTGACGAGTACCTGTCCAAGAACGAGATTGTCATCACCGACCCCCGAAACACCACCGGCAAGCTGCGCCCCGTCACCGAGTTCCACCACCTCCCTTCCACCAACCTGCTGGAGAAGAAGCCGTCGCCGTTTGCAAGCTACAAGGCGCCCACGCCCATCCAGGCCGCCTCATGGCCGTCCACCCTCTCCGGGCGCGACGTCGTTGGCGTGGCTGAGACGGGATCCGGCAAGACCATGGCTTTCGCGCTTCCCTGCGTCGAAGCCATTTCCGTCCTTGGAACAAAGGGCATCAAGGCCGTTGTTGTTTCGCCCACTAGAGAGCTGGCCATGCAGACTCACGAGCAGCTGGCTCGCCTGGCTGCCCTGTTGAGGCTCAAGTGCGTCTGCCTCTACGGCGGTGCTTCCAAGGACGATCAGCGTGCGCTGCTCCAGAAGGGCGCTGACATTATTGTCGCCACTCCTGGTCGGTTGAAGGATTTCATGTCTGATGGAACGGTCGACCTGAGCGGCTGCAAGTTCGCTGTTCTGGACGAGGCCGATCGCATGCTGGATAAGGGATTCGAGGAGGACATCAAGATGATCCTCGGTGCTTGCCCTCCCCGTGAGGAGCGCCAGACGCTCATGTTCACCGCTACGTGGCCGACCTCCGTCCAGAGCCTGGCCTCCACGTTCATGGTCGACCCCGTCAAGATCACCATCGGATCTCGCGGCAAGGAGACTGAGAACGGCTCGGTCGAGCTCCAAGCCAACACTCGCATCACGCAGCGAGTCGAGGTCCTCGACGGCCGCGACAAGGAGACCCGTCTCCTGCAAATCATCAAGCAGCACCAGCAGGGCAAGCAAAAGGACGACCGGATTCTCGTCTTCTGCCTGTACAAGAAGGAGGCCACGCGCGTCGAGAGCTTCCTTGCCCGCAAGGGCGTCCGCGTGGGCGGCATCCACGGCGACTTGAAGCAGGAGCAGCGGACGAGGAGCTTGGAGGCGTTCAAGACGGGCAAGACGCCGGTGCTGGTCGCTACGGATGTGGCTGCTCGAGGACTGGATATCCCCGAGGTCAAGCTGGTCATCAACGTCACTGTGAGTTGCATCGAGTGTGAGCTAATGCAGACTTGTGTCTAACTATCTTCTCTTCTAGTTCCCTCTCACCATTGAGGACTATGTTCACCGTATCGGACGAACGGGCAGAGCTGGCAAGACTGGCGAGGCCATTACCATGTTTACCGTCCAAGACAAGGCGCACTCTGGATCGTAAGTAGCCTCTCTGTCACACGTGTGCTTCCCCTCTTGAAATGGGGTGCTAACAAGAGCTCAACAGCCTCATCAACATTCTCAAGGGCGCCAACCAGCCCGTTCCGGACGAGCTGATGAAGTTCGGCACCGTCGTCAAGAAGAAGACGCACGACATGTACGGCGGCTTCTTCAAGGACGTTGATCCCAACCAAAAGTCAACAAAGATTACCTTTGACTAATTTCAAGGCATGGGCGGCTATTACCTAGGTACGTGTGCACGGGAGACAAAATGGGTTTCTCTTTACTCTCTCTTCTTCAGATGTGTTTTTTTTTTTTTTGTTTCGTCTTACTTTTGTTACTACTCGCGTTTGCTTGCTTTGCGGCCTCGGATAGACTGGACGCATTCGAGAAGGAATCTGCGCTCTAGAAACACACTGCAGCACCATGTTAGTCGGCTGAATGTCTCGAGGAGATACCAAGCATGTAGATATATATGCGTTTACATACATGAGAATCAGCAATGGAATGGCAGAGCCAGCAATCTTGATGAGCGTTGCGAATGGTCGAACTTGGCCATCAGCTTCAATGTTCAACCACCGCAAGAGCCCCAGTGTGGACAGTGAGACGGCGATTGTGGTTGTGGGAAATAGCGAAGCTGGCTCAAAGTCGACGCCGAGTGATTTGAAGTAGTTGACAATAAAGGCGGCGCTCCAGATGATTCGACACAGCATGTTGATGGAGTTGGCGTACACCAGTCCATGAGCACCGAGTTGGAGAACGCTCATGAAGAAAAAAGCAGACGCAGCAAAGACTGCTGAGAAGATGCCCATCCAGAACGACTGGCGGTGAACCTGAGCCTCCGTAGCGACAGAAGCAACAAATGACTCGGTGATTCCGTTGAGGCCCATAAAGGGAATGTAGAAGCAGTACGTGCCAAGAACTTGGCCAGCACCTGAGCCGGTCCAGCGTCTGCCCGCCACGATAGACAGAAGCGGGGGGGCTGCAATCGGCCCTATGCTGACAATGATAGCAGACAAGAGGATGTATAGACGCAGGATCGTATGTAGATTGCGCTTTGCCTCCGTGACTGATGGAGAGGGATGGCTGCCTTTGGAAGAAGATGCCGAGGGCGAAGATAACAGGCGAGAAAAGTAGCTGCGGCTACTCTCTTCGACGGGCTGAAAGAGGAGGCGGGCAAGCAGGCTGCCGTAATTGTTTGCCAAGGCATACACGCCCTGGACTTGGGGAGTAGAGAAGAGCGAGATGAGGAACGTATCGCCTTGGGTCAGCAGATGCTTGACCACGCTCTGGGCCATCATGCTGCCTGCGAGACTTACCGTCGGCTTGTAAAAGTAGGACAGCACAAAGTCGACTTCCTTGCTAGAAGCGAGCCGCTTGGGCAGAAGCGAGAATCCAGTGGTCAGCGCCAGGCGGTATCCAGAGGCAAAGTAAACTAGGAGGAGGGAGATGCCGTATGACAGCTGGCCGAGCGCAAAGGGCAGCACGCCGATATCCAGGCCCTTCCGAGACGCCCACACGGCAGACCCAAAGACGACGATGCAGCGAAGAAAGGTGGCGATGGATTCGGCAGCCGCGCGAGTGCCGAACTGAAGACGCGTCTGCATCAGGACGAAGCACGGCTCGGACAGCAGCTCGACCATGGCGGCAGCGCCGTAGAGCCAGAGCGACTCGACGAGCCAGGGAGTCTCCAGCGTGGCGGCCGGAGCTGAAGCAAGATACATCCATCCCAGAAGGACACTGACAAAGGCGCCCAGTCCCACGGCGAGATATCCCAGATTCACCACCGCCTGGCCCTCTCTTTTCGCGACAGCAGCATCGTCGGCATCATTATCATCATCATCATTCTTGGTGCTTGATGATGCTGCTCCGGCGATGCCCTGGCGCTGGATGGCGACGCGCAGGCTCTCGCGGGCGAAGAAGAGGACGGAGAGGTAGTAGACTTCGAGCTGCGTGGAGAGGCCGAGGAGCGGCGCGGTGAGGAAGCGCAGGAGGAGCTGGTTGGCGATGAAGGTGATGAGGCGGGAGGCGACTTGGAGGATGATGAGCAGGGAGGCGCCTTTGAGGGCCGAGGTTTGGGGAGGTGTGGGCGGTGAGGATGCCCGATTTGGTGAGCTGTTTTGGGGAGGCTGAGAGTTTGAGGCGTCGTTTGGAGGCGGCATCATGGGCTCATGGGAGCTGAAGCTGTGGTGGTGAATTGAAGAACAGATGTCGATGTCGATGTTGAAGATACCTGTACACGTGGAAGTTCTGGGGTCATATTATATGAGGTTCAATGAGCTCCATGACCGCCAAGCTGGAGCTGCGCAGGCGAGGGCGTTAGTGGGGGGGTTATAGTGGACTTTAGTGAGCGAGGTCCCTGGGGGATTGCTGTAAGTGAACCTGGGAGACGGGACGCACGCCGGAATCCCACACTACCCTAGAGGTGGGAACACGTCAACAGGTTGATATTGATGGAAATTCGAGGGTAGTATGGAAGACGAGTAACTGCACATGTGTCGGGATCTCGTTTGATCTTTTGACGAATGAATATGCAGAGGCTTGAAGAGGTTGACTCGATCGCTGGAGCTGACACCACTACCTATTGCCGCTCGGATCAAGAACAGTTCGCCTTCCTTGGGCGCAGAATTGTTTCCGATACGACGCCAGAAAGAGGGAGACGAGGTGCCGAGCAATACATACCTGTACCTAGACTTCGGCCAGTTTTATTTTGGGAGCCGTCACCTATGTATATGTAGGTATGTTGAGGGTGCGGGCACAAACACGAACAGACAGGCAAACGTACAAGGGGAAAACAAGTCAAGTCGGAGATGATGCGAGAGGCAAACGAGCCAAAACGAGCACGACCACATGTGGTGTCTGGTCTATTTTTGACATAGCGAGGGGCTTCCATCGACAAATTCACATGCAGTTTGATTGCGAATCAATATTTTCCATATTACGTCCCATGATCTGATCTACCTTGACAGTACAATCTCTACATGTCTTACACTCAAACAAACAATGTCCAGCTATCTGCGACAAACCCGTGGCCGTCTCCGATCTTCAAACCTGGGTCTAGTGCATCGACGGCATCAAGCCAATGACCCCCTGTCATGCGCTCCAGTCTAGCGTTTCTGATTCAGACAGTCTCGTCCTCAGCCTGCTTCCCTATAATAAGGTACATGCAGTTCAGCATTGGTAGGCCTGAGAATACACAGTATCGTGAGTGTCCTTGCGCTTTGCGTGCCGAGGGCTAGAGCTACTGCTGTTGCCGTCCGTGGAGCCGTCGTCAATATGGGTGTAGTCGGTGTGCTCAGAGTCGGTGGTGTCGGAATCCTCTGTGCCATCATACTCGAGCATTTTCCTGATCTCCCGATATTTGAACGAAGGACAGCTCTGTAGCATGCTCTGGATCGTACTTCGAGCATACTCTTCCGCGAAAGGAACATTGGCTTGGGCTGTGCAGTTTGTCATGATCTTCTTCATGATGGCACCTGCGGTACTGAACTGGCCTTTGGTGTCAAGACTTCTCGCCAGCTGGACACTGCTCCGCATGAAATCTGTTCCATCAAAAACTCTCTCGACACCAGCCTTATGATAGTCCTGCGTCTCCGAAATATAGCGGAGCCGAAAGGGCACCAGCACGCCGTCCATCTCGGGGTTGTATTTGGGCTTTGTGCTGTCAGTCTGTCCTGAATATCGAGCCCCCCCTGATATCCCCAGGAGAACCCACATGTCAGGCTCGCCATCTTCATGCTTGACCAGAGGTGGCTCTCTTATGTCGGCAGATAGTTCTTCGTCTTCTGTGGCCGAGAGCTGAAAAGGGTCAACCTGAGCCGTGTCGGAACAAGTCGATGGAAGCCAGCTGCTTTCGACAAGGTTCCCGCTGCTCACTCCATCGAGTTCAGACCCAAACTCGCCGTCTTGAAGGTCCACAAAGTCTCCAGGTAACGAGACCTGGGACAAGAAGAGGAGATGCCGAGCAATGTGCTCATGCAGATCCTCAGAGATGTGCTCGTGGTCGTACTGGGTGCAGAATGGACAGCTGCGCAGGGGCTGGCACGGAGGATACCAATAATTAAACTCCGAGTCTCCGATAGGGCTGGCTCCGTGACTATCGATCAAATGTTGCCGGAAGTCGTCCTTGTTCGCGAAACACACTGAGAAGTGGTGGCGGTGGCATTTCCAGCCACCTCCCATGTGGTACCTCTCGATATGCTTCATCCACTGATCATACGAGTCGAACATTGCATTCGGAGTTGGGCAGATCTCGTAAACGCACACGAAGGGCATCAGATCTTGCAGGATGTGTCGACTAAGAAGAGGGGGTGAGTATGTGCAGAAGGGGACTCTGTTGATGTGGATACGTACGGCCAATTTTCTTTGGTAAACTCTTCAGGCAGATACACTTCGAAGCAGTAGGGGCATCTTGTCTCGGTGCAGCTGTAGGGGCGAGGCGGGAGCTCCGCTGTGAGAAACATGGGCTTGTCCATTCTTTGCTTCTTCGAGTGTAGTCGCCCGCTCCCAGCGGTATGAGCAGTTGTGGCAGTTCGAACAGGGAGACCTGTCTGTGTTGGCACTCTCTTCATCGCGTTTCGACCCTGACTGCTTTGCAAGGCTGATTGGGCTCCCACGCTGGAGACTTTTTCGCCCTTGCCCAAAGCTTCGGCTGCTGGACGAGATTTTTCAGGCTCTGATGCATGGAGGGCCCGATGATCAAGCTCTTTCAATCCTGCCTTGAGAGAACACAAGTGTTGATGCCGGCTGAAGATTGTTTTCACCAGTCTCTGTTTGAGCACTTTGCTGGTGACTTTCAACGTGGTGTCCAGGTAATATTGCACCCTGTCTCTAAATCTGCATGTAAGATTTACTCTACTCTGCTCATCGTATTCGAAGTACAGCGAGGCATTGTCCGCACGGTGAAGCAAAATGCCTGATAGGCTGAGAAGCCGCCAGCAGTCGAACAGTTTCTCAAACAAGTCGTCGATACTTGCCTGCTGATTAGCACCGGACTCTGTTGTGAAGGAGATCTGATCTGGATTGCGCGATTGCAAGTCTTGTATGTCACTCTCGATAGCTTCAGCAAGGCGCAAAAGCAAGCTCTTGATACCACCATGACATACAGAACCCACCACAAGGCGCCAATCCATAGAGTCTCGGTTGTTGAAGATTGCCCCAGTGGCATATGCCCATGAGTTGAATCTGTCCGAGCTGTCGGTGGCCAACGGCAGCCTGTCGCGGTCATATTGAGACAAGAGGCGAAGATGTTCGCGAAAGAGGCCTTTGCACTGCGTTGCTGCCTCGAAGATAGTCATGGTGTCGTGCGTTCTGGCTCCAGCCTGCTGCTCAAATTTGGAGTCGTAGTTGTGATTGTCTTGTGGAAAAGGAATCTGGCTCATGAGCCGGTTTTCAATTCGCCCGTTGGCTGCCTAAGGCGGCAAGTTGAAGGAGAGATGATGGTGTGTGAAACCACCACCTGCTGTTTGTGCAGCAAACAAGCAAAAGGGGCAAGTTTGATGCTATTCATATGGCCGTAACTTGGCTTGCAGTAATGCTCAGCTGCAGGCGTTACTGGGACGTCATTCCCAGCTATCACTTTTGATTCCGCGGTTGAAACCCTCTTTGAGGGCCAAACATTCCATTAAATGCTCAGCCATCTTTTGGGGGTTCAGAACAGTTTTTGTTTGATTAACAAACACTTTTTGGTGGAAATTAGAGTATTAACATTCTTCGAAGGCTTGGCGAGTTTCTGTACGCCTGTCAGTTGACAAATGCATCACGCTCAGCACGGCATCGAAGCGAGATTGAGGTGTAGTGCTAATTATAACCAGAACTTTGACGAGGCTGGGCCAACGACAAGAAAAGTCCTCGCTAAGCCCCTGATTACTTCAGAGCATATGCGTGAATTAACGCAAACATTTGACGTGACCGACTCCTTAACAAACAAAGAATGCTCGGTAGTCCGAACGGTTGGGTAATAGTTATTAGAGGGGACGCATACAAGACGAGGATCAATGCAAACAAGGTAAAAGAATAAACTAAGTCTGCAAGGCAAAAGAAAAAGAGCGGAAACTCAGTGGTTTGACATATCGGAGCGTTTTCGATCAGACTTCAGATTGCTTCATGCATATTCGGGTCCAGTACGTGCCATATGTACTCCAAAAATACAATGTTTGGCTAACATTCACCTGCCATCCTCCTTATCCCGTCCCTACATCGATAAGAGCTCCTGCTCTATGGTCTTCGCACAAACCTACTAACTAACCCCCAGTGGTGTCCATTCGCACTCCTTTCTCTCTACTAAACCGCTCTGGATCGTTTTGCGCCTCAGAATAGACAGTGTCTTGGGTGCCTGCAATGCGTGAGCATGTACATCTGTGGACGCTGGTGGGCTGTGAGAACATACCATCGTCTAAGTTGTCGACCTCCATGCTTTCGGGGGTTCCGCCATCTGCGACTCAAAACTCAGTCATCCGTTAGACATCCAATGCTCACAAAAAAACACATGTGGCTTCTCCTATATTACCGGACAAATTTTCATCTTCCGAAGTGGAGAGCTCAAGACGGCGTAAGTGGTGCTGGAACCTAGTATCAATGAAGGCCGGATCGTCTTCTCCAGTCCAATCCTCTTCATGTTCTTTGGAGGGCAAAAAGTCCTCGGGTAACGACAGCTGTGAGAAGGAGAACAGGTGCTGAAAAATGTGCTCATTGACACCCTCGGAACCACTTGTGTTGTCGTAATGGTCACAGAATGGGCAACTCTCCAGGGGTCGGAAGGGCAAAGGCTCAGCGTTGTCTTCAGTGAGAGCCTCAAAGTCTTCAACGGGATCGGCGTCGTGATCATGGACCATGTGTCTCATGTATTCGTCCTCGTCGTGAAAATAAAAAGTGTTATCCTCGCAGCGGCAGACCCAGCCACCCTCGCGGTGATGTTCCTCCATGTGCTGGGTCCAGTCCTCAGAGGAATTGAACATTGCATTGGGTATCGGGCAACTTTCCATGACGCAGATGAAAGGCATCAGGTCTCGTATAATATGTAGACTGTATGCACGATCAGTATGTGCGGCAATCCAATAGAAGGGAAGGGGGAATACGTACCGCCAATTCTCTTCGGTGAATTCGATTATGGGATACGTTCTACAACAATAGGGACAGTGAATCTCGGTGCAGCCATGAGGGATGTCCGGCCGGGGCGGCAGATCTGCTTCGGACAGCATGGATTTGGTCGTTTCGTGCAGGTAGTCTGGGACGTACCCTTCTATCTGCGGTACCTGGCTGGTCGATGGGCCTGCTGTCGGGGCTGTCCAGGAGCAAGGTACAGTCTGAGCTGGCCTTTTCGGGATCTTGCCTGGCCGCTGACCTTGGTGAGAGGCTCTTCTAGCTTTCTTCCTGGAAGAGTTTGACATCAGGTGCGGAAATTTGGCTGTTGGTGGAGATGAGCTGACCGTGGGCTTCCCGTTGGAGCCATGGCGAACTGTTGTGCCCAGCTTTGCTCTGAGGAGGCAGAAATGCTGATGTCTCAGGCATATAGTTGCGCACAGTCGATTTTTTATCTCTTGGCTGATGTGTTGTTGAGTTTCATCTAGATAAGACTGTATTCTGGCCCTAAACCGGAGCATGAGGTTTTCTCCAGTCTGGCTATCATACTCGACGTACTTGAAGGCGTGCAGTGGCTGTCTCATCTCATAGCACCTATCAATGGCTTGTGCAGATCTTGTCAACGCGTGCAGTGCGCCATCGATACAAGTACCTTGCGACGTCTCGCTTATAGGAGTCAATCGTTCCAAAGATCCTGAGCGTAAGTCATTTACCTTCTGGTTCAGGGCTCTCATGAGGCGCTCCAGCAAACATATCACCTCAGAGTGCAAATCTTAGCCCCTCCCAATTCGCCAGTCTATCAACCCTCGCTTCTCAAAGACAGGCGTATCGTAATACACCCATAAATTGAAAGTGATAGATTGGTCCTCTATCAAGTCGGTCGGCGAACGGTTGACTTTAGATAATAGACGGCATTGCCTAAAGAGAACTTTGCACTGCGCTGACAAGTTGGAGACGGACATTGTAGGGGGCATTATGCAGTCGAGAGCCTCTCAGGTCTATTTTTTCTGTGAGTAGTTTCAGAGGCTTATGCAAGGCCGTACCAAAGAGGTGTTTTGAAGAAGGGAAGCATCCAACTTCGACTCCTGAGTGATTTTGTATTTGGGCTTGGGGGTCTGATGCTGCCGGGTGAAAGACACTCGTTCTCGGCACCATCTTGCCACTTGTGCAGCCAAGGCAAACTGTGAGAGGTGATTTGTAAGTTTGCTGCTTCTCACATGGTCACAAGGCTTACTCCAGCAAACATTTCTCAAGGCTGACGCCGAGTTGATCTGCTCGACTATTGTTCAGGGCATGATTCCAATTACCAGCAAGGTCTATGACAAGCTGTAACTGGACATCCCTTGCAATAACAAACGCTTGTAAAAGACCGAGCACTTGTGTTATTAGCATGCACTTATCCGAACAGCAAACAGCGCCAAAAATAGTCATTCAGCCAAACCCTTCGGCCACCCGGCGGTTCAACCGGTATCTTTTGTACGTCAAGCAATGGCTTAGACACAGATCAATGCCCGGTAACGAACAGCTATTTGAACACGAACTAGGCAACCACTGCGTCGCAACCAGGACTGCTTGGACGGTTACAGAGGAAGTGGATTTTCATGTTATATAAATGACGGTTGCTCGCCCTTACAGATTCACTTTGAGTTTCCACACCATTGGGCACCGATTCTGCAAAGCTCGTCGAGATCTTATCCTCGAAGGCCACGTCCGTTCTGTCTGCACAAAGACAATTCTGATTTTTACAGATTTCTCCCACTTCTCGATTTACCTGGCATATCTTGCGGGGACCCGAAGCGAGTTGGCCTACACCTTCTCAGGAGTCGCTTTTTGCTAGGAACAAAAGAGCTAGACAGAGAGAAACTTTCTTGAAGTCTACCTTACCTAACACAACATCATGTCAATCATTCCGGAGTCGACGACGCAGGAGGATGCTGATCATGCCCCCCCAAGTTCTCTACCACGCCAACGTCCACCATGGAGCCAGTATCATTTCGGCAGAACGCGGTCATCGAATAATTTCAACGTCTCTAAAGCCAATTCGAGTTCCAGCTCAAAAACCACATTGGAGCCGAGTATGAGCTTGGAAGTTCTGAAGAACTCCCTCAGCATCCGCATCTCGGCGGAACGGTTGTACAAGATTATTCACGAGCGCTGGCCATCCCAACCTACTATCAGTGACACAACTCTCGACCGCTGTTCGAAAGCCCAGTTGCAGCTGGATCCGCGCTGGTTCACACAGGGGAATAGGGAGGAGTCTTTCTTTATCATGTTAGAGGGCCCAGGCATTCTTCAGGAATGTAAGCTTCACCTGTCCCCTATATCAGAGTAAGTACATGTACCGCCCATTCCTCGGAATTCTATTCCGACGTAATCAGAAGCTAAATAAAGCCGAATCGCAGCACCACAGTAGTCAGACATAGCCTGCGTTGGGCCTCTCATAGAAGATGGAAAGACTTCTGCTTATACCTTGGTCATGATCACTCGGGCGAGCTCGAAGCTTATCCTCTGATATCGTTACGCCCAAAGCTCCAGACGTACGAGAATCTTCATGACGCTGTTGAATTCCGACTCATTCCGCTGGAGATCCTTCTACAAGAGCTCAAGCCTTCCTTCGCTGCAAAGAAGTTCATGGAGATGACTCTCGCACGATCTTTGCTACTTCTGCTGGATGGACCGTGGGTACGAACTCACCTACATCTGCAAAATGTTTCAGTATTTTGCAGGATTGTAAATGGCGTTATCCACCCCCGATTTGACAAGATGTTCCTCTCGACCTCTTTTGGCTCAGCCGTTGACCCTGACGAATGGCTGAAACACAACGATACGCCGTTGATGCCTGCAATCCTGGCTCTCGGGATATTGTTTGCGGAGATCGAACTCGGAACCTCTTTGCAGACAATATATGAGGGCGTGGATCCTGAGCTGAAGGTTTCAGATCCAGTTCGAGTGGCTCAAGTTCTTTTCAAAGAATGCGAGAAGGAGTTTGGCAGGGCACTCGGTGTTATGAGGATCATGGACTCCTGTTTTGGCCCGAGTCCACTTCATAGGACTGCATGGATACCGCCTAATGATGGCCTCATTCAAAATGATACGGACTTTGTCAACCGGTACTATGCCAATATCGTTAGGCCTCTCGAGGAAGATTTGGTTAGCTTGGGCTGGTCATGGGATGAGATCAATGGGCGGACTCCTCGCATCCTAGGCGACGCAGAAGTCGTGAGAATCTTCACATCCTCCATACATCATGCCAACGACTTGCTGGGACATCCCCAGGAAACGACGGCTCCGGTCATTCCTATGATGGAAGACACAGAACAGGAGATTAGACTTCTCTCTGCAGAAGAAAGGTGACCCATGCCTGTATTGAGCGACAAGTTTAGCTATTGACCTCATTATACTGTAGTACTCCAGACAATCATCGGCCCACGGGGTTTAGAGATGTACACAAAAGGCAATTTGTCCCACGGATGGATAATTTCGGCGAAAGCGAGTCTCAAAAGGCTCAAGAACCGTCTGTACCAGACACTGGCGCCGACAAGGCACACCGGGTCTTCCAAGATTCCAACAAGAAGCGCAAACTGGATGTCAGCTGCAAACTCGTTGAACCTCGGGGTGTCGAAGAGCTACATCCCTCGTGATTACAATCACTGGGTCTTCACCAAGGCAAGCCATTTCGGCTGAACTGGAACGCTGCAGCTGGGCCAAATCTTAGAGGCGAGTCTATATGGTCACAGGAGATCGAGTCGCGATGAATGCACGTTCATGTTGCCACAATGGGAATGATGTGGTGTCCTAGGGTGCTATGCAGACGAGGGCGCCGGAAAGCAACAACAATCAGCATGGGGACTCAGTTGAAGGAGAGAGAGCTGGACATGGAAGATATCGACCAGGCGCCTGATCTCAATTTTTTGTATCGGCTAAATGAGGTCAGCTATGGCATCAAAACTTTAACACAAGCCGTGTTAGAAGGGGCAGATGGCCTATGTAAATGCGCAAGATGGGCCGTGCGGGCCGATGGTTATGGTTGACGGCTTTGAAGTCTTGGGTTTTGAGGACATGCCTTTCGGCAACAATTCGATCAAGTTCGAATTGATTCCTGTTTCCGGGCATGAGAATCTTCAATGCTATATCAGCAAGTAGTAGGGCAATAATATGCGAGAAAATTCATTGCTCGAAGCGATATCTTCAGTATTAATGAGTGTCTATTTACCTTGATGCATGACTGTGTCAATTATCTCTACCTAGTTCATGGTCTTTTGCCAGTTTGCAGTCCACAAATAAGTATACCAGTTAGTCGTAATACCGCCTCTCGACTTTACTCCTGGCCTTGAACAGCCGCACAAGATACGAATCGTCCTCATCATCTCTACCATTATCAGCAGCAAACCTACCCGATCTCTGCGCCTTCCGCCGCTCTTGTGTCTCTGGACTCGGCGATGCCGTCATGGCCCGATCAATAGGCTCAAAGACCGATCGTAGAATCGTTGGCTTATGAGGATTCAGAACTCCGTACGCCATAGAGGCCCCATGCCGGACAGCAAGCTTGTTGCAGTCGAATCCAGCCCCATTCTTCAGCCGTCTATTGGCACCCCTTGCTAACAACAGCCTGACGACATCAACCTGATCAGAGACGACCGCTAGGAGCAAAGGCGTGTCTCTCGTACGCTGAAGCTGGGCATCTATCGCAGCGCCAGCGGCAAGCAGTGCTTCTACCGCCGCTGCGGCGCCCACTTGTGCTGCATGATGAAGGGGCGTGAAGCCGAACACGTTGCGAACATTGACCATGGCTCCCGAGTCCAGCAGGGCATTTACCATTTCTGCATCGCCCTTCCGACAAGCGTTGTCAAGAGGAGTATAGTCTTCTCTGTTTCGCGCATTCGGGTTCGCTCCACAAGCGACGAGCTCGCGAACAACGTCCGGGGAGCTGTAATAGACGGCGATGAACAGAGACTGATTCAGATCGCAGGAATTTGGGAGGGGCATTGTCTTGAGCAACAGCCGGTTGCGCAACTCTCGGATGCAAGACTTTAGTCCCAAGGCGACAAAAGCTTGCAAGAAATCACCCCAGTCGATTTGATGGAAGCGATGGGCTCGAGGCAGGTGTAAGCCGTCCTGGAAGCTGTACCACAGACGCAGGCATTGAGGGCCGTGATCAAGCAGCATATCGAGAACAGCAGCCTGTGAAATTTGAGACTGCTCTGCGGATACCAAGTGTGCTTCGAGAGACTGGATACAATATTCGAGTAGGGGGAGTTCTGAGAAAACGAGTTTGATGGCTTTGAGCATGCCACGCGCATATGAGTCGACTTGAGAAGTAGTGTATGGCTCGTAGGTTGTAGAGTTGTAACTGCCCAGCAGATGTTGTCTTGCCCGCTCTATGGCGATACTGCTGATGGTTTCGGTAGGATTGATCCATTGTAAAAAGTTGCTCGGCTCGCTCCATTTCGAGGGTCTTCTCTTTGAGAACGGGTTGCTACGCGACCTCAGTAAGATCATGGAAGCACACGACAGTGTAGCCTGCTGAGAGAGGTACCGCATGCAGGTGAGAGCCATGAAGTGGTTACCAAGACCTGGCAGATAGACAGGATAGTATGAAGACTGCAGTATCGCAAGCCCTTTCTGCAGAAGGAAGCCCGGCACCGTCTGGTGAATGAACTGAACCCGGTCCGGTTCGCCTTTTTGAAGACTCTTCTCAATCGTGAGAAGGCCGCGGGAACGGCTTCTGATGAACCGTTCTGTTTGAGGGCCTTTGTTGATGAATTGTTGCGATCTCTTCCATGCGTCAAAGGTTACGATTGAGTTATTTCGGCTGAATTGCATGGCAAAGCACAGCTCGAGCGAACTCAGTCTCCTCGTCGCAAAGAGCATCCAGCTCAGCATATCATATGTATCCCTTCGCTCAATGGGGCCAAGCTTGAGAAATATCTGCGTAAAAAGGCCGTCTAGCTCGCGAGGAGTGTCGTAAAGAGCTTCTAGCCTCTCGTCAAGCGTCTCTCCATTATCATCCGCCTCGAGGATACTACTCGTGACTAGGTCCACCCAAAGGAAAATGCCGTCAGCCCGAGAGAGAATCGATTGGATCATGTCCTCGTTATTCGGGGCGTTGGACATGTGAGCCAGCTTTTGATAGGTGAATGTTTCAATGTCTGCGTGGTTCTTCCTTTCAACCCAGATCTCGGGGCAATTGTCGATGTAAATGTTGGGATAATGCCGGCTAGAGAGGCAAACCTTGAACTTGCTGAAAGGCTTATGGGAGTCATCTGGACAAACCTGTAGTCGGAAGAACTGTAGAAGGAGACGAACCTCGTCCACCGAGCCTTCATCCAGGCCATCGAGGAGGAGTACCGTCGGTCTCCAGGTTGGAAGCTTCGAGGAGATTTCAAGGACGCCCATAAGCTCTTCGATCTGCCACTCCAGATTGCGGCCTTTGACGAAACGACTGTCCGATGCGATCATGAAGTCTCTGAGCAGTTGGCCGTTCTGGGTGAAAATCTGATAAAGAACGGACTGTAACAGGCCACGGCTCGACTTTTCCAGAGCTTGGCCAGAGGCATCGTAGAAAAAGGAAGCTATAGTCACTGCGCTGGTGTCCGTGTTCTGAAGTAGCTCTTCTAGAGTGTGCTTCATCAGGGTGGATTTACCAGAACCGGCGCTTCCCTTGACCCAGAGGAATCGGTGGTCGCCGTTCAGCCAGGCCTGGTAGCCTGGGTCCTGCGACAGCCAGTTGCCGGTGCCTTTGCATGGACTTCTGATTACCAGCTGCCGATGATACATCTGGGGAAACTCCAACGACTCGAGCACTGACGACGATCAGTCTGGAGAGCATGGCAGCGCTCATCATCCAACCTACCTTTTTGGCAATTTGTTTCGAGAACCTTTTGAGCAGTCTCCTTCTTCTTATTGTCTAAACACTCGCGTTAATGGAATATTCCAGGGGCAACATCATGGACAGTTGAGGATTCTTACCATAAATCTCGCTCAACATGGGAGGATCTCGAACAGCCGGCACAACAGACAAAAGTTCCCTCGCAAACGCAGCGGCAGTGAGAGCGGCGTAGGGCTGCCAGCTCGCGTTCTTGTGTGAATCCGCATAATCACAGATTCCTCGTATGACGAGACACGGAAACCGGTTCATGAGCCCGGCCGCTTCCATCTCAAAGCAGAGAACACCGCCAAGCTCTTCACTGAGCTTATCTCGAGCCACGCCATCTCTCATGACTTGGTTTCCAGAAGCGATCGTCCCATGATGAACCCTGACACCGAGCCCTTTTCGAACCGGGCGGTCGATGAGATAACTGCTGGAGCAGCTATCACACGAAGAGGCTCCGACATGTTGGTAGCTCGCCTCATAGAGGCGATCAGCTCCAGCATTCTCCCGTGTGAAATGAGGCAGATGGTTGGCGCGAGAGATGTGAACCGACAACATGTCCTTGGATCGCAATTGACGAGCTTGCAGCTGCGAGATAGCGTTCAGAAGAACCGTCGGAGGCGTGTTCAGGAACCCAGTCCGCTCGAATCCACCAGGTCTTGTCTTGCCCAGATCATATTGGACCACTCCGCCATGCATCGACTGTGGCTGACTGACAACAACGTCCCCTAGGCGGACATCCTCAACACCCGGCACGCCTCCGCCAACTCCCACCATCAGCCCGAATCGCATTGCTGGAAAGTCGGACTGCAGCTGGACGGCAACAGCGGCGGCCGAGTTCGTGCCTGTCTGGCCCGCCGGCAACGTTGCGAGGACAACATTGTGGTCTCCGATACGTCCGAGAGTGTAGGAGCAGGTGTGTTTGTCGTCGATGATTTCGTGCTCCTCATCCAGCATCTCCTGCGCCGCAGCCAGCTCTATCGGCAGGGCGCAGATCCAGCCCACGGTGTAGTCGCTTGGTTGGAGGCTTGAAGTTGATGACTCCATCTAAAGTATGCATGTGCGGCTCTACATGAGTGACTGACGCGGCCAGGCCGACATGGGCCACATTCATGAAGGCAAAGCAGGTTTCGTGCAGGCAGCAGGAGGCACAAAGGCATGATAGATCTGTTTGCACAGCCCCGCGCTCATGTTGATCCCTTTGAGGTCGGTAAGGCACGTCCCTCGTACTAGGCCCCACATCGTCTTTGTCAGCAACGCGGTACGCGATCGTGACAGAGGTCCTAACAGACAAAGTTCCATTAAAAATACATACAATTTTATCTTAAAATACATTCTAATAGATAAAAAAATAAGTGAAAAAAACCTAAAAAAAAACCTTAAAAGTGCTTATAACCTTAAAAATGCAAATCTAGCAATAGCTTTATCTTAATTACTGCATCTAGCTGTGGCTGTGATAAATAATAATTTTATTCTGTTACAGGTTAAGTAACGCAATCCTAAAATTAAGCCTCTGCCTGCTATGCCTTTATCTCTCTTCTAACACTTTCTACCTATTTTACTAGCAACCTAATAAGTAGAATACATTAATAAAGCCCAGCTGCCAGGCATTTAGGGCCTGCTGCTGTAATAAAGCCCAGTTTCTATTAATAAAGTATATCTATAGGTTAGCATACTGATTTATATAGGAATCTATAGGGAAATTGCGTTGTAAGACTATTAAAAGACTTCCTTAGTAAATGCCTTGCGGCTAATACATGATTTTATTAAATTTATGTTATATAACTGTTTCCAGCAGATTTTATGCTAAATATGCATTTTTAACCTGTTAATAATCGCAAACAAGGCCAGCAAGAGCTTTTAACGCATTTAGGAGTGGTCTGCATATATACAGGCCGCATTTATTACCCTTTAAAAGCCCAGCATGAATATAGCTGTAGATAAGTGTATAATCCGCTATATAGGGAGATCCTAGGAGATAACGCTTATCTGCAGCAAGCCTATTCTAATCGGCTTTAAGGCTTAGGTTATAGCTTAAGCTAGCTATTTCTTTTAGTAGGAATTCTATATCCCTCCTTCTATAATCCCTTAAAAATGTAAGAGAGGCGCTAAAGGCGTTAATGCATTAGCGCTGATGCAAGCTGTAGTCTTTTCCTTAGTAAATTAGCTAGAAAAGGCTAGCTATTATGTCTTTATAAATAACCTCTTTTCTATGCTAACCCTCTTCTGCCTTCTTTATGATTAAGGGCACGCTATAATAGGCACCCTGCAGTTAAATTATTACGCTTTAAAGAGCTTTATTACTGTAAAAAATAATAATTAGAAGGGAAAGTGCTGGCCTTAGGGACAGCTTATTACAGAAGCTATTAAAAATAATAAGGTTAGAATGCCTTAAGATAGATGTCTTAGAAAAATATATACTAATCTGTCTTAAATGCTTCTAGGTTAACTAAATTGCATAAAAAGATAACTCCTTTATCCTCTTCCTTATAATAGCGCATAAAGGTAATAAATTTCATTATTATAATCGCAAGCGGCTAAAAGCCTTATAGCTGCACACACAGCCTATTAGGCTTATTTTTAGTAATGAAGGAAGGAAGGAGCTCCTAATTCTAATTATTGCAACTGACTATAACTTTAAAATAGGGTCTGTTAATATTAATAACCAGCTAAAAAGCGGCTTAGGATATAATTATTAATTTTATAGGGGAGGTTAGCAGGTATTAGTATAGTCTTTTCTTTTTAATATTTGCCTTATTAATAGCTATAAACTATAATAATAAGGGAAGCCTAGCTAGGAGGTTATTGCAGGCTAAGTTAAGTGGCATATATGCATTTGCAGCAAGATTTTTTAAGTGTATAGCTAAAAGGGCTCCTTAAGATAAAGGTTCTGGGCTAGAGATATCTATATACCTATTTTACAGCATAAGCATATCTGTTATAGGAAACGGGCGTCTTATGCTAGCTGCAAGGGCTGATGCATTAGCGAAATTCAGTTGTAATTGCAGCAGATAAGAGTTTTAAAGGCGCGGGGTGCTATAATGAATTGGCAATGTAATAGTTGTAATGTAGCTATTTATACAGGCCTAGATTGCTGGTACCTTTATCACCAGCCAATTTAGGTGTGATTTTATGTATCTTTAATTTCCAGGCGTCTAATTGGCTATAATTGATCTATAAATACAAAGGACATGCCTTACCGACCTCAAAGGGATACTGCGGCTTCGTTATGACTGGTTGGGAAAATAGTTTGTCTAGCCGTATGCAGCCTGATCCTTCGATTGTCGAGGCTTGCAGGGGGTAGATTCTATGCAGAGTGAATATGCTGATGCGCAAGACAACTGCATAGGTATGGGGAACACTGAACACTGCGCGCAACTTATACCACAGCAAGATGTTCTCTAACGTGGTCTTAAATAACACTCCCGTACCTAGGAAATATCCCAGGTGGTGTTTGTGGTAAGATAGAGTACATGGGGACCAGACGACTTAGCCTCATTGAACCACCTGCATGATGAGGTGCATACAGTGGGTTAGACGAAGCCGAACAAAACAACAGGCGTGATAGCAGTTGTAGTTGTCAAGTCATTATTGTAGGTGATAACCAATGTTAAACTTGGGTTGCATGACGATTTTAATGGGAGTGACTATACAACACTTTAACTTGGCTATCCAGCAGCTCATTACTGCTACTATGACTGGAGCAGAGGTTCTACTGTTTGCTACTCTTCCCTACTCCTCTCTTTTCTTACCTAATATAATGGTCAAGAAGAAGAAGATGCTTGAACTAAGTATCCAGAAAACTCTCACAAGCGTGTCAAGTCAATAGATATTGAGAGTGCTAGATAGCCAAGTTGGGCGGCTGAACAGTCGATCCAGACTTGATGGACTGTTAGCTACTGATCACCATGCGGTAGACATAGAAGATCAAGATTATGGCGAGAATCTTCGCCAAAGCTGATATATGAAGCTTTATCACGGCAGGAGGCGGCAAATATGCTATCTAATGCTTCACTGTAGACGGAGTACTTTCATCGAGGCAGGCTTGACGGTTTTCATTCATGTTATAGAGAATACAAAAGCTCGTGTCTGGGCGAGTTCTCCAGGTTAAAATAGTTGAAGAAACGCCGGGGTTGATGTTATAATGAAGGCCAGTAGAGGGCCAACCTGAGCTCAGCCAATTTGAAGCTTTCGACTTATTCCATATCTTTCAACATTCGCAATCCTATAAAATATGCAATACATGGACGATTAGTTTGTCCTGTAGGCAGCCATGAAAAGGTTTGGTCTTTTCCCATACATTGCTGATGTTGTATTGTCGACCCGTATGTCTGTCATTGCTATCATGCAGAGTACAAAACAAATTACCGATCCAGCAACGGCTCGACACATAAGAGTCAGCTCTGGTCTACCTTAATCTACCTTGCTACATGAATACCACAGTGCAAGACATAGCGAAGGCATGCATGAGCCATAGTTTACCATTCTCAAGGCCATCTCCTCCTTGCGACTTATCCAACACCAGAAAGCCACGTCCATGATACCCTATAGAATTACTCAAGCCGTTTGTTCCTTGCCTTGGGCTCATTGACAAAGACACATTCTATAAATGTGCAACATGATGGCGTTTGAATTCACACTAGCATGTCGAGAATGGCACGAACGCCTGCCACACTGAGGCTTGACAATGAGACGCCCACGTCTCCTTTTGTCTCGGAAAGAAGCCATCAAACAATCATGTGATGCCCGCACTTGCATTTCGTGGCTGTAGCCACAACCAGAAATAGAGTCACTTCACACACACGATACCTGTAGTAGATGTAAGCCTCCAACCCCTAAACCAACACCCTATTCCCCCCTTTTCCCTATCTAATCGACAAGTGCCAACAGCCTCACCGGACTAAATCAGTAACCGTAGCCCGAACAACTCCAACAGCTACATCGCTTCCCCCAGGGCAACAACAAAAAAAAAAGAAAAAAAAAGTGAAAGCCCGGCTTATCACCCATCAAGCACGGCTCCCTTCTTCTTCCTCTCCCACCTTCCACACGGGCCACAGAGTATGACTCGCGCCCAGCCATGATTCAGCAAGCATTTTGGCCAAGGAAGACTAAATCGAAGCGAACCACGCGCGCTGCCCCGTGCTTCTTTTGGCTCCCTCATTAGCGTTTTGTAATGATTAATCACAGAAATCCGGCAGACGTTCCTATTCAACCCGAGACAACGGAACTGGGTGGAGGGGAGGGCGGAACCAAGTCCCGCATGAATAAGAACAAGGGAACAAAACGTGGCTGGCTCCTAACTAGACCGGCTGGTGATCCAACGGGATCGTTCCCGGAGGTGGGCTCGCCTAGCCCAAAGTTTTCTTCTCCTGTAGAGTAGTAGTACTCGTAGCATCGTAGAAAGACGATTGAATCGGTTGGAACTAGTAGTAGTATCTGCTAGGTAGCAACAAGTTACCCTCGGTTAGTGAAAGGACGAGGTTGGCTTTGGTTTGCCGACAGCCGCCGGCTCGTTTTACTTACACGATCCGAGCAACGCATGGACTGGTTCTTATATTGCTGCCTGGGGTTTGCGGAGTCCAGCTGTTCCGGGGATCGAAGTTCTACTACATACTACTACCACGGTAGCGGCTGGAGAAATGATGCTCAGTTGGGCTAGGTGCATTAGCTGGAACGAAGAAGACGGGGATGAACGATCCGCACAGCCGTCGCTTCTGTCGTGAGCTAATAGTCCTGAAGTGTCCACCGTTGATGGTTTCGATGAAGAGCTGCATGCAAGAGGTGGATAGTCAAAAGAAACCGTCTCCGGGTAAAGACGATCATGTTATTTTCCGGAGTGTTCTAGGGCTAGGCAACGGCGTTCTAGCTGTTCGGGAGATCGATAGTCATAGTAATAGCTACTCAGGTAAGCATCGTTAGCACCATTTCCCATCACTGCTGGTCTGCATATAGCGGAAGCAGAAACGTTTCGACATTCCTCTGTTTGGGCACTCCTGCAATGTTCCAGAAGATTGATGCTTGATTGACTAGCCCCAGTTTGGCGCACTGGTGTAGCTATCGTTGTCCAATCCGGTGGTGTCCAGAAGCCACCTGTTGCTCTCCAGGAGATCCTTCAGCTGGCCATCCAGCCACTTAACATCTCCTTTGCTGACACCGGGTCCACCGGCCCTATATCTCTTTGTCAGTCGTGTACAGCAGCAGAAAGCCACAATGCGTTGCTATGCATTCCCAAGGAACTTACCAGTGGCCCCAGACGGATGGAAATGGAATACACTGTCCAACGCCTTCCGCCATGTGCCGCACCTCGTACTGTGAATCTTCGGGAGGGAAATACAGGTCAGTTTTGCCTGGCAGAACTAACGTTTTCGCTTTGATGCTCTGCATGGCCAGTTCCAGCTTCTTGTTATACGGCTCCTGATCAGAGCAATCGGCAGCCTGCCACGTGTGAAGCATGGTAAGCAGATTCTCAGGGTCTGCACATGTCGTTAGCAAACAAACGCAACGATCCAGTCAGACCGGGCAACAAACCTTTGGACAGGGCCCACGACTCCCAGAAGTTGACCAAGAAGTCCTCCAGGTCCTTGTAGCCTAGCTCCGTCTCATAGACCTTGTCCCTGTAGAACGCCTGGCTGAGCCCCCATCCCGCATACACTCGCCCGAAAGCCTTCAGCCCGACGACCTTTTCCTCCTCCGTCCACGCCCGGTACGCCGGCGCTGACTCGCCGGCAGCACTACCACCGGAAGAAGCTCCCTTGGCGGCGAGTAGTGCGCTCTTGACGCCCTCGAGAAACACCTGGTTGTGCAGCGACGTGCGCGCACTCCCGCAGAAGGGCGCCCCGAGGTCCATGAAGTCGGGATACTGGGTGAGCCACTGATACGTCTGGCTGGCGCCCAAGCTCCATCCGAGCACCAGTCGCGCGATCTGGACGCCCAGATGCTCGGTTACGAGCCGATGCTGCGCGGTCACATTGTCCTTGACGGTGATGTTGGGAAACGGCTTGAGGGGCGACTCGCGCGGCGTGTTGGATGGGCTGCTCGACTGTCCGTTGCCAAAGAGAGCTGGGATGATGATGAAGTATTGACGGGGGTCGAGAGCCTTGTCTTCACCTATGAGCCATTCGTTGTCCGAGATGGCGCCGCTGAACCACGAAGGGTAGATGATGGCGGGAGAGGAGGGGTCGCCAAAGGTCTTGTAGGCGATGAATGCACCTGGAAGGGTCTCGCCAGAGACGAGCTTGAAGTCGCCCAGCTCGAAGATGCTGTAGTCCATTTCACTCCCCATGATGCTCACTTCTTGATTTGGTGCTGGTAGACACAGATCCTGTTGCCTTGTTGATGGAAGGATGAAGATGGTGATTCCCCTCACAAACGCGACTACTTATGAGAGGGGCTCCTGACGTATGCCGAATAAAAGCGCATACAAGTGCCTCGCCCAGTCGGAGACATTTCTCATGGCCAGTATGTTTTCTTTATTCTTGGGGGAAGGCTCTTGATTCGACAGAATGTGGCTTAAGCAGGGCGTGATGAGGGGAAGCTGCATGTGCAATACGACAACGCGAGCACGTGAGTTGCATTGATGCGTATACGTTCTTCTGCTTGAGTTTTGCATATAGTATTGCGGTTGCTGCTCGGGAGAGTATTCAGGTGTGGTTGGTTGGGGTGAACTTGAATTCTGTCGAAGCTCCTCGTGATGATGCGTCCAGTGGTGTTTCTGTCCAGTGGGAAGCATTTCACTCTCATTGCGCCCCGTAGTTGCGCGGGAGCGATCCAAACATAGCAACTTATGGCTCCGCTCCGGCTCCGGATAGCTTTACGCGGCCGTCTTCCCTCTCATTGAGTTGTCCACAGAGCAATCGTGCCCTCAAGACACTTTGATGGCACAAAGCATTAGACATGAGCTAGCGCTACAGCAAAGACAGTCAAATCCTGACGGCAACAGCTAGAGGTCCCCGATCGGTCCGTTTCGCCAGCAGTTCTCGGAAGACCACGACACCAAGGCCCGTTGACGAGCATCCTCTATAAATGAGGGATGCGGTGGACACCGATAAGTTGGCCGCTGGCAAAATTCTCACCCAATTGATGAGAGAAAAGAGGCTCATTTACCACGTATGACAGCGGTTCGTTTGTCATCTCAAGTTCCAATCTCCTGGATCTAGCGCTTTGCAGCGCGGGCCGAGTCGTCGAAGGCCAGGGACATCGCCGCAGTTGGTGCTGACGATGCAGGCATCCTAGCGCAGGTTGCTGCAGCCAGTCCCCTATTTCCTTGTCCCTATTCGAACTCGGGTTAGGTCATCTCACGGCTGAGCATCTAGAAGGATGGAATGGGACAGTGAAACGTGGGATCCCTCCTCGGCGGCGTGGATTGTGCTTCGACGGAGAAACCGGCCTGTGTAATCAACATCGCCGGCATCGTCAACCTGGCTAAGGCCGCAGAGTTGGGCGGACGACACAATGGATGCTGAGTAGACCTGTTGGTCTGTTGGATACAAGCACCATGTCGCCGCGCAACGAAAATGAATGGTTGGCTGTTTGATGCTGGCTTGGCCATACCGTTGTGTTGTAATGTAGCAAGTCAAGCATTTTTAGCGCCAACTCGCACTTGTCTTTGGGTTGCACACCTGGAGAATTCGGCCTCCGGGCGATCGCTTGACGGAGAACTTGAGGAGAGGAGGTCATGAAAAGATGGGTGGGTGAATGGGTGGTGCCCTGATATTACTCCGTGATGCTTCGACACACGCCCTCGAGCACCAAGGCTGATGGGACAACCCCCCAATTGTCCGGCTGCATCAAGGGATGGCTTTGCAGTGGTCCTTTGGCCTTCCTATCCCGTGTCGCGAATTTTGAGGTTGGTGACTGGATAGTCATCAACCCGTCCAACCATGGGACGCGGCGCACTTCGCACTGTTGCTCCCTCTCGCCCGTGAACGCCATCGTCTCTCTTTCTCTCTCCGCAGCGCAAGTCATGTCCCGCGGGTTGGGTGGGTGGACACTCGATAGCGTTTGGAGTGCCTGGGGTTGATGAAGCGGGATGCAGCTATAGAGTTGGCCCACTCACTCTTGATTTTCCGAGTCCGCCCACTCTGGTGAGGTTGTAGGATTCTGGAGCAAAACCGATGGCACCTCTCGTTGATCGTCAGTGACAGCTCGGAGACGGTTGCAATGTCTGGCCTCGACACACTCGACTCGGACCAGGAGGGAGGCACACGACTGCCATTGGTGAGCCCAGCGAGAACCAACGTTCGACACAAATTGACGCTGCAGTCGATGCGAGCCTGGCATTGGTGGTGGCTGCGGGGCGTCGTCACCCAAGATATTGATGCAATTTCCGTGTCAGATGTGTGTCCATGTAATACAGCAGCAGCACAGCAACTCGCGCACAACCGCTCAGTGGTACGGCGCGGACATTGAAGGAGGGAGACGAAGCCTATAGCAGAACACAACGCATCAGCCAGTCCGAGCAGTAAGCCGTGATGCTGATTGTGACGGAGGTGACGAAGGTGACGATGCCACCTCTCGCGAGCAGCAGCAGCCACCGCTCCCGTCATGCAGCATCGCGTCTGACAGGTCGCCTGGTCGAGCCGATCCAGTTGCAGGTCGCCCACCCATCACGACGGATTCGCAGCGTCCTCATGTGTAGGTACTCGTAGGCGAAGACGGGCAGCTCCATTCCTGCTGCCACCTCGAATCAGCAGCTAGTGCTAGTAATCCGCTCGTGCAGCTCTAGTTTCTGCAGCATCGAGCTGCCAAGGAAGGACTGGCGGGGGAGCTGCGAGCGGTGCAGGGGGGGTTTGCAGGCGAGAGGCGAGGAGCCTTGCATGGATTCAGGTCGAGTTCCGCTGCGTTTGATGGCGATGGCCTGACCTGAAAGGTTGAGCGAGGGTTGAGCTTCGGGGGACCTTGATGGGGCTAGTCGCGGTTGCTGCATAGCTGCGCGTATAGCGATTGAGTCGAGGAAAGCATGTGAAGCTGCTGCCCGCTAAGGTACCTTACCTAGGTAGAGCGCCACGTTCCGGTGCCGACAGCCTCCCAACCGCGGCAGATACGTAATACTGGTGCGGCCAGGAGAGAAATGAAGGGCAATTGCCAATCTGAATGGAAACGCGAGTAGTAGTGATACCAGTTCAATTTGTGTTTGGACCGAGGATTTCCGCTGGGACTCCTGCGTCTCTTCTCGACCATCTGGAGCAATACTTGTAGTAATCGATTGCTTGTTCGTCTCCACTTCGTGCCGCCTAGCAGAATCAATTGCTTAATTCCATAAAGCAAGCTTGTACCTTGAGTACCTAAATTCTCTAGAAGGTAAGGTAACTTGAAAGTGCCTCGTCCACCGCAGCCTTGTACAGGCTACCCAGTTCCCCATACTCGTGCCTCCCCAGCTTGATGGGACTGGTACCTTCGCCGGCCAGGTGGCCTGACCTGACACTGACTCAAGCCGCTCCCCAGCGAAATTCGAGTCACGTTACCGAGATTCTGCACTCTCTCACCGCAGGGCTGACTGTCGGCTATGTTCGGAAAAGCACACACAAGACCAGTTCGACCAGGCATCAACAAAGAACAAGCAGGGATCCTCCCCTCTGTTCCCCATGGACTTCGCTCGGCTGTCGTCCTGTCTGCCCACTGCTGTGGGTGGGCTAGGACCTAGGTATGTACAAGCGCTAGCAGCTGCCAGGCATTAATTTCGTCGTCTTGCTCGTGGTGATGATGGGCTAAAAGCACAGGGCGCGAAGGACGACGAAGGAAGATGAATGACGGATGGATCGTCACATCGTCGCCGTGACGAAAGCAAGCAGCAGAGCCGGCGTCGGCAAATCGCGACTCTCGCCCTGTCCCTCCCGTCATGCTGCCCACAGCATTCACAGCGACGCCGTCGCCAATCCGCCGTCTGACACGATGACGAGGACCTGCTACTGGCTTCTGCTCTGGCAGCCTCGCACAACTGCATCGCCACTTGGAACGCCGTATTATCCAGCCATCCGTCTTCTCGTTGGCCCGCCCTGGCGACTGGGGGAGCGGCGCCAGAGGAACCCCGGACAAGCAGCTGATTCGCCATCCTGGTTGGCTGGCTGAATCGTTAATGCTTGGCCGGTCCCTCTCGGAATCGCACCCCGCAGCCGCATGTCTCACTTTTCCTGGGTGCGGAGAGACACGTTCAGCCACGGTGCCCCCTGTACCTGCGTCTCTGTTCCCGTTCTCGCTCGCTCGGCGCTGTCTTATTTTGTTCGCGAGTGTCGTTTGCATGGCAAAATTGGTTGTTTCGAGCATAGAATGCTTCATGCCCATGCGAGCGTTTTTCTCGCGCCGGGCGCGCTCCCGCCCTTCCACCCTTCCGGGACCGACGCCAGCAACTACATGTACATGTGGCAGACCCTGAAACATCAAGCAGTTCGTGGCAGAGAGACATGCAGCCGCACGTTGCAACATGAGGTGCGTCCATGGCATACGACCTACCGGGTTCTGCATCTGCATGGGTTCGCATATCAAGCCCCCGGAGACTACAAGTCTGGCCGTGGATGAGGTAGCAGCAACCACTGGCATACCTCTCATACACCGGCACTCCAGATCCAGACTCGCGTCGAGGCAGGTAGTAGTATACTACGCAGTTTGTGCACACTCCGTACACACCAGGGCAACCAACTGCTGCACGGAGCCTGCACTTGGGACGGCTGGCACCGCACAAATGAGGCATACCGCATGGACTCGACTCCCTCATCGGGTAACAAGTCGCACACACGATATGCAGACAGACCCGGATCAACAAGCCGCCACGGGTCCAAGACCCTTCAGGGGGGGTCCGAGATAGTCCCGCAAAAGCTCAGCTCGCACCTATCAAAAAAGTACGCAACCCTTCCACCGGCCAATTGGGCCATGGTCGCAACCAGTGGCGCTGTGGCGTCTTGTCCAGCGAAATTGGGGCCCCGACCGGAGGGTCTGAGGATGAGGGTCAAAATCTCTTCCCCAGGACCGCCAGCTTTAGTGCGTGAGACCACCTTTCTTTCGAGCTCGCCAACAGGCTGCCACATTTCAGGTACGGAGGTACTCTTCTGGTATTCACGAGGCACGACAATGCTAGTGCTCCTACAAATTGGACATGGATCCCGTAGCGTCTCCATCATGCCTCCGTTTCTATCCAAGTACGAGGGCATCGTGTGTCCCAAGTGCTCGCACACGACGCTACCAACGCCCTCAGGCGGAGGATGCTTCTCTCGGTCCGGTTTTTTTCCCCAAGCTATCGGATCTCCCAGTCCGCAGCTGGCCTAGCCACCGACCCGAGAAGCTCTCTTCTTATTTTATTTTCAACTTGGAAAAACCTCCCGGGACTGCAGACGGCTCGCCTTCGAGAACACCCAGAGGCGACCTGTGGCCCAGCTGCTTGTCCCTGTCTGCGCGCTTGAGAGCGTACCCTTGTCGACCATTACCACCGTCGCTTCTCCTGCTCTCAGCTCCTCCATCCTCCCCCTTCCATCCAACTCGACAAGCGACAAGGCCTTTCTCCCGACTCCCTGTCGCCCAACTCGTCGAATCACTTCTCACATGCTCCTCCGTACATCTTCGTATATCTCCTGATTTCTGACCCCGCGGGGAAACGGCCACATTCTCTCTCCTCTACACCACCTCGGTCTGTTTATCCGCTATTATCAGGTTCCACTGGCTGAAGCAATTCCTCCCCCCCAGCCATCATGGAGTCTCCGCCATATGCTACAGATCTGGATCGGATAGCGTGAGTCTGCTTTGACCCCCCCTTTCCGTTAGTTTTGGACTCGAACCCGGGGGGCTCGACCATTCTGGGCGAACCAAAGGCAGTAGCCTACAGTGCCTATTCGAACCAGAGGGATCCATGAGGCTAATGCTCGTTCGCCTTTTTTTCTTATAAATAGAGAGACCCTGCGTCGCATTGACACTGATGATACACCCATCTCTCCACGGCACAATGCCCCATCATCCTTTGAACCAGACACAGCCGTCCAAGGGTTCGCAGACAACATGAACACAGAGCCACGCTACCATGCGTCGACCCGCGACTTCGCGGTGCCTCCGCCGTCCAAGGGCCACGCCGTCGCCCAATGGCTGGAGGAGAGCGATGATGTGGTCGACGAATATCATATGCCCATGCAGAGGGACTCGAGGGGATCCCTCCCCCGTCGGCCGCCATCCAGAGATCAGGCCCAAAGCATTCGACGCGAGTCGGTAAATTCGCAACGCAAATCATCCAACGCCTCATCCAACTACTACCAGCCCGGATACAGCCTCTATCCCGCTCCATCCAAGCCCCTACCGGCTCTGCCCACACCCAAGTCAGCCACTCACCGCGTGCCCTCCCGCGATTCCTCAGACAGATCATCCATCAGCACTCATCGCTCCTCTCAAATCTCCGCGACCACATCCACGCCTGATGCCACCACTGTCAGCTTCTCACCGCCCCCTCGCCGCAGCAGGGTTCCTACCAATTTCTACAAGCCTCCGGATCCATCTGAAATGCTCCCTCCGCCGCGCAAATCGTCCCGGCCCGCTGAGGTCGTCTTCTGGAAGCTTCTCCAATCGGACGACAAAAAGAATGGCCCCGTTCATTATCTAGACATGTCATCCAGCCTCGCCACCATGGCGACCAAGCATGGAAACAACATCATCAAGGTCTGGTCCACGGCGGGAGGCACCGTTCAGCAAGTCATCAAGTTTTCCTCCTACACCGCCGCGCAGTCCCGCTCCCGCGAGTATCTCATTCGCAGCCACGCCATTCTTTCAGAGCCGACAAATCTCATTGCCATTGCCACTCGCTTTGGCAGATACATTGAGATCTGGAACTGGGCCAAGAAGAAGTGTTTGCAGACGATTGACGATGCTGATCGGTGGACCTCGGCCCAGATAGAGTCCTACGACGGCGCTCTCAGCTCTCTAGCCATCTACGCTGGCGAGAAGGGGCTGATTGACATTTACAGGGCGACGCCTGAGAAGAAGCCCTTTGTCAAGTCGCGTACCATTGACCTCAACAAGGTCGATCTGCCATTCGTGCCCCAGTACCCAGAGCTTGCTCTCTCCAAGACAAGCCCTCTGCTGGCCCTTGCAGCTGGACCCCGCCCCCCACGTCAAGGCCACCCGCCGCCCGAGAAAGAGACGCTTCTCGTCGCGTGGGATACCACCGAGGGCGGCTCGAACAAGCCGTACCGTGTGGCCAGGCCATGGCAACACAAAGAGCTGGACACGGCCATCCCCTGCGACATGGTCACCTACGGAAGCGCCGTCGTATCCATCTGGATCCCTGCGACTTTCCGCGCCGTGCCCGCTACCAATGGCGGATCGGGCTACAACCTCACCCCCGTCACAGTCCCGTACCGTTACGTCCTGGTCTGGGATCTTGCTGCCAACTCGACCCGAACATTTGGCATCCCCAATACCACATCCTGCCTGTCTCCTGATTGCCGGTTTGTGGCCTACTGCCACGCAACTGGAGCCAACATTGGCGCCCGCGGCAGCATCGTCATTTTAGATGTCATGACGGGCAAGGAGGTCTGGAGCTGGCCCGACCCAGAGGCCCTGGCCATTGACTACACTCCTCGTCCGGGCTTTGAACAGTTTGACGATCTATCCCGCGTGTCGGAGCTCTCTTTCTCTGCCGACGGGAAATTCTTGAATGTGGGTGATCTGGACGGTCACATCGGCATGTACGAAGTGCGTGAATCTACCGGAGACCGACTACAACTCCACATGATTTAGCACGTTGATTTCGAACGGGTTGCGGCATACTCTTTTTTTTTTCTCTTTCTTTTCTCGTTGTTATGATGTTATGCTTAATTGCAATGTATTATCGCTATGCTTGGACGACCGAAGGTTAGGGTATAACCGATTACAATAATTCAGATACCACGGGTTCACTGGCTGTTACGCACTTGATTACCGAAAAATTCCACGTTGTCCTGTGTCCTCCCTATTACTTGTGTTTCTTTCGTGTACAAATGTTCTCTTTGTGGTTGACAAGCCGCTTCTGCGGTTGTGAGATCCAGCTCCACAGTTACCAGAATGATCAAGATGACGTTGCCACCCCACGATGTCTGATCGATAACTTTAAATGCAAAGCGCCCTTTTATCGTCGACTTTACTCAGCATGGCCTCCCTTGGTCTTGGGAGAGCTTTCCTGGGGTAGCCCTTGGCGCACGTTGCAACTCGATGCATAGAAACAATAAATGGGCGATCCAATCGTGATTCTTTCTCGGGGAAGGGGAAGCGGAAGGGGAAGCGGAAGGGGGTCAAATCGAATGAGAGGAATGGGTGAGGCCACGTGTGAAGCCGGGGTTCAGGAAAGTTCAAGGGTCCACTGGGGCTTCGGGGCTAGATCCGATGTTTTGGGTGAGGTGGTTTTACAGGTGGAGATGGTGATGATTTTTTTTTTTTTGTTTTTGTTTTCTAGGGTAGTGCCGGGGGTCATCACAGGCGGAGTTTGGAGTCTCACTTCAAAGGGGGAGAGATATAATTGAGCCGCTGAGCCTGGAGTGGTCTTGGGGGGTATCTGGGGGGCTTCATAGATGCAGTTGATGTTTTGACCTGGTGACTGGCGGTAGAACCACATTTGTCGCTTCAACAACATCAGTCCTTGTACGGATACAAGCCCAAGTAGGCTCATGATACATACGATTATGCCCACCCCGTGCAAGTCATCGCCCACTAGATATGACTTCAACTCACGAGACTTTCACTCGAGTTCCATTTCATTGCTATATGAAGTCACAGACAAGGGAACTATCAAAATTATTGGTGTGATGGGAGTGTTTCTGAATTCCGTTCTCTCAAGGCATTGGAGTATCGACCTTGAAGATCATCGGGCGTACATGGCCCGGGGCAGCGGAATAATCGGGATCTCGCCAGTCTACCCTCTGCCATTTGTGGCACCTTACAGCTGTGTTTTTGGAGATGTGTGATGCTAGTTACGGATGGCGATGGAGCAATTGCCTTGCCGGTCAAAGTGCCTTGATCGAGTCTCAAGCGGATATCACCCTACTGTCCTTTTGTCCATCTCCTCGCAATGCTGATAATCCGGGAATGACTAATTATGTTGTGCACCCTCAATTCACATGGGATCTTTTAGGCATTATGTTGGAGAGCCACAGAGCAGTGTTGTTAAGCAGCGAGGCGTTGTTGTTTGATCCTAAGCTAGGCGTGAATGATAGCATGAAGTTCTACTTTTAACTCAACCTTTGCAACATGCTATATATGTACAGAATCCGGCTAATGTCTCTGCATTCAGGCAATAAAGGCCCCCTTAAAAGTCGTCATCCGGTCAAGATGCCCTAGTCCGTCAATGATGAAGAGTGTGGACTTGGTATAGACTCAAGGCGCTTCTTCGGCATGGCAAGAGTCCGAGGTTGAGGGCTAGGGAGAGAAATCTTCTTAAGCTTAACGCGAGAGCTGCCTGGATCCTGAGTACCTTACTCTATGGGACCAACATGCAACGAGAAAAAGGATGAAGATGAGGAATCGTTTCTCCATCTACCTAAGGCCGTTATGATACGGGTGCACTTGGTTGTCAGAATTTCATCGAGCTCGTTTGATGGCACGGGTTTCTCTGAGCTCGAGTACGACATCGCTTGTTGAGAGTTTAACTTTACACGAATAGAGCTTGGAACAAAGAAAGCCAAATATTTCAGAGGTGTTGTCTCATTGAATATGACGTTAATATCCTTTCTCTGAATATACCCAAAACACCCTGAGGTTGTCCTCTATAGCTATACTGGCTAAACACAGCATTGAGTAAGAGACCAATCCCCATGCATATCGACATGAAGACCCCGCAGATTGAGTGCATAACCTTGACCATATGCCTAACCGTGGTCCTATAATGTGAGAAAACGTCTTGATGTTGAAGCATCTCATACGGGCGCCTGTAAGAATGTCGTTCCGCAGCTCCGAAAATAGACAATGCAATCAGCAGGCTAAATCGTATACTTAGCCGGCTGCACCCCAGATCCGCTTGACGACAGTGGAACAGTATTAGCGGGATGCATCGCTTCCCAATACCTCGAGAATAGTCGTTTTCAGATGGGTGGGTGTTAATCATGTTCGGCACTTGTGTGCCGAAGACCATGCGTCTGCTGTCTTTAGGCAAAACTCCAAGAGAAGAATGCTTGGGCTTCTCTTTCAACGTCAGTCAATGTGTTGATGCCTCACAACCATCCGTTGGCGCGATTACTATATAAGCTCAAGCTATTCTATTCTAGATTTCAGGCTCTGGGTCAATAATACAATCTCGACAAACCTCGACTTGAAGTACTTCACGATGGTTAGCTTCTCCTCTCTTGTCGTTGCCTTGGTTGGTATCGCCAGCTCATGGGCCCTTTGGAGGAATCCATCAACGCAAACATAACTGAACGCGGACCCAACAACTTTGTTCTGGGAGGACACAATGCTGTCCGTCGTGCGGCCATAAACTACAACCAAGACTACACCACCGGCGGAGATGTTGTTTACACGCACTCGAACACCGGCTTTGCAGTCAACTGGTCTTATCCCAATGACTTTGTCGTGGGCGTGGGCTGGAACCCTGGTGGATCTGCGTAGGAGACCATTTGCTTCTCCCCCCCTTTGCATCATTGTATACTGATATGTTCGATGTTTGTAGTCCCATCAATTTCAGCGGCAACTTTGGCGTCGGCAGTGGCGTCGGCCTGCTCTCTGTCTACGGCTGGAGCACTAACCCCCTTGTCGAGTACTATGTCGTGGAAGACAACTTTGGCTTTTCCTCTGGCGGCACGGTGAAGGGCAGCGTCACCAGCGACGGATCGAGCTACACGATCTGGGAGAACACGCGCGTGAACGAGCCTTCCATCGTCGGCACGGCGACGTTCAACTAGTACATTTCGATCCGGAACTCCAAGAGATCGAGTGGCACGGTGACTGTTGCGAATCACTTCAATGCCTGGAAGTCGCTGGGGATGAACCTGGGGACTATGAATTACCAAGTTATCGCTGTGGAGGGATGGGGAGGGCAAGGCGGCGTGCAGCAAACTGTGTCTAATTAGGACCTTGAGCTGGCTCTAAGAATTGCAATGCGATGTTGCCTTTGACTCGGATTTCGAGTATTGAATACCCATGGTGTTGCATTTGAATGTTTGTATGTGACCGACAAGAATTACCCGTTAAGCTATATTCCCGTTACTTCGGTTTTGGCATATGGGCTCCAACAGATGGAGCGTAGTCAGATGCGAAATAGAAATCAAGCTGCTCATCAATCTTGCACTATGCGGCACAGGGAACTGTACAACTCTCAAGAATAAGGAATGTCTGTATATTGCTGGCACATCTTCACATTCTACCGAGATGCATAAGTAAGCAGTTACTGTATAGGCCATTTGTGCTAGGCCAGGTCGCGGTTCCTCCATACAAAGATATCAATCAACCAAACTTATAACCCCCTGATATCCTTCACGTCTCATCAAGTTCTCCACCAGATTAGAACTACCCGGCTTGAAGATAAGCTTAAGAGTGCTTCTTGCAGCTGATTGTGAAGCGGTTCTGCCAGTCCACGGGCTTCTGAGAAAAGGTCTGAAAGTCGCGGGTAGGGTTGGTAATGTCGGCAACCTTGGTAGTGAAGTCCCTCAGGACGATGCACTCCACGTTCTGGAAGTCGGCGGTGAAGAACAGGCTGGTGACGAAGAGGGTGCCGTCCTTCTCCAGGTTGGTGTGTCCGTAGGCCTGTCCAAGATTCACGGGACGGCCATCAAGGGGGATACGGGCGTTGCCGTTTGCTCCAGTCTGGTCATTGGCAAACTGGACTTGGACGGTGCCAACGTCGCGAGTGCTGGGAGCGGCAGAGGCCGTCAAAGCAAAGAGGGAGAGGGCGGAGGCGACGGAGAAGCGCATTTTGGCGAAGGTGAGGGTTTTGGAATTGACTTTAGGTTGAAAGATGTGAAATGGGTTGCTTTTATGGTGCTTGGGTGCTTGTTGTACTGTTGTCAGTTTAGTGAAAGAATGATTGAAAGCTGAGACGAAGAGCCGTTTATATAGATCGCTTCATCACATGAATATCTATTATTGTTCAAAGTAAACACTATAAATATATTGACTTTTGTCCATTGTCATAATGGTGTAACCCAGCACTATACTACCTATACCAGATGTCGGAAGTTTTCTCTTTTGGTGTTATTATTATAGCTACATAGGTAGGTTCGTACTCCTTCCGGCATGCTTGTAAGTGCTATAAGCTGAGTCTGGGCTGACTCCATCTCCAAACGTCTCGCATCCTTCAATCCTCGAGCTAGCTGTGGCTTTGGACGCCACGGCGTTCGCTTACCCCATAAACGTCATTTTCCCGACGCTTCCAAGCTCACCTTTACCAGGCTGAACGTGTTCATCCGGGGGCGGTGCGGATGTCGTCAGGATGTCATTTTAGTCCCGGAGACCCGACATCCCGGCGTCCCGCCCCGTCCACGCGGTATCCAGCATCACATGCAGCTTTATCCCGTATCCTCACGAGAGCTTCGAATTATATACGATATGGTAATTTCTCCTTGACAGCAACTCTCGAAGCTGCGTGAGACTCACTGGGTAATCTTCTCTCCCAAGTTACCATGAACATCCCGTCAACGGACGATGTCAAGCTAGTGGAACGGCTGAGAAGATGACGTCGAGCTAGAGAGAGCATCTTTTCCATCATCCAATTCCGTAAGCAGCTATTCCAGCAAACCAAATTTAGTTGGCTTATTCACTAGCAGCCTCAAGAGCTGTCAGCTGCGAGCAAAGTCAGCCGCACGCTCCGAGTCTGAGCCTCGAAACTGCTTCGTTAGGGCATGTTGTGCGACGTTCTAGCGCCAGAATACGAGAATGGCATTCGAGATGGGCTGTCTGAATTCACAAATGGCTTCAAAAACTTGCATTGATATTGACTTGGCCAATCCTTTCATCCTAGAGGAATCGTCACCGAAAGCCCAGAACATTGTCAGCCATGTCTTGGCCGTTGGAATGAGGCTTTGCCTACCTACCCTCACATGATGTTTGTGATCCTCTGGAACGCTTTCAATGTGTGTCCTGCCTTTGCACTCTACGGGTTATATTTTGGAAAAAGTTTGTTCATCGTACTGTGCGTTTGGTATTTGACAGCTCAGGTTTTGGCTGCCAGAGGTGGCGTGCCCGACCTTTCGATTCGGCTGTGGAGGGTGGAATGCAACGTTGGTCAGAGGCTTAACGGTCAAGTCGATCAGGCAATTTCCATTGGATATGCAGAACATATGGCTTCGGCCAAGGATCCCAGATGTAAGCCATCGGAGCATTGGGTTTCCATGTGTAAGATGAGCAAATCAAGTTTTTCCAAGGGCATCACCTGAGGCCGTCCGATTAGGTTATGTAGCTCCATATGGGTGGTCTACCAATATACTTTGGAAAGCTTTGAGTACTGCTTCAGCTCCTCTGAGCTGTGTGAGCATACACCATGCTTCGTAGTTGTCAAGTATCGATTTATCAAGTAACGGAAAATCAGATGAAATGGGTCGGATAGACTTGGTTATTCATGGCCATTGTGTTGATTGATACATATTCCGTATCCTATAATAGAAGTACATGGAGCATGTTGCGTGATGAGGATGAAAAGCTACCGTCTCAAGGCCAGAGGGTGTAGAGGCAGACCAGCGAAGGATAGGCCGTGGTTTCCCCCTGTGAGAATTCATCCAGAACACCGACAAGAGTCCTCGCTCTGCTCCTAGCTATTGTAACAATAAGACCTTGACCTCCTATGGCACAATGGACCTACTTACAACAAACGCCCCTCCGCCTCTTCAAGATAATCAGTTGTGAGCTGTCAACTCTATAGCTTTATCTGATTGCATCTCGAAAAGAAGACACAGAAGTGGTATGTACGCCACCTCTTGATCTAAGTCAGCTCTATCTCCATCTCAATCGTGGAATGGTCTATCTGTGTGGCAGATACAGCCACCGCTGCTGCGCTTACAACGCCTGTCCCGACCTTGAGAAGGCACAAATCCGAACTAGCGACGGACAAGGCATTTGAGGGTGTAAAGCGAGAGCGCAGTGATCAGTCCCGAGGCACTAGCTGTACGGTTGAGCCCGTCGAGTAAAGCATCAGAGTCGTGACTGACCTCGGGGTTGTTATGCGGTGTCCTACGACTCATTTGACTGAGAGTTTCATCAAGGCTGTTCATAGTTCGTGGAAATCTCCAGTAGTCACTAGGGATGGACTTAGGCTCGGTGAGGAGAGCCAAAGCTGCCAGAAAGGCGAGGATAGCGAGCTAAGAAGCATGAAGTTTGCTCTCCCGGCACCGGAGATGGAACAATGGCTGAGGAGTGAGCGATGGCGCCAGTATGGTTGTATGGTTGGGCACCCTCGGAAGTAGAAGCATAGTCTTTAGTGATGGCTGAATTATGATAGTTGCATAATATGACATCTTGGCATATTGGTCTGATGGTCTTTTTAATAGCCACCCGGTCTGGTACTTTGAGAGAGTGTTGTGAAGCGGACGCGACCAACGTCTCTTGCGAACCATTCTGATCTCGTACAATTGCTAGAAGAAGAATAAAGGCTGGTTAAACATCTTTTTGTTTAGCTATTTCTCAGATAATGGAAAACCCGCTTGTGCGATGTGGTCCCAACCTCTAGATTGCGCCTGTCGTCGCACAATCTACACTCTTATAGCTCTTCTAGAACTGCATACCTGCCTTCGCATGCCAGCAGTCCCTCGCTTGTTACGTTACCTACGCCCACAACTGGATAACCTCTGCTGCTTGATCTAGAAAAGTATGGAACCCCCAGAAGCCATGACGACTCTTGCCTTCTCAAAGCCTTCGGCACTCGAGGTCTGTTGGGAGGATGCATCTGCTCGGATCACAGCTGCTATTCACATGTGTAAGCGGCTTTGAGGTAGTCATTGTCAATTGCCAAAACCTGTTCTTAACCGCTGAATCTAAGAAGTTGGGAAACTGAATTCGTGACCAAGTCTCTGAATGTTATATTATGGCTGCTCTGGGTATGAGTCCCGGAGTGGCGACGTTGTGACTGGGCGTTTCATCGTTCTCTCACTGAGGAAATGTTGAAGACGGAACATATTCTGTTGTGAATGTCAAAGCCTGTGAGTCTGGAAGACTGCTCGAATGTTCTTCAATTGGTCGACGGAGGTGTGTTGCGTTACACTAGTTGATCCGTGGAGCATTCAGGCGTTCAACCGACATCTGCAGACACGGCCGAGATCCGCGAACCACTACCACGTGGGTAGAAGGAGGTATTTCCGCTGTAATACCTACCCATGGTCTGGATCCTCGGGCCGGAATCTCACCACCCAAACACTTGACACATAGAGAATAGACAAACTAGCAGGCCTCAATAAAGCACATTTGACCTGTCGATCCGAACATTCTTGCAGCCTCAGAGGTGTGGATGTGAATGCAGAAAGGCCGGGACGCCTCCGGGGGAGAATCCGGGGAGTTCCAGTTTAGGTCGCGAGGCTAAAGCTGACCAGCATGGGGTCAAGGTGTGGGGAGCACATCGTCCGGGGGGGAATCCGGGGCAGTCCGGGGAGACTTTGGCCGGCGGCTTCATCTTCATGTTCCTGGATACCAATCCGACAATGCGGAGATGAACATTTGGTATCTTGGAGATGGGTGTGTAGCTCATGTAACTCCCCGGAAGCAAGTGTCTTTCTGCAAGCATCGTGGCTATATAAGAGCCGCTGTTTGTCGACGGCTTACACGGTATCTGCAAGGGCACTTGAGGCCGGTGATAGGATGCTTTGACACATCCCTAGTTATAAGCCAAAGATGTCTGGACACTGGTCGATAGGCGTGTGCGCCTTGGCTCTCCTTCTCCTGAGCAGCCTGTCTCCTGCAAGTGCCGCAGCCGTCCACCACCAGAACGCCCCCTCGGCTCACACTGTGAATGGGACTTATACTGGTCTCAGTCTCGAGTCCTTTAACCAAGAGGCCTTTTATGGCATACCCTTTGCAATACCTCCATTAGGAGATCTAAGGCTGCGCTACCCAGTGCCGTACAACCAGTCATGGAGGGGCTCCCGTAATGCCACTGTTCGATCCGACTCGTGCCCCGGCTTCGACAAACCCTTTGCCCAGGGCTTCGCCGACGGCCTCACAATGAGCGAGAACTGCCTCACCCTTGACATAGTAAGGCCTGCCAATGTCAAGCCAGGAGACAACCTCCCCGTCTTCTTCTGGATATACGGCGGTGGTTTCAAGGCAGGCGGGTCAGCCGACCCGCGCTACAACACGTCCTTCATGGTGCGCAACTCGATGGAGATGAAGAAGCCCATCATTGCCGTTGTGCCCAACTATCGCACAGGGGCTTTTGGCCTGCTAGCCTCCAAAGAGGTCGCGGCAGCGGGCGTAGGCAACATTGCCCTCTTCGACCAGCGGCTGGCAATGGAGTGGGTGTCTGAGAACATCCGCGCGTTCGGCGGTGATCCCACCAAGGTCACTATTGCTGGTGAGAGCGCGGGAGGCTCCTCGGCTGGATACCATCTGGTGGCTTTTGGGGGGAAGAATAATGGCCTCTTCAGGAGTGCCATTTTGGAAAGCTCGAGCTTGCTTGGTGCTACGAGTGAGTCTTGTCTGGCTGGCGTGTACACATGTGAGGGAGATGTTGATGATTCGCTGACTACTGACGCAAGTGAATACCGTCGAGACGCTGAATCTGACATACCAAGGGTGGTACGACAACATCACGACAACGGTCGGCTGCAACACCGCCGCAGACTCCCTGGCCTGCCTCCGCACCGTTCCTTACCTCAAGTTCTTTAACGCCATCAACGGCTTCCAGTTCAAGCCGTACATTGACGGGAGATTTGTAACGCAACCTCCATCAATCTCCATCGCAAAAGGTCAGATTGCGGATGTCGCCCTCATTATGGGATCCAATACGGACGAGGGCACAGCCGAATTCTTCACACCTAGAGGAACCCTCAATAACGATAGCGACATTGCGTCTCTCGTGGCTCATCTCGCCAATGGCCTCAGTGACGAGATTGTCTCCAACGTCCTCCGCCTCTATCCCGATGATCCCATCCAGGGCTGTCCCTTTGGCACCGGCCCCGAGCGTTTCGCAGACCAGGGCGTCCAGTACAAGCGCGGCGCTGCAATCACTGGCGATCTGAACATCCACGCCGGTCGTCGTGCCTATGCCGTGAGCCATAGCCAGCGCAGCAAGCACCCGATTTACACGTACCGCTTCGACCAGGCGCCGTGGGACATGAAAGAGGTCGACGTCACCACCACCGCGCCTGTGTTTGTCACGCACTACAGTGAGATTGTCCATGTATTCGACAATCCGGATAAGAATGTCAACTGGATTGGGCCGTATCCGATTCTGTCGGAGTTGGCCAACTACGTGTCCCGCTCTTGGGTGTCGTTCATTCACGACCAGACCCCGAATAATCACGGTCTTCAGAATAAGCCGGTCTGGCCAAGATATGATGCCTCAAAGCCGCAAAATATCGTCTTCAGGGCTGGTGCTAGCTGGATCGAAAAGGATGACTGGCGAAAGGAGCAGTTGGCATACTGGAGCACCATCTGGTCGGAGGTGATGACATAGGTAGTCGTCGTGTATCGTACCATGTCGGATCTGATAACTCTCCTCTTGAGTGAAAATTTGATGGAAGCAGTGCCCAAGCCGGCCAGAGAAAATATATCGAAAGAGGGGACAAAAAGACCTGTGTTGCAGTGTTTTACCATGAACCACATTTATAAGTCACTTTAGCACTAACCCAAGCACATACGACCACAGGTAGCGGAATATTCGGGGTCTCGTCTGCTCCCCCATAGACAAGCCACTAACCGGCAGATTAGTAGTCAAGTGGGTGACCATTGGCGAACACCGGCTGTTGTATGTTTTTGACGATTCATTTTTATTTATTTTTTTACTCTTCTTGGTTTGCTGTTTTTACAATCTTTTCCTTGGTCGTCTTATCAAAATGCTTCTCTACTTGGCAGCGTCTATGGACCAACAATGTCTTGTGCATCATCCATCCTCCGGGCCTCAATCCAGGCAATGGCCTCTTCCCGATTGCGGCAAACATGAGGCTGCCCTCTTTCCTTGTCGTCCGGCGTTGACATGGACCCTTCTAATGTCATATCGAGATTGCATAGAATGCTGTTTCGAAGGTATTCGAAACAATGAGCCGCATGCCTCGGGTTATCTTCCTCACTAGGCCCATTCAGTATCAACTGGTGATAACTATCCACGCTGTAGTACAACTGAAGACCCATCGGGCATTGTTAGCCTGTGCAACGATATCCAGTCGTCATTGTTGGTGGTAGCTTCGACTTACACAGTGCAGCGCATGCGTCCACGATGCCTCGAATAACGGGCCGGAACGAATTGGGTCGTCAGTGATGGGGTTCCCGAGTAGAGGGTGATTCATGTAGTCGGGGATAAGAACACTCCCGCTTCCCACTGCAGACAGCCACTGTTAGTATTCCCTTTGGTAGGATTGAGGGCATGGTATAGGTTGCGTACGTGGCATCAACATGTCCCAATTCCTCCGGATCTCCATTCGGTTATCGTTCGACGTCATGTTGGGAATAAACTTATCCTCTTCAGGCTTGAGAAATGTGTATGTATGTGAAACTGTCCAACAGTTAGTTGGGAGGAAATAGATGATCAAAGCGTGATAAGCAGAACTCACGCGTCTTGTACAGGCCATTAATATCACCACCCGTCTCGACAAATTGGCCGCCTGCGGCTACACCGATCAGGTTGTTGGTGGGATTCGTGCTGCCACTTTGCTTCAGGCAGAGCAATAGGATCATGATTGTCTGCAAGCCAACAACCGTCCCCCATCGAAGCCAGGTCCAGAAGTTGGAGGACATCTTGGCTCTTTTCGGCCACCGATGTGCAAAGGAAGGTGCTGATACATCTGCATCATCTCTTAGAGACAGGAAAGCCGTCTTGTCGAAAAGTTCACCAGTTGATGAGGTCTTGGTGGTATCCGACGCATTGTCTTCTAAGTCAACATCTTGGCCCTCTTGAGACTGGTCGTTCCGTTGGAGCCGGAAGTATTTTCCGGCGAGGGCCATCTCACACCGAAAAAAGCAATGCAAGTTTATATGAATGATTCGAAGTTTCAGAAGAAATGGTAGCACAAGAAAGATAGAAAAAAATAAAAAAAAAGAGCAGATTGTTGTCTCTCTGTACCAGCAGGAGATGGATGGTCAGGACCTCAACGATATGGTGGGAAATGGAGAAGGCAACCGCCCACTTAACAGATGAGTTCCCAAGAGTTCAGCGGTGGCCACCTCTTATCCGATACCGCGGAAACTTTTGCTATTCTCAAGCGATTGTCATGCGAAGCGACGGCAGTGGTCAAACCAGCAAGCCATGCGACTAGGTAGTGTTTGGGCCGCTTGGCGAAACAGGAGTCAGTAAACTGCTGGTACTCGTAGTGTCTCAGGGCTGCCGAAGCTCGCCGATTGTCTCTACTTCGGCCTTTACAACACACAAACTATCTGCCCGTAGAAACAGGAGAGTTGTCCTACTACGCACACGTCGCCTACTCAGCTACATGTGAGGTCCGTATCGTTTCAAGCCGGCAATAGCAAGGGGCTAACGTGATGATTCAAAACGCATCTCAAGTTCTCAACATGGAGTTGGACTCGGCGCCTACAATGGCGGCTAGTGTGGACATCCATACCTCATCAGCACTCATACAGCACCAATCTTACAGGGATACACACTACCTAGATAGTGGACCTCTATGCAACAGAGGCCCGGGAATCAGTATACAAGATTTCGGCTTCACAATGATGGTCACAGTCATGAAATAGGCACTTCAGAACGAGATCTGCATATCGCTCGCTATAAGCGCAACCAAAACTACATGACCTATTCCTGCAACACCTCCATATTTCCAACTGAGTGGTCCAGCGCCCACTGGCGCACTCCCTCGAAATCTCGGCACACATGCTTCGAATTCAGCTGAGGCCAGGCAAGCGGGTCGTCTGGAATCATGTAGAAAGTGAAGAGACCAATGTCCGCATTACACTGAAGATTCAGACGAAGGACTTCGATGCAATGATCTATCCATGTGAGCCCAAATCGTCAACTGCTGAGACCGGTTATGGATGATGCGCTTACCTGTGTGTGCTTGAAGGACCTCTGGGCCATGGCTAAACTCTCCACCAAGGGGTTCGTAATACTCCTTGTAAGTAACCCGTCGCAAAAGATTCAGGCAGTGCAGATGGTGAAAGACTTCCATGCCAACTCTATATCCTTCCTCTCCAGTGGTTGGATGGTTGACCTTGAGGGAAGTTTCCGGCATATCCAGCTTCGAGATGTCGGATTTTGGTATCCATTGGTCACCCACTTTCATCGTGTTTGTTAGACCCGGCAATCTCTCCTAAATATCGGTCGCAGACTCACTATCGTAGGAAATCTCCCTCCAGACTCTATCAACCTCGGGTCCAGCGCCAACAAAGGGATTGCCCTTTGATGTGATGTTATATCTGACTTGCTTATATTGCACAGAGGTGTCGGCGGGTGCTGCATACCTATCCTGTTAGCCATCTCGATTTTTTTGCGCGAGCAAGCATGCGCCACTTACACCAGGCTGAAACCTGTCGAACAAGATGCAGTGTTGATGACCGCAATATCAATGTGCTAACGAGCATTCCGCATGAAGTAAGAAGTAAGGCTGCGTGGACAAGCCAGAGCCATTTTGACCTGATCCATCCAGACGCTGATTCACGGATGGAAGCCTTCAAGAAGAGTTCCGAGTCGCGGGATAGATAGTCTAAATCATCAATCGCTCGCAGCGTCGAGGTAGAATCGGACGATAGACGGCTGGGGTGCTCGCCGGGTAAAGACACTTCCACGGGTCGATATTGGAAAGCCATGATGGTACAGATAACAACAAGATGAATGGAGTTGTATGCAATTGCAGTTCAAGAGAAGTTGCTTTGTGTATGATTTAAAAAAAACTCGAAGCTTGTTTTGCCAATTGGGGGAAGATTATGAAGAGAGTGGGTGGTAGGCTACATGTAGGAGAGGCCTGGGCGAAACAGACGTGAGCGGTTGCCGAGGTCATAAGAAGGAGCATCAACTTGATCGCGTTGTTTTTCGGGCAACCAACCATGGTTTCGAACCTTTCAACAATGAATATACCGATTTTCGAACCGCTGGCTGGGGTCTCAGCCATGGTTTGTTGCCGTCTGGAACCACAACCGTTTCATCGCTTGTTGTGATGCAAGTCTGTAACTTCCTAGCAGCCGCCGATTGAGCCCGATCGATAACTGGGGTATTGCCATCCGATACCGCTACAGCCTAGAACACCATGGAGCCTCAAGACGAGTCTGATCGTCGGTTTCAATTGGCGCTCGCTTATTGTTCTGCAAAAAGAGAGGCTGGATTTCCTGTTCTACCAAACTTCTGAGGATAGTTCTGTTGCAGAGCGATTCGCCTGTTCTGAATCTTGGCCCACAATCCGGGCGTTCTGCAGACTCCAAAGTCTTATAAAAACGGCTCGATAGTTCACGTTCTTCCTGGTTTTCCACTTCATTCCTCATCTCATCCTCCATCTCCTCTTCTTTTTCTTTTCTCACACACCAGACTGCTGGCCAGTCTCTTCAATTCTTTCCTTGTCTTTTGTTCCATCCACAAGTCTTCTCTCACGACACCAAACGTTCAACTCTTTCACCATGCGTCCTTCTTCAATTACCAATGCCGTCGTTCTTGGCCTCCTTGGCTTGGCCCCCATCGCTTCCGGCCTCTCAACGCCTGCTGGGTCGACAGACGTGGAGCGTCGATACGTCGTAGGTGACTCTAATCAAGAATACTTTACGAAGTGCGTCAACTGACCAGTTGAATCAGGGTTCCCCTGCAGCCCTAGCTTCCAAGTTTGTACGCTCCATCATCACGGGCCTCGAAGCTCGCCACCACACCGAGGCCCAGATCGCCGCAAAGGAGGCTGCTGCCGCCAAAAAGGGCGGAAAGAAGCACCAAGCCCGCGAGGCTGATGTGATTCCTCCGGACGACGAGTTTGGCTCATGGGCTGACAAGCGCGCACCCCATCATACCGAGGCACAAATTGCAGCCAAGGAGGCTGCCGCTGCCAAGAAGGGCGGCAAGAAGCATCAAGCTCGCCATCACACCGAGGCCCAGATTGCGGCAAAGGAGGCCGCTGCTGCTAAGAAAGGTGGAAAGAAACACCAAGTCCGCGAGGCCGATGTGGTTCCTCCAGATGACGAGTTCGGTTCATGGGCTGACAAGCGTGCACCTCATCATACCGAAGCTCAGATCGCTGCGAAGGAGGCTGCTGCTGCTAAGAAGGGGGGAAAGAAGCATCAGGCTCGCGAGGCTGATGTGGTGCCTCCGGATGATGAGTTTGGGTCATGGGCTGACAAGCGTGCACCCCATCATACTGAGGCGCAGATTGCAGCCAAGGAGGCTGCTGCTGCTAAGAAGACCGGGGCCAAGAAGACCAAGGGCAATTCTAACTGAGTCTCAAGCGAATTGCCGACTGCTGGCTAGCTCCAAGCATCTTCAAATATGGACATGGCAGAGGATGAGGGCAACTGGATGGATGGGTAGAGAGATGGATGACCATGGCTGAATTAGCTGTTAGTCTGTATTCTTTCATAGCCAATTCTGGATTCAGCCTTTGCATCAACTGATATGTTGAGATGCTATCGGATCGAAACTGTTGTGCTTCATCAGCGGACGGCTACTTTCACTAATGTCCGTCATCGTGTGCCCCAGATTCAGACATACCTTTTTGTTTCGCTTATACTCAAATGACATTTGCGGTATATGTTGGTGATAGGCAAGTGGCATCGATCATGATGAGACAGTGGACGAATCTTCTATCATGACCATGTTATCACACTCGTCTACATCTAGATACCACAGCTACATCACACCTGGCATCCAGAGTATCACTCACTTATAGAACATGATAATCAACGCACACCAACGCACATTTATAGTTGATGCTTGGTTCACAAGAAAGAGTTTCAGGACGGCCATTCTCACTAGGCCTTCAGTCCTAGAGACGTAACATCTCTCTTTGAATTCAACATGATTTATGGCATGGCTATATGTTGAGTTCGTCGATGAGTCTAAGTAATTCTCTTCTATAGATCCTCCCGTTGAATACACTGCAAGGAGCATGACACAAGCCAGAAAAGTTCAAGGGGCTGGCTGAGTGAAGAACAGGGGAAAGAGTTTCGTCTCTGGGGTGCTCCCAACTTTGCAGGGATGCTGCTCGCCTGCATCTGCTATAGGCTGATTGGGCCCATGACTAAGCACATACGACCATAGGTAGTGGAGAACTCGGGGTCCCGTCTGCTCCCCCATAGATAAGCCACTAACCGGCAGATTAGTAGTTGGGTGGGTGACCACCAGCGAACACCGGCTGTTGTATGTTTTTTGTTTTATTTTTGCACCTTCTTTTTTCTTCTTCCTATTCCTTTTTACTTCTTCTGTGTCAGATTCTATTCCTTTTGAATTGTTTGAGTATTCACATAGACTTCTGAATAATCATCTGTAAATCGAGCTGTTACGAGGCACTTTCTTCCTATTGCTCTTAAGTGGTCGGGTGTATATAATAGAGCCAGGAGACTTGGATTACAGGGTGGACGACGCTTAAAGCTGCACATCTGACGCCTAGACGTGATAAAGTGCTGACTCCGAACTGCTGGGTCAATCATCAGGCGTCGGTTGGCTCAGTCTGGTGGTAGAACCGAGACAGTAGGGTAATTGGTGCTTGCAGATCTGTCAGCTCTCTCTGTATAATTTGTGTTCGGACCTCTGAACTTGGGTGAGCGCACCCTCTGTACCTATACCTTGTTGACAGATTACCTGGGTACGTAATTGATCTCACGACTGCAATCCGGCCTGGTCAAACCATACATGTATGATTTTCTATCTCTCACATAACGGTAAACTTCTATCTTTGTATGTTTGTTTCCTTTGGCGCCGTTAGTTTAGAAGTGGGTAGCGGCAACACCATGGCTCCAGATATTCACGCCATAGTTAGTTCGTCTTGTCGCGTACGATCAACTGCATAGAAGACAAGCCACGATTTTATGCCACCAGGACACATGGAAGGAAACCAGTCCGCTCAACCGTCTTTATAAGGCTAATATCTGCCGTGCCTTTACATGCAGTTCCCGAGCCCGTCTAACCCAAAAGTGTGGCATCCCCTTGCCGCGGCCCAATCGCAAGCCTCGCCGCTCGATTCCTCACAATGCAGACATCTAACGCCATCGCGAGGGCCCCGGTTTAGTCTCACACAGCGTTATCGTCAAACCCCCCCAAGAAAGCGGGATTATCGTGGGGACTCATCTTCATATAGCGGAGCCTTAAGGAATCGCTTCCTATCAGGTATTAGAATATGATAATCATCTCTGTCCGTATGTGTGCATCAAGGTTGGGCTGATGATAAAGAGACTCCTATTCCGATATGGATATCCCATGCATGCAACCTTGAGCAAGGTCCTGGCTAGACTACTCTGCATCTACACAAGCATCGTCGTCACGCAACTCGCCATCCAGCCAACAGGGCCAATGGCAGCTCCCGCAGTCCGTGACAAAGCCGTTGATCCCAGCAATGATGTGATTGCTCTCAGCCATCGCGACACCCCGAGCATCGCAATCTTCTGCAAAACGACGTAGCTGCAGAGAATTCAACCACACTTTCCAGAACCTCGGCCTATCTGCAGCCTCTGATGGTGTAATAGATGCCCCGACAATGCGGTACCGCGTGCCGGCTCGTCGCCAATATATAAGGTCCAAACGCCCGCTGCTTTGGGGGCAGACCGGGAACTCGAATCTAGGGCTTCTGTGATACGACGTCAAGCTCAGCAGCAAGTTGATCTCGCCGCGATGTCGCACAGCGTGGTGCCAGCGCCACAGGATAGCAAGGAAGATATCCCCGACGAGAAAGCCGTCTTCACGTCCCAGGAGTCGTCGGTAACAGGCGAAGTTCAGGAACGTAAAGATGAGGCGTTTGGGTCAACAAAGGACCATCCTTTTGCGGACCCGGCCATGGCTGCGCACTGGCGTGGCGTGTATGAGAAGGCCAACTATGAAAACCGGCACAGGTTCGATCCGGAGTTTACGTGGACGGCAGAGGAGGAGAGGAGACTGGTTAGAAAGGTATGCTCCTGCTGCATGATGTCTAAATGTCTCGTCATATTTGGATGCTAACATTCCAAAGATTGACCTCAGAATCATGCTGTGGGCTTGGATCATGTTTTGCGCTCTCGACCTTCATCGACGAAACATCAACCGTGCCATCTCAGACAACATGGTAGGCCAAATAAACAATAGCCACTCAGATATCAAGAGCTTCGACTAACGCACTCCAGCTTCCAGAGGTTGGCATGAACACGAATGATTTCAACTACGGACAAACGGTGAGACACCCATTGTTTCTATTCTACGAAACTGTAATCGGCCATACTAACTTGCGCTCCATCCAGATCTTCCTCGTTACTTTTCTCGCAGCCGAGCTGCCCAGCGGTCTGATAAGCAAGCGAGTCGGTGCCGACGTCTGGATCCCATTCATCATGATGAGCTGGTCCCTCATTGCGGGCAGCCAAGCATTCATCCACAATAGATCAGCCTTTTTTGCTATCAAGGCTCTTCTTGGCCTCTTCATGGGCGGCTTCATTCCGTACGTACTCCCTATTACTGTGCAACATTGGAAGAATGCAAATAGCTAACACAGTGCAGCGATATTGTGCTTTGGCTCACCTACTTTTACAAGTCGAACGAACTTCCCGTCAGGTTGGCCTGGTTCTGGACTGCTTTGAGTACCGTCAACATTGTCGGCTCCCTGATTGCCTCTGGCGTTCTCCAGATGAGAGGTATTGCGGGCTGGGGCGGCTGGCGATGGCTGTAAGCGATCCAAATCTCGATCTATGGTAGTAATTTCTCTCTAACATCTGATTCAGATTTCTCATTGAAGGCATCCTGACACTCATCATTGGCACGTTCTCATGGGTCCTCATGCCACCCGGACCGTGCCAAACGCGAAACTGGTTCCGCGGCAAAGACGGATGGTTCACTGAGCGTGAGGAGTCCATCATGGTCAATCGGCTCTTGCGCGATGATCCCAGCAAAGGAGACATGAACAATCGGTAAGTACTTCACAGAGTACCAACTACGAGGGCTACAGACTTACAGTGCCACAGACAAGCCGTCGGCCCCGTCCTCCTCCTAAAAGTCCTCAAAGACTGGGAGCAGTGGCCGCTCTACCTCCTCGGCCTCCTCGTCTACATCCCGCCCAGCCCACCGAGCACATATCTGTCGTACATTCTCCGCAACATTGGCTTTTCCGTCTTCAAGGCCAATCTGCTGACAATCCCGTCCCAATTCCTCTTCGCAGTTAACCTCGTCATCATATCGTGGGTCTCGGAGCGTTTCAAGGAACGCGCAATCATCTCGTCCATTTCCAACATCTGGATCTTCCCCTGGCTCGTCGCTCTGGTGACACTTGACGCAGATTCGTCCCCATGGATACGATACGCTCTTTTGACGGGCCTGCTCAGTTATCCATACTGCCACGCCATCGTCGTCAGCTGGAACGCAAAGAACAGCAACGCCGTCCGGACGAGAGCCGTCAGCGCTGCCCTGTACAACATGTTTGTGCAGAGCGGCAACATCATCTCGTCCAACATCTACCGTGACGACGACCAGCCTCTGTACAGACGAGGCAACAAGATTCTGCTGGCCATCAACTGCTTCAACATTGTTCTCTTTTATGCGGTCAAGGTGTTTTATATCTGGCGGAACAAGGTCAGGGAGAGGAAGTGGAATGCCATGACGAAGGAGGAGCAAGAGGACTATTCCCTCAACACCACGGATGAGGGCATGAAGCGTCTGGACTTTAGATTTGTGCATTAGACGTATGTTGGGTACCTAGTAGGTAGATAGTCGTTTTCAAGGCCTAATGTTCGAGATAGTGGGCTCTTCCAAGAACTCCAGCATCATGGAGTGCCTTGATCACCCCTCCTCCGGAGGTTCCATGGTCTTACTGGGTGTGCTCTTGTTCACCAAATGAGAGAGTATCTAGCAGCAAAGGTAACGTAGCTTCTGAGTACATGTATGATGATCTGCTGCTACGGTTGGACGCTGAGTCGCCTCGATAAGCAGAGGCGTCAGAGGATCGTGAAGAAATCAAATTTCTTCTTCGATGGCACCGCGGACCGCAAGGCAAGAACTGTCACAGTAACAGCGTCATCGCCATGGTCTGGGCTGTGGAAGCTGTGGCCTCGGCATAACCCACAGAGGTCACCTCTCATGACATGCATCTAACACCAGCATTTTGCGTATGATGGTCGGAGCACCTTCATAGAGGTGACTAGGTGATGCTGCTTTCAACACATCACGTGATTGGTCTGGTGGTCTAGTGGTATGATTCTCGCTTAGGGAAAACCCAAAGTTGATTCTGCGAGAGGTCCCGGGTTCAATCCCCGGCCAGACCCTTCTTTTTTCCTGCTCATCTCGACGTTCTCTCTTTTTTTTTCTGCCTCTCAACTGACGGTCGCGGCTTCATCAGCTGCTTACCGTCCGGCAGACAGACATCAACATCTCCTCATTGGTCTGGTGGTCTAGTGGTATGATTCTCGCTTAGGGACAACCCTACAGCTTGTTTGCGAGAGGTCCCGGGTTCAATCCCCGGCCAGACCCTATCGGTTTCTCTACGTTGCCTTTCTTTTTGGAGCCTGGAGGCTATGAGACTTGTAATAAGTATCCTTCTTTTTTGGACGAATTGATTGATTTATTATGACTTCGCTACATCACGGACCATTAAAAGATTCCAGGTAAAGCGGACATCCGATCCTCCTCGCCTCCAACTGAAGCCGCCGAATGTGTACGAGAGGCTCATGAAGCCATCACGACTGTGTGTCGAGGAACCCTCCTACTTAGTCTGCCCGTTGCCTGTCATCAGAGCAACCCATTTCGGATCACTTGGATCCAAACCCGCGCCCAGGCCGCGTCGACAGGTAAACCTCACTCTCATGAAATACCCCTTCCGAACGTCTATCGTGCACTCTACGTCTACATCGCAGATGCCACAAGCGGTCCTATGAATATAAGGGCCAGATCGATCATCCCACCTCTCCATTGGATGTGATTCACATCGGGGCGGTCTGGCGGTCACCCATGCCTGCACCTCTTGATTTCCATTCTTCTCCCCAAATGTCGGCTCAGAGACGCTGATGCTCTGGTGGGGGCATGCGATGTAGTGCTCCAGCGAGCCTCTGTGTATCTGGCTTGTGACTCGAGATCTCTGTTCAAAGCTGCCTTTGTGAAAGTAGATGCGGGAGAACCAGTCGAACCGGGCAAGCGTATCGGTGAGAATGTACCCTTTGCTGCACAGCTCTGGCACGATGACCGGGACGTTCGGAGAGTTGACCTGGCGACGGGCCCTGGCCAGCTTGTCGAATGAAACATGGTCGCTCACAGACCAATGCAATGGCAAGAGAGGGCGCGCGGGGTCGAGGCAGGACGAGGGCAGGACGCTGACTGGGGTTTCGTCGTGCAGCTCTTCGCCATGCGCCTCTTCGCATAACGTACTCGAGTCGAGCCATGACTGGACGGGATTACTATGACGAGTAGCAGTATACCGTCTCGGTGAGCGTGATGGAAGCACCGGCAACGTATCATGTTCGGTGGGACAGGCGCATGGTGCCCTGTATTTCGACTTGAGGTCAGCGACCGCCTCCTTGGAGGTCGTGTCTGACAGCGGTTCCTCCACAGGCTTTTCTGTCTGAGTTGCAGAAGTCTTGGAACGGCTCTTCAGCAGCCATTTTATGGCAAAGTATCCTCCGACGGCGCCCATGGTGCTTGAAAAGCTGCAGATTCAATGTAGTAGAAAATAGATGCGGTGTATCCGAATTGAGAATGAGGTGTACTAGAGCGGGATAACGAATCGTAGCTGAACAATGAGAGCGACTTGTTCTGAAGAACGATCAGGTTGATGAGGTTGAAATCTGACAAGCAGGATCTCCGCGAATGTGGGAGGGCAGCGCTTCATATAAGGCGGCCCTCTGTTGGTTGGCTTGTGGAATGGGCGTCTTCATCCGCTTAGTGAAGGTCTCCTGCGGACAAGCCACGCATGGCTCATATGAAAGAACCACTGACGGTAGAAAGTGCAGAGTTTAAAGCCTGTTTGCCAAACTTACTGGGTAGTGTACGTATCGTATCCGAGATGAGGCTTATCAGACCTACCTACCTTAACCTACCTTATGAACGCCTAGGTGAGTTAACGCTTTCCGGTCAACCAGGCTAGCCACGTCTGATAGCCTTGACTTGATGATTTTGTAATGCCTCCGTTACTGTTTCAGGAGCGAGGCGTACGAGTTCAGGGCCGAACTCATCAGATTCGATGGATGCCGGAGGAGGGGAATCTGTGTTACTAGCAAAGCCAATTGGCGCCACTCTGGCTGCTGGATTGTCCGGGTGTATCCGATGGCTTTTCTGTGGAATCTCGATTCGATGGCTACAGACTGGAGTGAAAGAATACACCGCGCGTATCGAGTACCTTAAGTCCACCACCGCACCACCGCATCAGCTTCCCCTCGATGCCACTTCTGTGCCTCGTCCTTACCTATTCGACATAATAGACCATAATGTCGATAGACGGGTGCTGGTAGAACCGCCGAAGCCTCTGGGAGCGAGCAAAAGCCCCTTTGGAGGAAAACGGCGAGAAGCTACTGCGATTCTCAAAGAATCAGCCGTTGTACGGGCTACATGTAGCTTGTCTCGAACAGGTCTGTCACTATTACGGATGCCTACTTTAGCTGGTGCTCACAACTGGCATGTCATCATCCACAACACCACCCACAGCCCCGACGATGTTCTGCCGCTATCGATGCAAGGAGATGCTGTGAAAGGATTTGACACGTCGGGTTCGTTTGCTTAGAGGTATGTAGTCAAGTTCAGGGGTCATGGCGAGGCATAGGTAGGTAGGTAATACTTGCCTTACCTAGTGTGTGCTTGAAAGTTCAGTGTCACGTGCGCTACGGTACGAGTAGGTCCTGGCAAGCAAGTCGAGCGGTCACAGAAGATGAGAGAGGTTGCCGCCGACTTATTAAGAAGCAAACAAACAAACAACATAACAGCTTACAAGGGCGCAATCAGCTCGAGCCCAGCTCAATATTCCTTTTCTTTTTTTCATTTTCTCTTTTCGTGCTAAATGCAACTGAAATACACGGTCAACACGGCAAAAAAATGCAGTCCATCATCTCCGCCTTTCCTCTCTTCACCCCTAGCAAGCGGGCCAGCGCCTCACCACGGGTCTCCCTCGGCACGTCTTCCAGCATTGCAGGCCCAGTCTCGCCGCGGCTGAAACTGAAAAAGAATTCACCTGGATCGACAAGACGACAGTCGCTTGCCAGGAGGCTCAGGAACGAGGAAACGTCTCTGCAGAAGGAGGACGATGACAGTGGTGAAGCTTACCAGCCGAACGACACAGTGGGAGACTCTCTGCAGCTGGAACAACAGGAGTTGGTGTCGGCGTCAACGCCTCGCGCAGCACCGAGAGCGTCGAATGTGGTAGAGGCCTACTCAACAAGGTCAGCGATGCGAGCTGCACGCATCTCGGAAATTTTACGCCGGGCTGACATAGGAGCGGAGGAAACCGAGGAACCGCAAATGGAACAAGAGGTGGAGGCAGCCGATGATGAGGTGAATGCGGTGCAAGAGCAGGGAGAGGGGAAAGAAGAAGAAGAAGAAGACGAAGGGGATGATGGAGACGAAGAACAATACGGCTTTGAAGGCTTCGCCGGATATCGCTGGGTCGGCGACTCTATCGAGATCCAGGTGCAGTGGGACGGCGGCGAGACCACCTGGGAGCCCGAAGCCAATCTGCACCACGATTGCCCCAAGGCCCTCTTTGAGTACTGGCGCTCACATCAGGGCCGGCCCAAGAATCCGAGAGACCCGGAGATGTACGAAGTGTATTCCATCCTCAAGCACAATAGGAACCGGAGCAGATTGCTGGTCGAATGGGTCGGATTCGAACGTTCAGAGGCGACGTGGGTGTCGCGCAAGGTAATCGAGGAGACGGCAAAGGATGTTGTTGATGCCTACTTTGGTAGCGTCACGACGAAAAGGAGGAAGAAGTGAGGTACAATGATGAGGCAGAGGGTAGGTTTTTTCTTCCCTTTCTTACTCGATATGTATACCTAGCATTCATGTAAACGTGACAATAGCAGGGGACAAGTGAGGATTGAAATTGAATGACTCTAGACATGATGGTGTATAACCAGACGTAGCCATGCAACAGAGGCTTGTCGATGGTGCCACTATCTAGGTTTCTCAACGTGCTGCAGCCTCCAGTCGAATACAAGATGCCTGGAACTCTGCGGAGATGGCTTTCGGTACGACACAGGTAGTTGTGTCAGCAAAATGATGAAGCAAGCGTCAGATTCAGGCCGCGTCTACATCCATGCTGTTATCCCGTACTACCCAATATGCCCACTTACGTATGTTGTTGGTAAGTCAGTGTGCCTCACTGGAAACACACTGCACTCTGAAGATCAAGTCCTTTCACTAAATATAGACAAATAGTGCTCTTTGCTCTGGCCAGACACACCCATTTCCACATCGACGGCGGGGGCGCCGGGTCGTCGCGCGAGTCGGACGCGTCGGGCGGCAGCCCGGAAGATCTCTGAGAAGATCTTGGTCTTCTCCCACAGCACCAGGAGAACTGGCAAGGCGTGTTGGCAGAATCGGCTGGTCGGCTGAGGATCCGAAATAAAAAATCAACTTTGCACCACCCTTACAACTGTCACACTGATCCGTCGGCGCATAGTTTCCCGCCAGCATGGGCATTCGTGGGGGCAAGCAGCCGAGAGACAGGTGCCGAAAAGGCTGAACAGGTCCGTGTCCATCTCCAACCAATCATTGTCATCGACGAGGTCAAACCGTCGCCCTCTATTCGGCCTCTATTCGCCAACCCATCCATGACGTCCATTCCTTCCTTGCCAATCAGTACACGAACCAAGTGTCCGCTGTCGAATCATTCATTGTCTTTCCCATGGGTTCAACTGGTGGGTATGTTCCTGGCCCAACCGAGTCAGGGAGCTCTGGTCCGCCTGGGGGGACGACCCTACCCCTTACTCTTCTTCCTGCCTCTGCTGTCCAGACGGCCGCCGTCGCGCCGCGTCGCTGGATCCTGCGGTCAGGGCCTGGACGGCTGAGCCGGAGGTTTGGGCCGAGTTGGGGGTCGAGCCGGGGGGGGCGGGTTAGGGACGATCCGGCTTCGTCGCCGCGGTCGTCGCGGGTGTGTCGAGGGCATCGACGGTTCATCCAGAACCAGGCCAGGGCCCAGATGCCGCCGAAGACCATCTTGAGGCCGGCCATGATGGTCACAATGGCTTTAGTCCACTGAGCCCACTCGGGAAAGCGCGTACGCCCCAGCACAGGCGACAGTTATCGTCGTCGTTGTCGTCATCGTCATCGTCGTTGTCGTCGTCATCATCTTTTTTCTTCTTTTTGCTGTCGTTGTTGTTGTTTCTGCTGCTTCTGATGAGGGAGAGCGACGGCAAGGGAAGAATCAGAAGTGATGTTGTCCCGAGGTCTCTTTATATTGTCCAGCCATCGACTCATGGGCAAGGCGAGAGCGACAGGTCCGAGGGCAAGAACAACAGTCAGTCTGTACCTTCTGCGTCCAATGGTATTGTCCATCGCGTTACGAGGACTACAAGCAAAATAAGCTCCATGAGGTCAACGGCAAAGGCATCGTCGAACCTTGCCGAAAGAACGGCGCCCAACATGACCAAAGAGAAGACCGCGGAGAGCATCAACACATCATCTTGACCCAACGCTTCATTCACTTATTCCAGCACCCGCGAGACAATGGCAAACCACGTCATCTGGCGCGACAGTCAAAAGTCCGCAGCCTGGGGTGAAGGCAGGTAGGTAAGGGACGCTCAGGCGTACCTGATGCGACGCGGTTTGCAGCTGGGCGAAATGTGTCTCCATCGCTGTGATAGGCTCCAGTTGGCCACTTGCTCTTCATTTGAATATAGTGAATGACAGCCTCTCAAAGTAAGAAGCCACGATCAAGGACTGAGCAGATACCGCGCGTCGCGCTCGGCAAGGATCTGGCAATACTCCAGTGGCCACTCTGTATATTTTCGATATGACGGGGGAAGCCGCTGGGCCAGGTCCTTTGTCCAATTAATAATGACAAATTTCCTGCCAGGGTATTCTGGCTCTTCGGCCTTGGACAGACAGGCATTGCCAAGCACGTAGTCGAGCAGAAACATGTGGATGATTAGAAGATGGCCCGTGTAGTTCTCGCTGTCGACAAAGGCCATGAAGTCCTGGTTACTAAAGGTGGTCGGCATAACGAACAAGGTGACAAACTCTCTCCAGGCTGTATATGGCTTGTCAGTAAGAAAATGATGAGGTGTGAGATTCCCTCGTCGTACCGGCTAGACACGAGGTGCGCAGATTGTCAACGCATTTGACCAGGCAATCGCAGTATGCCACCTCATTGGGCGTCTGGCACAATGGCCTCAGTCGAAGAGCAGAGGTCGCGAACCCTTGGATGACCTCATAGTTCCGCGGCTGTTCGCTGATGAGCCTCTCCAGGGACCGGTCATGCTCCCGTGGCGTGAAGTACTTGAAGATGGACATTTCGTAGTTGGTGATGATGGTCGACGCGACCAAGTTGCCGCCCCGCGTCGTCGTGATGTAGTCAATCATGCTATCCGGCATAAGAGAGGACTGGGCGACGAGGCATATCACCGCCGCCATGAGCGCATCTGCATCCGCGGGCCTTGTCGGAGGGTGATCGAGCTGCTGGTTGACGAGCTTCATGGCCGTCACGCGATGCTGCAGCGCCTGCGACGTGTAGTCGACGTTGCCATGCTGAGACAGATGGGAGGCTCCGAGACCCAGGACAGCGTGTGCGAGATAGTCGTACTACGCCGGTCACACATACCGCACGCCCTCTGGTGTTAGTCATGCATGGAAGATGACGACGATAGGGGCTGAACGAGGCGCGACTTCGCATTCGAAAAGTGGGTGTGATCTCACCTGGTGTGACATTGCGGCCGCGTCCATCCACACGTCCTTGGCCTTTAACGGCAGCGTGGGGAAGGCCGCGAGGAGGAATTGGTGATAGAAGCGCAAGTCTTCCAGCGCGATACTGGACAGGGTAGCACGCGGAGGAAGCGAGGAGGAGGCGGAAGACGACGAGGATGAAGATGAGAAGAATGATGATGATGATGATGATGACAAGGACGATGATGTTGTTGTTGTTGACGAGGGAGCCGGCGTCGGATAGCTGCAGTTCAGGCCGAGGCGGCAGCACGGCGAGCAGAACGGGCGGACCTCGTTGCACTTGACTCGCCTCCTCTTGCAATTGAAGCATCCCAGCCGCGACTTGAAGTGGCCCCGCCGACTAAGCGGCTTGCCGGGCTTGCGGACCACGGCAGTGGACGAGGCTGGATCCGACGACGGCGAGTCGTGTAAGTCGACGGACGAATCATCCGACGGATTGGGACTCCTGCTGTGCTGCGGCTGAGGCATGGCGTGTGCTGTAGGTTCTGAGTATGTATGAAGATGGGAGGAGATACGACGCGGAAGAAGGGAAGAAGACCATCAAGAAGAGATGAAACGGAACAAGGAGCGAGAGGGGGTTGACGAGATGCGCGAGAGAGTCTCTTTGGTGCTATCGCGGCTCAAGAGGCTGAATCGAACTTTTGTTTAGCGGCGAGCGCAAAGAACGCATCACGCCGTTGTCGCAACAGAATGCCGTCCACCAGAACTTTCCCCTTTAGGCAGCAATTGATGCTCTCGAGACCGATTTGCGCGTCTTTAAGGCTCATCGGCTTCTGAAAAGGTGCACTTTGGGTTTCTGCCTGCCCCCTATTCTGGCAATGTGTTCTGTGCTTACGGCGGGAAATCGCGTATACATGCAATTATAACCCCGATGACATTGACAAGAAAAAGGCTCTTTCAGTGTTTGGGAAATATGAGCTCTGAAACTGGCCCAAACCAGCGTCTAATGGAGGCTGGTTCACGTGATGGAAGCCGATGACTTACAGGTCTAGTTGTTCTTGTGTTCCCCTCCCTGACGAGGATGGCAGGATCTGATAGGTGGAACCAAGACAGGGGCAGTGCTGGGGCGTCTCTCGCTCGATTCTTGGGTTACCCGGAATCTGTGCGGAGTACTAGGGATGAGCAAGATGTCCAAGACGATATCATATGGCACCCTCCAGTAGATGCATTTGTGGTTGAAAATGGGATTTACTGCTGGTGGCTTCCAAGTGAAGGGGGAATGGCGCAGTACTCCAACCTAGCTACCCAGCATCTACATCTCTCAAGTTCAGATCTGTATACTCGATCTGAATATTGGAATGATACGAGCAATAGAAGAAAATAGCTCTAGTAGCGGAGGATACAACCTTCTTGACAACTCTAGATGAAAGCCTCACGACAAATGCTATTGTGACACAGACTCTCCAGAGTGTCTTGACGACATCATCCGGGCGGTACACAACCTCTCTTTAACTGAGGTAGGTATGAACCTCTATAACAAACCGCAGTCGAATTCAGCGATTCTTAGCGAAAACATAGCAGGCTTCATGAAGATGTCGGCAAGGCTGGGCCGTCACACAGACTGCCAAAGGAATGGACACAGCCCGGCGGCCATCTCCGACTTAGAGAATCGGGGCTCTATCGTGTCGTTCTACTTCGAATTGAGTGTGTGAGCTCAGTGTTTGCGCCTCACCAGTTCCCGCAGGATGGGACGATGACATGCCAACAGACTGACTGTTCTTTCTGTTGCGACATACCTACTGTCTCCCGAGTGTTGTCCATGTGCACGGTCGTGATCTCACCCGCCGCAAGGTCGGCTGTTGGAGCTGTCGCTGCGGCGCAGGCATCAAGAAACACGGAGTCTCCGGAAAGATAGGTAGCCCTCTTAATCATGCCCGTGAAGAGATGTGGCAGAGGCAAAATGAAAGCTTCGCGATGCTGAGGCGGATTCGCACCGCAATGTTGACGTGAGTTTCTTTGCCCATTCTTGTATTTTCCTCAACGGGGCTCGATGTCGACGGCGTTGTTTTTGCAGCTCATGGCCGAGTACTTTACCACGAGCATCATATGGCGACAGATCCGTGGCTCGGCTCAAGACACTCGGCGCGCTCGTCGCAGGATGAACGGCGCCCGTTCGCGCTGAGGCAGCAAGCAGCGCATGCTTGAGGACTGAGTGCAAGGCTACAAGCCTCGGGGAAAGACGCAGACGAGTACGGAGCGGGCCGACGTCAGCTGCGCGATGCCGAGTCTGAGCGCGACGTACCGCCTGCGGCCCGGGCCGAAGGTGCAGGGACCACATAGTCCGGAGTCCGCGGCGGTCCTGAAATCACGAGATGGGTATGAAAGAACGACGAGAGTGGCTACGGATGTGGCGGGCGTTGCGTTGATGTTTTGAGGATGGAGGCGCTTGGTCAAATCAGCAGGGGTTTGTAGGGCATTATTGCGGAAGAGGAAGGCCTATGTTGCGCATCATTCAGACATAAAGCTACGATATGGGGAGACTGAGCATAGCCAACGGAGAAAGTTTTGGGCATTGGTTCGCTTTCAAGGGCTCAGCCTCAGCCTCCATGTTTGCCCAATCCTCATTTTCGTGCTGTGTTTGCCAAGGCAGATATGCTCTCTCGTCCAAAACACCCGCCACTTCAACATCATGCATCGGAACGAAAACCGGTAATGCTTCTCGAATGTCTCGCCTGTGCCGGTATGTACAGCGACGTAATGGACTACGCATCTGCACACCGGGAAAAGGTCATTGGATTGTGGCGATCGCCAGGCAAGGCACATGCACTCGCGCTTCCACTCGTCGAGACCCTTGGCCAGCTTTCGTTTTTGCGCTGCTCTCACTCTTCAACAAGAGGAAAGGATAGGAACCGTCACTTTGTCCATTTGACTTTTCAAGGGCAGTTTGTTGCTCGTTACTTTGTTCACCACTGGTCGTCCAGAGACGCAACTTGCGCGCTGGAGCTTGGTACGGAACAAAGGGAAGCCTAGTGAAAGAGCTCGACTTTCCTTCGAAGCGAGAAGTTTTGTGCACGATACGACATCATTTGGCGCTTTGTTACCGGCTTGCTCCACGCTCAGCGCGACTCGGGTGAAATGTGCCGCTTCTTCTGCATGGTGGAAGACCAGTAAAGCGATCTCTTGGTCCAGTACATCAACCGTTGGTCATGCGCCTTTTGAGAGAAGTGCAATCTTCAGATGATATTGGATCTTTTGCTCTTCTTCGAGAGAAGTTCGAGCATCAAATCTCGCAGTGATTGGTATTCCTGTGACAGTTCCATACATGTGATAAGCTAGAGACGACCCTGTTTCGGATGTTCGTGCGATTCACCAGGGAAGTCGAGCTCCTTGAGTCGAGCTTACGATGGCCTACAGTGAACATCCGAGAAGGTAAAAAAAAAGAAGGTGCTCTGCGGCTTGAAAGGGAGACCTAGCCTTCCACTAAGTATGATCGAATTGGTTGTCCGCTGGCTTGGGTCCGAGGAGGTAGAGTCTGGGGACATTTATTTACGATGTGTCTAGATCTAACATCTTGGACATACTATATCAGCAAACAGACTTGCCGCATCGGACACTCAGCACTCTGATCAGATACATTGATCACAATCACCTAGCAACCTAGGAAATGGCGGCAGCCATACTTCGCGCGGACCCTGCAAGAGGGATCTCGGAATACTATCAGGACACGCGTGAGGAACGAGGATTTGAATGTTCATCAAAGAGTACTGATGACTCTCAGCGGTCTTTCGCTTGAGATCGCCATTGGCGCTATAGTGGCCTAGCTTGACCATCCATATGATAGAGTTCGACGACATGCGTTGCAGAGGCTCGAGCACAATTGCGAGTTTGTCGGCTATGCCGTAGCGGCTGTCGCCGCACGCCTTGAAGATTGGCATCGAGACATTCAAGCCACTGCGTTGTCTGCGCTGATGATACAAGGAGGCCTTACCCGCGGATGTCATCAGGCGCGTAGCAGCACATCTTGATGACAGAGACGGGCTTCCAGAGACACAGATCGGAGTATTTTGGGTGCTTTTATGTCGAAAGATGCTGTCTGAAGACATCTTTAGGACGGTGGCTGGACATGTTAGACATCGAAATGAGAATACTCGACTAGCGGCGACGGCCACACTCGGGCACCAGCAGACACTACCAGAAGGAACCTTCAGAAGCATCAGGGAGTTTCTGCAAGGTAAAGACACATTTATCCGTTCTGCAGCGTTGGTGTCACTCTGCGATGTTGCCGGATGCCGCAAACCGTGACCGAGGCGATAGCAGCCTTGATCGCAGCTTGAGACGACACACTTCAAAGCATGAAAGACGCAGAAATTCTCCTCTCTTTTATAAAGTTGGATATTTTTAAGAGGCTTGAGAGAATACTGGATGTTCTAAATGACAAAGACTTTTGGGACTACCTACCTTCTTAGGGTACGCGAGTCCGAAACGCTGAGTATTATGTGCATAGAATATGTTTGCTATCCTGCATGGTGCCGCAGTAGCCCTAGCTGAGCACATGCGGCCGCATGGTCACATTAATCGCTCGTCATAGAGGTAAGGTAAGGGACATAAGGGAGGGCCAACTGTCTATCAGATCCGGTTGCCGCCCTTCTCATTCTTTCATCTCTTCCCTTCATAGGTAGCTTGCAGACCAGCCATCACCAGAGAAGGCTATCCTTCACTAGGTATCTTATATCAATGTAAGTACTTGTACTGTGACACATGTTTCATGGCACGCGATTAACATGTGTACTCTGATCTGCTCAGCACGAGGGCATTCTAAGCAGTCCATACCTTACATCTTGCAATCCTGCATAGCGACAAGTTCAAATGTACCGCAAGATGCTCGGGAAAGCCGTGTTATTCTTTCTGTGCATCCTCCCGGGGATTCTTACATACTACAGCCTCGCAGACGGCGACTTCTTCGGGAATCTGTTGAAGATCATGGTGAAGGAAACGGATGAGTCGTCTACAACTTTCGCCCACTTTAACTCGAAGACGCCGGCAGTAACCACCATCGGGACCGATTCGTCAGATGGTCGCAGCTATGTCGTTCCGTGGCCCGGAAACAAATATCATATCTTTCTTGACGGCACGAATCAAGTGATTTGCTCGCGCGACGGTAGATTGCACATCTGTGACGCCGACAAAGACAACGCCCAACAATACATATGGGAATGTGTCGAGAAGGATGGCTACTTTGGCTTTTTCAACACACAAACGGGCAAATTCATTGGTCACGGGAATGATGGTCGGCTGCGCTCGACAGCAAAGCATCACAACGACTGGGAGCTCATGACAGCCAGGAGGCACCCAGAGGGAGGCTACGAGTTGCTGATGCCGTTCTGGTGGCATGCTCTGAAAAAGATTTGCGTGCGTGATGGTTCGGAAGTCCTTGTGTTGGAGGGACATAGGACGACGCGTTGGCAGTTTGTCGAGACCAAGTAAACTGAACCTTAGGCTGAAAATCATATGTGATTCTCCTCGCCTGCTGTACAGTCAGTCTCTCAGCAATTCAATCACAATGCTCTCACGGCCATTTCCTGTTGATGATTGTCAAGGCTGCTCGTTCTGTGCACTAGTAGGGCACAAAACGCCTTGCTCACAGCCTGTTGGCACGAGGCTGGGGGCTGCATAAGCGGCCACTTGTTTTGTAGGCCTCCCACATCCGGCCTCACAGAGGCCTACCTACATGACGCCACTTGGGACGAGCGAATGCCAAGTGCAGCCCCCAACCAACAGCATTGATGAGGAGGTGCTTCGTACGTGGTCGATAGGCATTGGACAAGCCTCCGACGATCAAGGGCTTGGAACTCGTCGCGGCCGCGGCCGCGCGCCTATCCGCGTGCCTCATTCCTCCGAGTGTTTCTAGATATGCAGTGATTAGCCGAGTTCGTCCGTATTTCAGGCCGCGACGATTAACAGATAATTTCTTGCTCTCAGACCTGCCTCGCGATACAGCTAGTTCTTTGGAGTCACTCAAGTCAGGATATTCCTCCTTGGCGACATACAATGGCACCTTTTCAGTGCAGCATCTGCGCACAGCTCTTTGGAACCAGGCTCAAAATCTTCGAACATGCTCTGAACACCGGGCACGATATGAGTCACTGTTGCCTGGAATGCTCCCGATGGTTCAAGACTGAGGGCGATCGGAAAGCGCACATGAAGTCATCCATACACGTCAACGTCAAGGCAGCAAAGCCTCAGTCAAACAGTCCATATGCATCAGTTAGCCAAAGCAGCCAAGTCCTCACCAATGCACCAAATGTCGTGCCACTGCAGTTCGGGAGGGTCACATATACATGCCTTTCACGAAATGAGCAAGACGCTGTCTTTAAGAAGCTCTTGACCTGTGTTCATTCCGTGAAAAGTCTTGCCGAAGAAGGATACACAGTGGACCTTGAGAAGGGACCAACTACCAAGCCCAAGAAACCAAGGCCAAGCCTTGCAGACTTTCGCCAAACGCCGATGTGGCAGCCTGCCGTCAAGAAGAGGCGTGCCGTGGTGATTGACTGCGAGATGGCAGAGGCTGCGGACGGATCGGATGAGTTGATCAGCCTCTGCGCAATCGATTTCCTGACCGGCGAGACGTTGGTGAACAACTTGGTCGTTCCCTCGCGACCTATCAAAGACTGGAGGACAGACATTCACGGCATTGAGGTTTCGAAGTTATACGAAGCAATAATGAATCAGCGGGCCCTCAGTGGTTGGATCGGTGCTCGACAAGAGCTGTGGAAGCATATCGATGATATCACGATTGTGATTGGGCAGTCCATATGCTACGACTTTGAGGCTCTGCGTCTCGTCCACACCCGCGTCGTGGACTCGGCAATGCTCGCCACAGAAGCCGTTTTCTATAATCGAGCTGCAAAGAAGAAGCCGGGCCGGCGTTGGGGGCTCCAGGAGTTGTGCAAGACGTTCCTCGGAATCGAGATACGCGCTGAGGGGGGCACTCATGACAATCTAGAGGACGTCTTGGCTGCCAGAGAGGTTGTGCTGCAGGTGTTGTTGAAGCCGGCGAGGTTTCAGTGTTGGGCGGACAAGGCGCGCAAGGATTTCTGGAAGCCGAGGGTAGGAAGAATAGTGAACAACAAAGGGAGCACGACGAACTCTCACAGCCCTGGGTATGGAATCCCGCCGTCGAACTCGTATCAAGAGTTCCGCCAGAGTCCGAGCGTATATCAAGGGGCTTGGGTCTGGGACTCAGGCTACCATTTTGATGATGACGGGCAATAACGTCTTGAGAGATGTGATAGATGACTGGCCTGATTTTAGAATTCAAGGATCTCGACTCTGAGATTTTTGCCACATAGCTGCTATAGTTGCACTCTTCAAACTCCCTGTTGGTACTAGTCCTTCAAGAGCGGATGCTGCTTGCTACTCTGCTCCGATCCTGAGCAAGTTGCCATGAACAGCTCTCCCCGTACCGTATGAAAATTCCTGGCCGGGAGCAAAATGTCTCCGTTCACGATTCCGATTTAAGCGTACTCCACGATGCTCAGATGGATAGCATTCTTTAGACGCGCTTGATATGGAACTGCCTCATGAACACCTCGTCAATGACTAGTCCATTCTGCTGTGACTCTTCTAGAATGATATTGTGGGCGTCGTGCTGTGCAACGCTAAGAATCGGCGCAATCATCCAGTTCCCATCAGCACTTAATTCCGCTGTGGGGTAAAGTTATAATAACCTATAGGTATTTTTAGGTATAGTATAGCATGCTGGCCTATAGGCAGGGCTTAGGCGTAAAAATAGGCACACTAATAATAAGCGCCTAAATTAAGCGCCTAAATTAGGCGCTTAATATTATTTAGGCAGTAAATAGGCTATATATATAAGTAATGCTTAATAAGTATACTTATTTTAAGTAGCTTATTTATTAAAAAAGATAAAATTTTATAAATAAGGAAGTTATATAAATTATTATAATAAATTATTATAAAATATATTTTTATAAAGGAAATAATTATAAACACTATATATTATACCTTAAAGCTTTTACTATTAGCTTTTTAAAATACCTTAATAAATATAATTATTATTAAATGCTGCTTTATTATAAAAAATATTTTATATATACTTTTTAATATAAGTAGCTAAAGTAATAGGCTATTAATAAAGTTTATAATTAAAAACTTAAGCTTATTAAAATATTAAAAGTTATAAATTTAAGCTAAGGTAAATAAAGGCTTATAAAAATATAACTTTTATTTTTATTATTTTTATTTTTATTATAAAAAGAATTTATTTTTTAATCTTTTAAGAAAAATAAAGATAATATATAGTTAAGTTTATTAATATTTTATATTATAAAAGTCTTTTACTTTATTAAGTTTATAAGTTAAAAAAGTATAATAAGATAAAGATTTAAAGTTTTTAAAATATATAAATAGCTTAATGCCTTTTTTAATTTAAAAAGCTATATATTATATAGCCTTTTAATTTACTAATTAAAGTAATTTTTATACTTAAGGAGAGGAAGTTATTATTAGTAATTCTTATATTTAAAAAGATAAATATTATATTACTTTTAAACTATTTTTATATTTAAATAAAAGTAATTATAATAGTAAATTTAATAATAAATACTTTAACCTTTTTTAAAAGAAATACTACTTAATTATATAATAAGAAAATCTTAAGCTATTTAACTTAAGTAAATATATTATAAAATATAAAAAAGGCAGAACTAAAATTAGTAAATAGTTTTATTTTTATAATAAGCTATAATAATTAGCCTTAAATATAAAAATAAAAAATTTAATAGCTATACTTTTATTAAAGAAGTTATAATAAATTTAATTTACTTATTAAAATATATTTTAAAACTAGTAAAGTAATTAAATATTAATAGTAATTATTATAAGTAATTATTATAAAAATATACTTTATTTAAGCTAAATAATATTATATAAATAGTATTTTAAAAAGTATTAAAGGCACTAGCTGCTAATACTATTAAGTAATAGTACTAGTAATAGTA